CACGAGCGTGTGAATTAGGACGTTTTTTCCCAAAATTTTTAATTTCGATCGCATATACGCACATACGAACAAATCCGGAATCTTTAGGCGATGATTTCAAGTGGTCCGGCACGCGAGTACTCTTGACTATCTGGAGCACCCGTACTGAAGAGCGCTGAAGAGCGACCCTCTAGTGGATGGGCCTCTCGTGGACCTCTTATGTTAACCAATACAAACCTCTCTTGAAAAGGTGGAGCTTCTTTCGGTCCAATGGGGTATGCGTTTCATGTCAGCTATCGATTTCTAAAGGCGCTTAGAATGTGATACGACCGTAGGGGGTAAGTTTTAATAAAGCAACATATGATACTTACAATGATTGCGATAAGGGTTGCGGTTGCTACACTTCAAAAATATAAATTATATTTATAAGAACAGGACGTTCATGTTATAGATAATCAATTTATGTGTAAACTTTTGCAATATGTTGTGCATAATGTTAGAATTCAACCCTTATATATGAACTTCGAATTTGACGTAAAGCGGTTGTAACATTTTTCCTTCCCTACCGAGTTACCCCTACCGTAAAAGTATAACTAATTTTACACTTTTCATGTTAAAAGCCGCGACGTCAGTTACTCATACTTTCTATCTAGGTAGGTACCATATAATTAGATGCAAAGTAATATAAATCTGAGGTATTAGAACAAATTTTGATTATTTAGGACTTGGGTGATAGTTATCTTCAATTTTTTTTAAGGGTTGGAAACCATCCGCATGACTTTTAGTTGTAAGAGTGTGTTATGGAGAAGATTCTCACATATTCGCTCATACCTGAAGATGAAGATATGACTATGAAGATATTGATTCAATTCACTTATTACATTCGGTATTCAGTATAGCCATAGCTACGATGCCTAATCTATACAAGATCACAACCACCCGAATTGATCAAGATTTGCGATCATTCTTTATCCACTGTGTCCAAGATAAGGATGTATATCAATCATAGTGATCTTGGAAACTATAGAAGATGAACAGTTATTATCATGGTGTAAAAAAACTCCGGTTAGGTACCTCCGAAGATATGCCAAAAAAATTTGCCGATTTTGTTTTTACTTTTGTCTAATGTAAAAAAAAACATACTCGATTGGCATTTTTTGTTATGAATACAACGATGTACGTAACACAAAAATTGACAACTGTTGGTTTCAACAGGATGGTGGACTCGCGCACAACATTTTCCAGGAAATTTGTCCGATAGGTATTCTCGCAAGATTATATGGCATTATGCGCGGGTGTCGCATCCTATTGAAACCATCAGTTTCCAACTTTTGTTTTTAGCCATATATCGTTATATTTGTAATAAAAAATACTACTGAATACAGTATGTACTTTTTTTAAGGGCCATATAAAAAAATAAAGTTCATGATAATTTCTCCGCAACGAGACGTTGCATTGGAAATCTCTCAACGCTATTTTGTGAAGCTTAGACAGTGGCAATGAGAAAGTGTTTTTTTAAATTTTTTGTTTCTGGGCAAATAACATCAGAAAAGAATAAAAACGAAATCGGTAAATTTCGGTTTTTCTGAATCGGAATTTTCTAGTTTTCAATAACGTATCTTTAGCCTAATTTGACCATCGTCGTATCCTCTATGGTTTCGGAGATCCCAATGCTAGACATTCTTATCTGGGCCGCAAGAACAATAAATATTTTCGTAAATTGCTACGCCACTAAAACGGGAGTGCCAAAAAAATTCCGATCATCTCAAAAATTTACCTTTAAACATGAACAACGAATCTTACTTTTTGAAAATTTTAATGTAATTCTTGTTTCGATAACTGAAGTATCTTAAGATTTTGAATTATTTCCACACGAAGAATACATTTCATAAGAAAATTATTTCACTGTCACATTTTCTTTAATTTTCAAAAACTAATTTTGGATTATTATGTTCATGTTCATGTTGAAAATAGCACGGTACGCGAACTTGGATGGGATCAGAATTGTTTTTGTACCCCGTTTTAAGAGCGCGTCATCGGTAGGAATGTTAAAATTTTTTTCAACATTGGAAAGGGCTCCCACAAGCCACAAATGTCTTTCCTTAACGAAATTTTAATAAACAAATTACAGAGTGCTACTATTTAAACAAACATTATCCATCGTCTGAACTTGCATAACAATTGTAACCATTTATTTTCTGAATTACGAAGCATTATTGTTTACTGTTTACGATTTGCCGAAGAACCCTCGTAACATTTGAAGCGATTTGATGGATGGCCTCATCTATTGATGGAATTTAACCACGTAAGGCCGCATCGAAGTACACGTCGATTAAAAGAACAGTTGAAAGCGTAAGGTAGAACGCATGGAATTCTAGTTGCCATCTTCCGAATATAATATATATCGATCTCATAGTTTGGGAATCCCACGTGATTAGTTTCACCTGTACTCCAAGTGGAGGTTTTCATAATATGCGTTTTACCATTACCCTTTATACGTAAGTATACCGCCATGTTGCATTTCGTTTACTTATCGTGAACCTTCTTTAGGTTTCGCCTTCGGGGTTACTTAATACTTACTTAGCGATTACAGCTAAGTAAGTAATTTGTGAACATCAGTATCTTTTCCATCTTGGTTAAGTTAAGATCGGGTTTGAAACGCGAATCTTACTAGACTCCACTTCCTTCTGAAGGGGGTGGCCCTGGCCAATTAAATATCTTACCAGTTATAGATGCAAATTACGAGTAGAGCGAGGCCCTTCAGGCATTACCGAATCTAATTATATACCGAGCCCGGCAGTTTGGGAGGTTTTTCTTTGATTGTTTACAGGATTGGATGCGAGAACTGACCTCACTTCTTGGCGTCAACAGCTAGCTTTATTCAAGGTAAGAGTTGCCTTGTATGTGTAATGTGTTTTACTTGTACTTGGGCCTGTACGTGCGAATTGTTGCCCGGAATATCATTATTATTTTTTGTAAAAAATTGTTTTAAGTAGTTTAAGTAATTAATTTAATCGATCATTATTGAGCTGGGATTTATTCTTTTGGAGGAAGTTAAATGGGGGTTTTCTGGGAAGTTTAATATAATAATTAATTAATATTAATTAGGTAATCTTTTGTGTAAGTAACGTGTTTGGAGATACTTTGATTTGACATTAGAATAAACCTTTCGTTAATTTGACTTCACTTGACACTCAAAATCTTATTATTTGCTGAATTTGTAACCCACTTTGTAGTCTGTTGGTTGCAGCTAGGGAATACCATACCGGGATCGCGGGATAGTTTAAATTTGGGACCGTATTTTTAAATTTGATCGCTTAGTTTCGAAGATGTCTACAATGAATCTCATACTCATCTTTTGGTGAGGCTGATCTTTCGGAGTAGAGTAAAAAATCGTAAGCGCATCTTAAAAGATCACGTCAATAAATTACGTTATGTTGGGCATCCTTTGTAGTTGTATTTCTTCACATTTTTTACCTTCTAAATTAGTTTTCGGACATGTATGTCCAAACATATTTTGACGGTATAAACAAATACATGATTTGTATCTTCGGCATGAAAATTAAATGATGAAAATATTCAGAGAATGATTACCTAACGCTTGCCTTATTGCGCCCATACCTCTTAGGATGCTTTCATGAAAACTACTGCACGAATTGCGCCAGTCAGTCAGATTTACGGATTTTCAATTTAGGGTTTAACCACAGTACAATATAGATGTGCTCTCTCTATCTTTAGTATAAGCACAAACTGAATCAAGCTTATGGACGTCAAGTGAAGCCTTATGGTGTTTTCTTACGAAAATCACGTTCGCGCGAAGAGTTTTATAGAGGAATTTCACAAAAAGTTATGCGACGACACATGCTTATCTTGAAAGCCGTTTAGGAATAATGCATGTTTCTCGCGTACTCGTTTTCAATAAGAGTGCAAATTTTAAATTTTGGTTATGATACTTCGCCATAAAGCCGCATAAAATTATATTTGAGCCCTCATGAAAGCTTAATTTAGATCCGAGTGTATAGTTACGTACAGTCAAAGTTTTATGTTTTCATGTTTAGCTTTGCTAATAAATGTTACGTTTCTTCCCAGTTTAAAGTTCCATGCAGTTCTACGCAATTTAAAATTCTTAAATAAAAGGTTTTAAGGTTAGAAGCATAGCAGTTCAAGTTTCTTGCAAGTGTTCCTGATTCGACGGTACCTTGAGTGCATCCAAGTAGGATGTATAGTAATTAATTCTGAATCTAAACTTTCACGTTTCAAATATTTGAGTTTTCATTGGTTATTGCTACAGGTTTAGTGCAAATTTTCAACAAAGGCAACATAATTTTTAATTGGTCACTACTTGGATTAAACTCATTCAACGGCTAATTTTAATTGCTATTTTGGAATGTACGAAGACGTTTCTGTGACATTCAAGAAGAATTGTCCCAAATTTAAAATGCCTTCAACTATACAATTTCAACATTGGGGTTGAAAGTTCCGGGTTTACCTACTCAGCAAATGATAGCAACGTTGAACGGTCCACGCGTCGATTACCTGCTTCAGTTCTAAATTTTGGTTGTGCAATTTTCAAAATGTTATTATAGCGCTTGATGAGGACTAGGGATCTGTTACATTTATCACTTTGCGACTTTGCTTAATTCCGTTTACATCATCTACAAGTACACAATTTGATAGGTAACATCTTCCTCCTATAGTAGGAGAATATTGTGAACTTACTGCTTTACAAAAAGAGCAAACAATAAAACTGAAATATGCACAGGGATGATCGAAATAAATTAGTTGGTCTAGGTACCTACGTAGCGACGGAAAATAACCATGACCAACAAACAATCGGATTATATCCGAATCGTCTATTTGTTCTTCAATAAAAACCCAAACCAGATTTTATGATCGTATCATTCTAAACGTTCTAAATAACTTCCGGTCAACAAAGGTGTTATACAAGAATTTATCACCGCAACACCTGTGAATGTATCCGCATCCTATTTCTACATAAAATCGAAACAAAAAAAACTTACGCGTATCTGTACTCCTCGTCCATTCCTATGTAATCGGGTGGAATGATGTTCCAGCTATTATCATAGCATTCATCGTACGCGTTGATCGCCATACTTCCTTTCAGTGGAATTACCTACACTTAACCGTATTAACGGCTGCAACCTGCAGCTATTAGATTCTTCCGATTCCACAAATAAATGTAATATAAAATTGGATGAAAAAGCTCTCTATTCACTTTCTTATCGGCTTATCGGTCTGATATCGAGTCCAGCTGGGTAACTACGGAGCCCCACTCCACCAATATTATCAATTTTATTTAAATATTAAGTTGTTATCGTGGTATTCTGACACAGGTGCAAATCTGGTGGATAAGATCATGAACGGTCTTCCCCTTGCCCCACCCTATCCCGTCATCTCTGTCATATAATCTTTGTCGTTTTGGTCGTACGAGAAGGCAACACGAAACACATCTGGAGACGCTTTGCACTCATTGTCGGTTAATAAAATTCAAAACTGTGCACATTTTATAATTAGGTATAGGTATACCATTTGCTGATTTGGGATTAGGTAGATTCCTGGGCAGATCAACGCCATCAGTACCTAACACAATGCGATGGAGGTGGGTACCTCCCCAAATTAAAGTGACTATACCTACATAATTTGTCGCAGTAGACCTTCTTCAAGTACTACAGCAGTTAATAGTGGCAATCACCTACAAATTTAAGAAATGTGAGTGCTAAGAGCATGGAGAAGTTCGTATATTCCATTACGTCATTCTTTAGATGAAGACAAGAATGGGCGCAACTAAAAGTTTTCGTGAGATGATTCATGTAGGCTGTCTCGTCTCGGTGCAGTCTAATGTTCTATTCATTGAGTGCAAATCAAAGGAATTAATTTTTACCAACTACAGCCTCCCCCCTCGACACCTTATCGTGATCGATTCCCTCACGTCAATGTTATTAGAACACTTCCTTAAATGTGTGTTTAAAAAAACTAAAATGTTTTCCATTGTGAATTTTATTTTAAGGACACATATAAAAGGTGGTCGCTCAGTCGTTTTCAAAAATGTTGTTGTTGCTTCATAGTGAACGTGAACGAAAGTATGTACTGCAAAATAAAAGCGATAATAACGCGTGCATTTTCGATAAAGTATGCATTTTCGAGATGTTGGTTAGACCGGATCGTAAAGGAGTTTTCGGCAGACGAGGTTTAAATTTCAAAGAGAACGTATAAAGAAAAATGGAAATTGATCTATTAATATATTCAATTAAGTATGTTCACATGAGTATTTAATCGAGTTCGATCAAACCATCAGAGCATTGGATTTTGAATTTCAGGTTTTGAGAGGAGATAGAGAGCCATTATAAATTAAAAATTAATCGTCATTAAAATTTGTTGCCAGTGCCGTAGAGAAAATTTAAATCGGGTTTATTCTTTCAAAATAGGTGTAACAAAATGATATGTTCCCGGGCGCCACTAGAGGTAACAACCTCCACATGAAAGTAAATCCTCCTGTGAAAATTACTGGATGTGGATACTGGTGTCCAATTGGCCGCGTATGGTTTTTAGCTATCCGTTAAGGTGGCGGCGTATTCATCCAGATACAGGTGAAAATTAGTGGACGCGAACACCAGAGTCATCTCTTGGGAAGCTGGAACACAATTACCTTACCTCTACCCCAAGCGGATAACGGTATACCTCCACTGAAGCGATGTCATATCGCTGATTTTCAAAATTGTTTGTTAGCAGTTCCATTTTCTTTCGAAATAAGCAAAAATATACGATGCGTTCCATTAAAAAAAATGTCACGTTGTTGAATAGCTCAATAATCCGATGATCAGTTGTTTCTGTTCTGAAGTGACCATTGCAATTCTGCGAATAACTACGCTATTAGGTAATAAGAAATTTAACAAAAGTTTAGTTGGAGCTTGGAGTACGCTGCATATCTATGTAGGCATTGCACTACTTATATGTATTTCAATAATGAATATAGGCAATAAACATATAATTAAAATTCGCACCTCCTATTCAGTGAAAAGAGGCATCCTTTGTCTGATGTAGGTATAATGTAACTTATAAAAATCTAATAAATTAGTACATTATACTTACTTACTTATATCATATAATAATGAATTATAAAGTATTCTTTACTTACATGGACGGAATACTGAAGATGAAGACGAGTTATGCGTACATGTTATAGTTAACATAGTTTTGTGTGCATCTTTAATGAAGAGATGTAGGGATAGGGACAAATTTAATGCATTTGTTTGTTTTAGTGTTTATTTGAAATTGCCAATCATTGTTACCTACTCATACATTTAATCAAAATTCAACGGTATATTCAGTTTAATGACTTTTTGAGCATTAGCAATATACAGGGTGACAATTTGAAAACTTACCACCCCCCATATCTTAGTAAATAAACGAGATATTTAAAAAAATCAAAATCCGTTTCGGTAATTCGGAGGGGGAATCACAATGACATAGTTGGCGACGCACCCCCTCACACCCCCTGCGCCCCAGCCACCCCAACTTTTAAATCTTAAATAGTGACCCCCCATGTGTGATACGTCGTTGGAAAGCTCTGAAAAAATGCTTTCCAACCATACCAAATAGCATTACATTTAGGTTAGTAATTATCGTGCAAATCAAAAAATAAACATGGAAAATCGTATTTAACTTGAACTTCCAAAGCCGACTCGACAGCAACTCATTTTTGATCGCCAGTTATAATCTATTCTCAAACTCTTGTCGAACCTTTCCAATGTTGGTTTTGCAATATTTCGACATTCTTGAATTATTCTCTGTCTTAGTTCGTCTAATGTTCGCCGGTTGCGTTTTAAATACGACAGATTTCAAATGTATCATATTAGTTTATTTTTTGATTTGCACGATAATTACTAACCTAAATGTAATGCTATTTGGTATGGTTGGAAAGCATTTTTTCAGAGCTTTCCAACGACGTATCACACATGGGGGGTCACTATTTAAGATTTAAAAGTTGGGGTGGCTGGGGCGCAGGGGGTTGGAGGGGGTGCGTCGCCAACTATGTCATTGTGATTCCCCCTCCGAATTACCGAAACGGATTTTGATTTTTTTTAATATCTCGTTTATTTACTGAGATATGGGGGGTGGTAAGTTTTCAAATTGTCACCCTGTATGTATTAGCATCAAACAATGGTATTGGTATGGTATTTAATTATTTTTTTCAAATTACCTATTACAAATAGTAATGTTTAAGTAGCTCTATTGAATAAGTAAATAATTACTTATTCAATGGTAATTATACTCATTCAATGGTAGCTCAAAAAACTTTACCATACGATTTACGAATGGCTTTAGTATTTTCGTTAAAAACTTAAACTAAGTAGATAATCTTGCTTCATAAATATGGAAATTGTTATTTAGCTAACAGTTGTGTATGCAACCCATCTTACACTATATATAATTTTTGTTACATCTTATTTGTCTTGATAGGCAATACATTATGCAAATTAGTTACTTTTTTTAGAATCTTGGTTCGATGTTTATGCAAGTGTGCTTTTGAAAGATGAGTAACTAAAGAACTTCGTTGCATCTCCCAATTTAAACAACATAAACAATTCAAAATTAATTTTTCATTTTTTTGGTTTCGCATTTGATAGGGAATAGCTTTTCTTAATAGTTTTAGGTTTATTCTCATTGTATTGCATTGCCATCACTTCAGGATTTTTTAGTTGCTCTTACCTATAGATATTCGATTCAAATGCGATATATGCAATGATCTAAATTTTAAATAGAGGTCCGTGGCTATGTAAGATTTTATGACACGAATTTCGAGACCAGTACTGTGAAGGATTGCCGGACATAATGCCTTTTTATTGTTACTGGGTCAAACTTCAGTTTGGATGCTATTTCATTATTTATACACTCCATTAACATTAACTATTTTAAATGCAATGCAATCTTATACGAGTATACAGTGGATTTTTTTTAAATGCGAACATAGGAGTTTGCATGCAATGTAATTTCCCTATGTTCGATTTTAAAAAAAACACATCAATCTATTGAGTAGTTCAAATGAGTAGTAGATACAATTGACAGCTGTCACATTTTTAAAAATACCGCCGTCCAATTTAATTACGAAATCGGTTATTGCTTAGAATGTCAAGGAGGACACTTCGAACATTTATTGTAATTGTTTTCGGTATTTATTTTCTTATTTTCATCATTTATGTATTGAATAGATCAAATTAGTAGAATACCAGGTGCACATGACCTACAAATAATTGAAGGTTGGTTCACAATGAGTTGTGGTGTCAGTGCGTGGCCTGTGAGGTCAAGTTATCGTAAGTTTCAGAAAAATGTATCCTACAGTTGCTATGGCCTCACATGGCTTCTTTAAAGAAATCTTACCGAGTGCTCTTCATCATAAGGACTATTAGAGTTGCTGTTCATAGTCACACAAGTTGCGCGATTTGGGAATGTGAACCGCGCACACCTCATAGATTGATGTGTTTTTTTAAAAATCGAACATAGGGAAATTACATTGCATGTAAACTCCTATGTTCGCATTTTAAAAAAACTCACTGTATATGAATGCAGTGCAACTCGCCTGATAACATCCTCGGGCACTTGATTATTGAGTTTTTTGCAGCTGAACGTTTCTTCGACACTTTCTTTTGAGATAAGTACATAGCACATGGACTCGAGTATGGAGTAAGAGTTAATAGAAAACAATTCCTGTCATTTATTATCAGGGTACCATAAGGACCAAACTGCAAGTCAACAGCACGAGTCATTTTAATATTTAATCTTTGTTATACGAAAATGCCACGTTTGACTTTTTCACAAATAAAATGAGCAATCAATAAAAAATTTTAATGTGGCGAGCAAGTGTTAGGAGTTATCATGTAAAACAGAAATTAGTGTTCTAATAGTATATTAAGTATGGAGAACGGTAAGGGATTTTTACCGTTCGAAGACAATTGTTTGGAGGAGGAGCGAAGCGACGACTCCAATTATTGTCTGAGAACGGTAACCCTTAACGTTCGACGTGCTTATAACATTTTTTGCGCGATCGAAATTAAAATTATCCAACCAATATAACTATGCACTAAGAAATTAACGAGCAGAATAAATCGAAATGTTCGAAGTGGTCTGGTGTACATCACTAGGCAACCAGTTTAAATGTCAAAATTGAAATTAATAATTTCAGAAAAATGTGCATGTGTCTGATGTAGTTTACTACCTTTGCACTTCCTTTATGACTTTATGAGCGTCTTGCTATAGGAAACAACAGCACAAATTGTACGTTTAATGTACCTAACAATAATTAAAGATTAAATGTAATGTAAGACTGTTGATTTTTAAAAAGGCGTCAGTAAGTATTTTTGCTGTTCTGTTTTTAGATCGGTAAGTAATTTTGGCGTCGTCGTAATCATAGCAACTGGTAAATTCTACGTACTGTCATGGAAACACCCATGGTAAATAGTCAGAAATGACCGATCGCGCAAAAAATCTGTTTATAGCGATAATTTATAGTGTTATAAAAGCAATTTATAACAATCAATTTCTTGGGTAAGGAAATTGTCATAAAAATTTGAAATTCGTCTTGTTTCACCAATTATACAAGGAAGTTGCTCTTCGGTTCAAATCAGATCGGTCTAAACTGATCGGAAACACTTTTGTGATATTTTAAAGATACATTTCGTAATATGGGGTCTAAAAGCGAACTGCTAACAATTATATGTTTGCGTTCTTGCCATATACAGTTATATTCAATCATGTAGAATCAAACATAGGGATTTCATATGTCTACTTTAAAATGATAAAAAGCTTCTGCAGGACGCCTAATTTTATGCAACCAAAATAACTTCTTAAAGCAAATAAAGATCTCGCTGTCATATTAATTATTAATTTGGATATTGTTGCTTTAGCTTCACAGAAAATAAATCTCTTAAGCTCCTTTAACTGTTATCGGCACTATACCAATTGGAAATATCAACTTTTTCTTTAGTTGAATACATCGCACATGAACGGAAAGTAGAATACAGAGAAATCAATGTGATAATATTCAAATTAATTAATATGACAGGCAGATCTTCATTTGTTGTCGGTAGTTATTTTGGTTGCATAAAGTTAGGCGTCCTTCAGAAGACTTGATCATTTAAAAGTAGACATAGAAAGTTCCTATAGGAAATCCCTATGTCTACTTCTACATGAATGTCACTGTATGTAATGTAAAATGCACGAACGAACATTGTGATTTCAAGCAGCGAGAAAAGAAACAACAATGGAAATAGGAATTCTGAAAAAAATTAATTTTTGTGTATTTTGGGTCGTTTGAACAGATATCAACAGGGGCTTAATTAGTAGGACAAACTACAGAAATTTATTTATAAAAGCTTAAATGGGTTTTGCGTGGGCGGTATTTACTATACAAACCCTCTAGAAAAAGTTTAGTTTAGGACGCGTGTGGGTTGTCTTTTACAACAACAAAAATAATGAATGCCGCATTTAGGCCGCCTAAAAGCCAAAAATTTGGCGCCATGTCTGTATGCGCGGGCGTGATTGGTTGGCTTTGGACCTTGGATCATGCACTTGCATAGTCCATCTAAAACGAAAAGTAACTCTTAATTAAAGGCGCATGTACTCGTTGCGGTTGATTATACGTATTAAAAGATTCAAATTGGATTTTGAAATGCTTTTTATGCATGTCAACACTTGGAAGCTTTCCTTTGGAGGAAGGTTTGGATTGTAGGGTGGGTAGTTCATTAAAAAAATATTTTCTTTTTTAAGGGCCCCAAAGCATTAAATTTTTATTGAATGCGGAAGAGAAATTGGTTTGAAATGGTGCAGACATTTAAAATATTACGCATGCTCTTTGGTGAGGACCGAGGAGTCACGTTTAGATATAGATACGCACATTGCACGCATTTGTTTGTTGCTGTGCTTTCATTTGTTGTGTATTGTCGCCATGTTAACTTGTTAGCAGCGCTTTTTTTTATATGTAGTTACCTAGTTTGCGTTCGAAAACCTTAGTTTAGCCGTTTTTATAATATAAACATTCCTTTAAAATTAATTAAGAACAATGGCAGAAAATCCTCGTGGCCGCGGTCGTGGTGCTGCGATCTTGGAAGCCCTGCGAAGGGCCCAAACTGCACAGCCAGCAGAACCTGAACATCAAGTCGACGAACCCTCACCACCCACGCCAACTGCCCCAAGGGGCCGGGCAAACTTACTTCGTCAAAAGTTAAACGAATTAAGGCAAACTGCAACTGTTGGAGAACAGCAGGACGTGTCCTCTTCTAAACCGACTCCAGATGTAGCCGCTATAACAAAATCAATGGAGGCAGTACAAGTAACCGAACCTTGCATATTTCGAGGTGAAAGTGGAACTACCGTTCCTACATCGTGTAATTACATTAGAATAACTACAGAGGAAGAACGAGGTGTTTTCGAATACCACGTTCAATTCAAACCAGATGTGGATGCCAGATATGTACGTAACCATTGTGTGAAAACACATTTCGGACTCGTAAGATTGTTCGATTCAGGGTCAATATTGTATTTACCAATTAAATTACCTGATACACGTACCGAATATCGCTGCACCAATCCTCAAGATAGCTCTACAGAGATTACAATGCAGGTCACATTTGTTAAACGCAAGCTACTAAGCGAATCTCTGCATCTCTTCAACATTTTAATGAAAAAAATTATGTACGAACTACGTCTGACACCAATCGGTCGTAACTTCTTCGACCCACATCATTCGCACTTAATTCCGCAACACAGATTGGAGGTTTTACCTGGTTACGCGGTGGCCGTTGACGAATACGAAGGGGGCGCTATGATCTGTCTGGACACGCAGCATCGAGTAATGAGGACCGAAAATGTTTTGGATTACCTAAAATCGCTAAGGCTGTCAGGCAAAGGGCCGGTTACGACGCTAGCTCGTCAAGCACTACTAGGAACTACCGTCATGACAAAGTGAGTATAGTTAATTTTCTTGTTTTTGATATATTTTATTTATTTATTTAATAAATGGTTGCGAGTGGCATTATGTTTACCTTACAGCATATTTCTTGTGAGAATATAACCGTAATCGGGCTCGAAAAGTGACCAGAAAGTTTGTGACATGACTTTTTTGGATATACATAAAAATTTTTGATCTAATAATAATATAATAAATAACAATATAAATAATAAAAACAAAAATGTAATAATACGCTTGCGTTGAAATAACGTTATTCTTTTGTTAGATATGTCAAGGCAATTTATTGTATCAAAAATCATTAAAAATATTTAAGTAAACAAACATAAAATGTGCATGTGGTTGTGGTATACAAAAACACACCTGCGCATGCGCGATTCTGCCCTTTTATGTCTTAAGAATATGTGTGCCGGAAATCATCAAAATTGTGCTTGATTCGGATTCCTGGTGCTTCAAAACATGTATTTATGTTAAAAAAGTGGGGGGCCATTTTTTACCCCTCACTAACGTGCAGGTGGTAAAAAATGAAATAAAATGATTCATTATTTACAAAACATGCTGTGTGCTGTCAAGATGCGTGGCGTCTATTTATGTGCCAATTTGTACCAGAATTTTTTACTGTGGTGCCTTCGTTAAGTATACTATTGTCATGTTTAAACTATTACATGAAATTTGTTTCAGGTACAACAACAAAACATATAGAATTGATGAAATTCAATTCGATATGACCCCCATGTCTACATTTGAAACACGAGATAACCGCCATATAACCTACGTTCAGTATTACCAAACTCAGTATAACATCCGAATTACAGACCTCAAGCAACCCCTGTTACTGAATCGGAAAACCAAAAAGACTGCGCAATCGGAAGAAGTAGACCAGTTCATTTGTTTAGTACCTGAATTATGTAACCTAACTGGTCTAACAGATGAAATGCGGGCCGATTTTAAGGTCATGAAAGATGTTGCAATGTACACAAGGGTCACTCCAACACAAAGGCTACGGGCTTTAAGAGCATTCTTAGATAACATCGAAAACACTCCCTCCGCCAAACAGATTTTATCTAATTGGGGGATGCACATTGAAAATGCAACCATAGATCTATTAGCCAGAGTTTTATCACCAGAAGTGATTCTTTTTGGTGGTGGCATAAAAAGTACTGCCAACAATGCGGACTGGAATAGCCTTGTTTGTAAAAACCAGGTCTTGGGACCCATGGATTTAGAGGCGTGGTATTTATTTTATACAGTCAGAGATCAACAAGCCGCATCCAATTTTGCAAACACCATCGTTCGTCTTGGGGACGCTATGGGTATGCGCATAGCCAAACCGCGATTGCAGCAGCTCGCCGACGATCGTACCGACACATACGCCACAACCATACAAAAAGTGGCTAACAGCGAGGCGCAAATGCTCGTTTTTATTTGCCCGAGCACCAGAGAGGACCGCTACTCTGTAATTAAGCGATTGTGTTGTGCAGACATGCCAATACCCACTCAGGTCGTTCTTTCGCGAACATTGTCAAACAGCGCCAAAGTTCGTGGGATCATCCAGAAGATAGCGTTGCAGATGAACTGCAAGCTCGGCGGTACTTTGTGGGCTTTGAGATTCCCCGTGAAAAATTGGATGATTTGTGGCATAGATGTTTACCACAGTCCGGGAGTTAAGCAATCAGTATGTGCCTTCGTATCAAGCTTGAATGACGACATTACCCGCTGGTAAGTTTGGAATCTTTGTATATTACATCTTGTTGTTTGAATGATATCTTTATGCACATAGTCCTTCTTTTACGGTTTTACTTATTTTTTGTTTAGATTTTTGCCACATGATAGATAGACAATCAAGTACAAGGTCCTGCAGAGAACTGTCTGTTTTGTTGTGGTCTGAACTGAAGATTTTTTGGTTTTGGTTTTTGGTCTATTAAATTTTTAATAAATATACAGGGCGTTTCAGTGAAAATTTACCAAATTTGTTTTTTTTTCTAATTTTGCAATATTCATTTGTTGTTTTTTTACATGGCGATTTTTATAAACCCCACAACTTTCGTATTTAAAGTTTTTGTTTATCTCTTATGTTCTGCCCAAATATACGGAGTAACCTTGTACATGTTGTATTACATTTTGGTGTAGTAGCCGTTGACAAAATGTCAAAATAATTCATCGATAGTTCCTGTAAATGACTTACCTAATAAAGAATCATATTGTGCCATACATCATTGTATTCATAATAAAAAATGCTACTCAACACAGAATGTACATTTTTCTGGTCCATATAAAAATATGATTGATTTTGTTTTTTTTAAATATCTTCGGAACTGATTGGAATTTCCAAATTTTTAAAAGATCATTTTAGTAAGCCCTAAAATACACCACTTTTTTCTAATTGAACTGACTGTCTATCTCTTATTGTTTCCGATTTCCCCATGCCGTTCATTGTTATCTTAGACACACTGCATACTGTATAATCTAATCATTAGCGTTTTCCATTTCAGGTTTAGCACGGTTGTATTCCAAGACAGAGAATTGGGCGATCAGCATAAAACAGCCTTTATAAAAGCCCTTGAAAGGTACAGGCAAATGAACGGAGTGTTTCCCACCAACGTTGTCATCTTCCGAGATGGCGTCGGCGATGGACAACTGAAACATTGCAAAAATTATGAAGTTGCGCAGTTTCAGCAGTGTTTGAATGATTACTCCATAAGTAACGTGAAATTGACCATGGTAGTGGTTCAAAAACGTATCAATACTCGAATATTCTTGAAGAAGGATCGCGAATTTGATAATCCAGTGCCTGGTACCGTCATGGATAATACGATAACGAGATTCAGTTGGTAAGTGTCGGTAGTATTTTATCGTCAGCTTGAAATGTCTTTCTATGGTCAATTATTCACAATGTTTTTTTTTTTGTAGGTACGACTTTTTCTTAGTTGCACAGCATGTGAGACAGGGCACTGTTACACCAACACATTATGTAGTGGTGCACGATGATGCTGAACTAAAACCAGACCATGTGCAAAAACTAACATACAAACTGTGCCACTTGTATTACAACTGGCCGGGAACAATCAGGGTACCTGCACCCTGTCAGTATGCGCATAAACTTGCGTACCTTGTGGGACAACATATTAGACGCGAGCCGTCTGTGAAACTTGCAGACGCTCTTTACTACCTCTAACTTTTGTTTACTTTTATGACCTCAGTTTTTGTAGTTTGTTCATTTTGTTTGTTTTTTTTAATGAAAAAAAAAGTGATTCCGTTTGTAAAAAGTGTTTGTTTATGCAAAATAATGAATCTAGATTAAGTAATGGTTTATTTTTATACCTCGTTGTATCTACATGTTCGTAGACTACTATCTGTGAAATAAGTTTGTTCTCATCCGATAACGAATAATGAAGGTACTTAAGTACTATCATAGTTTTTATTTCTTACCAATAAACTACTCGTTTGATTATCTCTTCTATTTCTTACTACTACAGGTAAAAATTTTAATAAATCGGTTGCCAAATTCTTGACAACAGCTTCCTAGCTCAAAGCAAATATTTAAAAAAGTTTTTGACAGTCTTACATCCTTTATGACTAATATACACTGTCAAAAGTCTGTATGTTCTGTTTTATTACTAAACACTTATCAAATTCCCCCATTTTTGTTGACCTCTTAATTCGATGTCATTTGGATGTTTATCTTCAACGATTATTAATTACGGTCAATTTTTTTTTGGTACATAATTGAAAATTGCTTTGTTTTGGATTCCTTCTATGCTGCGACGTTTCGTTTTTGAGAAACCATCAACTTCATATTTTTATATGGACCGGAAAAAAATACATAATGGAGTAGCATTTTTTATTACGAATACAATTATATATGGTACAATATGTCATTGAGAAGAACAAATTATTTTGACATTTTGTTAACGCCTACTAGACCAAAATGTTCAAAATTTAGTAACAAGCCATTTTTCTGAGCTAAATAATAAATAATATTTAACATTTTACTGTAGTAGGCGTTGACAAAATATCAAAATAATTCATTGAAGGTGACAAAGAATCTTATTGTGCCATACATCGTTGTTGATCGTTTCTCAAAGACGCCAATTGTACAGCTTAAAAAGTTCCTATGAGGAAATGTTATTTGTTTTTTGATATCTGATATGATTAATTTCATTTTTTTTCTGAACTGATCGGAATTTACAAATCTTTGAAATCATCATTTGACTTGCTTGCTTTTCCTTCATATATTGGACACACTGTATATATTACATTACCATAAGGACGCAAAAGGGGGGAAGGACAGAGATGAAGGTAATATCACTTTGTAACGACCCAGCTATTCACAGTCACAGGTACGTACAGTATTAACATTCTGGAATAACATTTGTTTAAATAACCTGAATTTTTTTCCTAATACACTAATGTAAAAAGAAATTTCTTCATGGGCAATTTTGCGCCTTCCCGGTAGCTGCGCCCTTGGCGGGCGCCCATCTCGCGACCGCCTAGAGACGGCACTACAGCATGTCTATACATACAGGGTGGTGACTTGCGTAACGCATCATAGGCATTTCAATGTAAAATTCATAACATGCGATTTTTTCTACAAAAAACTTTAATACATTTTTGCTCTAAAATAATTTGGGGAGCCAATAATTGCATGTTATGAATTTTTCATTGAAATCCCTATGATGCGTTACGCAAGGTCACCACCCTGTATATATTTTTGATAATATTATATTACATTACAATTTCACATTTCATTTGCCACTGTACTACTAATTGAGCATGGGAAATGGTCATGTGTTGTATTTCTGGAGTGAGCGATCAGTAGCCTTGTGCCAAGTAATGGCAATATACAAAGTAGTCCTTATTTGGACCACTGGTTACCAGGGCTGGCCCATTACATTTAGGGTACGGTTTTCTGACAGGGCTTTTACATGAAAATGGTTCAAATCGTTCAGAAACGACCGCATGAGACGTGTGATTGTCGCTGTGTCAGAACGCAGCCTTAGAGTTATATTGCCAACAATGGCCCTTAAATAAATGTTAACTGGGTAAGTTTGTCTTGAGTAATGGATCAATAATGGAGTACCGACCAAAATACAATGTTACAAAAAACAATACATGTAAATCAATGTAGCCATATAAGTTTACTTTTTCAATCACTTTTCAATTTTTATTATAAATAATGCATTGCGTAACAAACGTCCATTAAAAGTTAACAGGGTTAATCGCTGTAGGAAATCACTTTTACTTAAGGTACAAAAAATTGATAAACAAAACTAACACTATTCTTCGTGAATGTTGAATAATTTCGCTACTTCATTTAAGTCGTCGTATTTACGTTCATCTTTTAGAACTTGCCGCGCAATATTCATTCTATTAAATACATTCCATAGCAAAATTCCCACTACTATATCATCACGAAGGTAGAATATAACGCCTTTACCAAAATCTTCTCCTTCGTGATGAAGACCCTGTTCTTTTTTTATTTTTTCAATTAGTTTCATTTGTTCAGGATCAGCTTTATAATGTGGTTCACATTCTGCTGATACCAACTGAAATGGATATAAAGATTAATATCGTTTAACACACATTTGCGATCAATACTTCTGTTTCTGAACGTATTCCTTCATCTGTCGCTGCAACAACAGCCCCTGGACTATCTTTTGAGGTGGCCTTTGCAAATACCCCCACTGTTGGTAATGTAGAATCGACAATACCAATAGCTTCATAACCAACTTCGGGTCCCAAATCAGACCAAAACATACTCTGATGCCAGTAAGGTTTACTTGCACCCGCCATATTTTCCCCAGCCAAACGACCCGAAACAACTGCATGATCATGATGTTCCACTCGACGTCTCCCCAATTTTGTATCATAGAAACACGAACAATCGCCCGCCTTAAAACACACCATTAGAAAACAACTACAATCACAATCACTCACAATGTATAAGTGAGATCTCGCCTGTAATTCTGTATTCACTAAGTAACCTCCCAGCTCGGGATCAACTTCCAATTCCGATTTTTCGGCAAGAGTCGTGTTAGGAACAACACCTATTGCTACCACAACGTGGTCCGCCAGTACCGAAGAACCATTACTCAAATTAATTTCTACTTGGTCATCCTGTAACTTGACACCCGTAACTTCAGCATAAGGCATCACCTGAAAATGATTCTTGTTTATCAACTTTACAAAAGTTTGCGACTTATTACATTCACTCCTTCCTTCTTCACTTTTTCGGTAGTCCATAAACTGAGGTACTCCGGGAGAATTTTGCCCATATTGCCTCCTTCTTTAAAAATTTGCGTTACATGCAAATTATCCTTCCCTAGAACAACAAAAGCGAAATAAAGAACTTTGGATAATAGTGATTTTTAGCCATTTACAAAGACCCGACAGTGCACAGTCATGTAAAATTTCTATAAGGACTAACGCCACCTGCTCAAAAACTTGATTAGGCACGAGACGTTAAATAACATTAGGTTGGACTTCTACTTATGTTTTTTCCATACTCCATACAAAATCATATTTGTCATACTATAAAGGGTGTTTTTTTGGGAGATTTAGTTAACGTTTCTGGGAAAGTAAAGTATTTTCAAAATGGCCGCACTTCCGGAAACACCAGAAGTAGATAGTAACTTCGTTATTTTAAATGGCAATCTCTTTTGTTTATTGCATTTTTGGATTCCACATGAAATTTCAGTGTAACTCCTAAGTACAAATTTTCAAAAACCTACCTATTTTACTTTCCCATCTCAGAAAACTTTAACTAAAGCTCCTAAAAAAACACCCTGTATACTCTACTTTTTTATTAAAAAGATATAAAAAATACATTTCTTTAAAAACCAGGGGGAATCCAAATGACTTATTCATTAAACTACCCCCACCACCTCCTTGAGCACAACCTATACTGATGTAAAAATCTTAAATTAAAACACCACACCTCTTATTAAACATGTTTTTCACTAGCAGTGTTGAATTTTATTGTTCCTGCTTTATACATTTCATTAAAGGCGAAAGGCGCATCTTTATATAATGAGACAGGTTACGTCCTGGCGAAAATAACAGGCGCCCGAGCTCTACCCCTATACTTCGTACCATGAGCCCTTAGTGCGAATGACGTAAAAATCCCATATGACGTCCATTTAAAATAAGGTAGTTGAAGCCAATGTCTTGAAAACCGCCATTTTGAAAAAAATTGTCTACGTCCATTGAATTTTGCAACTTTTATTTGAAACTTTTTTCGATAGCTCTCTTTGTTACTAAAATATTTTAACTTTTTTAAAATGGCGATTTTCACTTTTTTCCAATTATCTATAAAAAGATCTATTTTTTCCCAAATATCGCATTGGAATATCCATCAGCATCAAAAACTACGCAACTTTGCCAATTTAACCAAATCTGTAAGTATAATAATAACAATTGTCGTGATATTCTACTCAATTTGAGACACCCTGTATAAATGAACGAGTTACAACTTGAAGTGTGGGCATTTGTGCCACACCTCTTACACCCCCACATAAGGCATGCACTTTGAATTGCTGCGGGAAGGGTGGCCAGCGTCATTACCTACCTAACTACTTTGAGGATCTGTGATTTTGTGACATGGCAAAAAATCTGGTCTTGATGCAACCCTACCTGTATATTGTGCACGTGGTTTTTTTGCACAAGGAGTTGACTTGATCCTGTATCTACTAAAATCATACCTTTCCTTGCCAATGCACATGCAAGTTCGCTTCCTAAAAATCCCCCTCCAATGATGACAAGAGAATTAGAATTGTGAAAGACATGATGCAAAGCTTGGAAATCATGTATTTCTCTAAATACTGTGACCTTCTCTTTCACTGCTGGTGGCGCATTCTCAAAAATATCCAAATTCTTAGGGGTTGAACCTGAAAAAAAACACTGTAAATGCAGCTCACATTCAACAATACCGTACCTGTAGCAATAAGACATTTGTCATAGGATATTTCATAACCGTCCTCTAAGAAAACCTTCTTGCCAACCACATCAAGATGGGTCACAACCCACCCTTTAGCAACAGCAACACCACCTTTCGGATTACTCATCAAGTTCTTGCAAGACTCATAGAAGTCGTCGGGTTCGTAATATAAACTGCGAAAAATCGAAATTAATATGCATTTACCTTGCTTAGACCAAATACCTGCGCTCCGTGCCATTCCACTGCTTAAACTTTAAATCGCGAACAGCCGACTCATCTGGACTAAACCACAACTCCTTGGAAAGTGGCGGCCTCATATGAGGAAAATTGTCTTCGTTCGAGATTACTAAAATCTGCACAAAACTATTACAATACACTCATAATTGCTAATATTACTTTTGCATCTGGTTCTGCGGACTTAATCGCACGAAAAGCGGAAAATGAAGCTGTACCACCCCCAATCAACAAATAAGGAACCTCGTTCGGAATTTCACTCGATTTAGATGGAATTTTTGAAACTTGTTTAACTAAAACAAAGCGATACAGTGACTTTGACTATTAGCGACGGTATACTTTTTCGTTTGCTTTTCTGTTGAACTGGTTCAGAGTGAGACGAACCCTTATAAACCTAAGACACAATCTATAATTCGCATTTATTGTTTTTGACCACTTACAGTTGCTACTGAAACTAACAATACAATTGCTCCGAAAATAAGTACTTTGAGGTAAGATTTCTTCTGTTGGCCTTCATGTTCCTTATAAGAACATTGCGGTTTAGGTAAACTATCCATTGCGTTAGTCGACGGACAATCATTATAAACAGGTAGAGGCTGCAAACAGGCAAATTTAAGCAAACACTGTGTCATTAAATGTGCTTACTTTGTGTCCAGGCGGGTTGCAATCTACAGGTTTTCGCTGGCAAAACTCGCCTTGGTCAGGAGGCACACATTCGCTACCTTCCGATTTTGGAGGCGTCTTGCAATCCTTTTTTGAATAAAATCTTTGCACAGTTGTTAATCGATGCCATCCTGTACCAAAGATTAAGAGATGCATATTTTTAAATCATATGTAATAGCGCTTACCTTCTAACAACTCTAGTCTTTGTGCGCTATGAGTTATACAATTGGCGACTTTGAAAATTCTGAACATTTCGTCCCAATTTTGTAAGAGAGTACTTTTTTTACAATTTACCTGTTAGGCTGTTATTCAAATTTGAGTTTTAAGGGATGTACTGTCATATTATTATTTATCACATACTTTGCGATTTGAAAACAACAAATTTGAGGTAACTTTGGTTCCAATTTTATAAACAAACTGTCAAATGTCTTTGTTTTATTTGGTCGAGGATTACGATTCAATAAGTAAGTATTTCAATTGTAATTTGGTTTAAATAAAATGCAATTAAATGCTTGTTGTTTAAAATAACCGGAAAATGTTTGAGAAAAGTGAGGTTAACTTACCTAATCATTCCACACTTTACAGCGTTGTCATATGTGTATCGACCTTTGCAATTTTTATCCAGAGTTGCAAAACTTTTAATTATAGGTAACGGGCGATCAAAAATGAGCTGCTGCGAGTCGCCTTTGGAAGTTAAAAGTTAAATACGAATTCCCATGTAAACAAAAATTCCAAAGGTGACTCGACAGCAACTCATTTTTGATCGCATAGTATACACCATATATGATATATAAGCATTGTATAGGTATACCATTGATTAGTTTTCTAACTCAATGTGGTATACACTCAGCCCCAGTTGCACCAAGAAAATTAAGCCTTGTTTATGCCGAACTTAAAATCTATGGCAACGATTATTAAGACAATCGTTGCTATGGTATTTAAGTAATGCTTAACTAAGGGATACTTAATTTTGACGGTGCAATTGGCCCTTAGAACAAAGAATTTACTCTTTGCTTAGAGGTACATATACAGGGTGTCCCTAAAAGGTCTGTACAACGCGCTACCAGGGGTTCTTGGTATCAAAATAGAACGATTTAACCCAACTTACCTCTATCCAAAAGTGCCTCGGTAAGGCGCTATCTACCGCCAAAGATTTTTTAAAAAAATCGCATGTATGGTGCATGCCATTCATCATGCCTAAATTTTTTTTTTTTCGTAAACCATCACAGATAGCAATATTCATCAAGAGACAAAAAATGCTTGCAAGTAAACTGTCTATCAGTGTCTAAAAATTCAGAACCGTCAAAATAGTAGTTAAAAAGTTTTAGACCTCTTCAGATGTGGATGGTCAGCATTTTACCACCTACATAGCAACTACAATCAAAACGATGATATCACAAAGACCCTTTTTACATTAGACATTCACATCCCGAATTTCATTTTAATCGGCAAAACCATTTTCCGATAAAATAAAAATAACGATTTTTTTTTAAATCTTTGGCGGTCGATAGCGCCTTACCGAGGCACTTTTGGATAGAGGTAAGTTGGGTTAAATCGTCCTATTTTGATACCATAGAACCCCTGGTAGCGCGTTGTACAGACCTTTTAGGGACACCCTGTATACATCCCGCGGGGATTTGGGTATGTAGTACAAGTTCGGAGTTTGAAAACATCTGAGGATATTACATAGTCCAGCCTAACTTGGAGGGCACCATTATAACATCTTTGTATGGAACTTTATCAGTGCTATTGTGCATATTTCGTATTTGAAGGAAATTTATACGTGTTCGCGGACTACCTTACGGGTCATAAAACACTATATCGCGGGCCATATGTTGGACAGCCCTGAAGATATCAAAGGTAAACATTATGCAACAAGCAAAACAAGTAACAAAAAGGTTTTTGCCTTTAGGGTAGGTATTTTCCATGGATTTATCAGTATCTACTTCCCAAAATGCTATGTCTATGTTTTTCTTTACTAAAAGTTAAATTTTCAAAGAAATATCTTAATAAATAACAACGTTAGCATTGCACATCTTATTTTTGCAATATGCGATGTGTTTGCATTAACTATATAGCTAGAAGCATCTGTGGTTAAAATTTCAAACTAGATACATCTGGTTAAAATTTCAATTACAATATTAGATATGATTGCCTTTACCAGAAGCATCTGTGATTAACATTTCTAAAAGATATCTCGATAAATGAAACAGTTTATGGTCTGCGCATATTAATCTGATGTTTAGATGTAATTCGCCATTTTTTTCAAAAAGTAAGTGTCCTGTAAAAATTGAACATCACAGTTATCATAAAACTTAGAAGGCCGTGACTTTGCAGTGTTAGTAACCATGAGATATACTAACGTACGCCCAATGACTACAGTTAAACTTCTTCTGCGTTAAAAGAAATCACTCGGTCAATGTTCAAAATTTCAATCAAAGGTAACTTGATTTTTTTTAATGGAACTACCAAGTTTTTTAGCACTCCTCAGAACATGAAGATCCAACTCTAACAAAATTTGTCGTATACACCTCCTATGCACTCAATCCATGGACACACTGTACATATAGTCATAACTATAAATTTTCTTTCGGCCGTTATTTTTGAAAAGGATTGAGTTGAAAGGGCTTAAAATTTACAAACATATCCAAACATTAAACGGCATATGTTACTCAATTTTATACTACAGAAAAAAAAACATTTTCAGAAAAGCAATACTAAACCTACACGCCAAATGAAAAACAAAAAAAATAGCAACAAACAAAAAGCTGCTGTAACAACCTGATAATCCAATCTTCAATTGCAAAATCTCTAGGTTGCCTTGATTGAAAATAAAAATAAATTATAATGTAAGCAATAATTACAGTATATCAAAGAGTACTGGTTACTCTTTGATAATATCTTACACAGGTTCACAAAACAAATAAATTACTGCAAAATATAAATATATAAAAAATGGAATAATACAAAATTAAGCAACAGAGAATATAATCCTATAATACATTTAATAGTAATAGTAGATGCCATCTTTTTCTGTTAGTTCTGTTAATAGAAACAATTTAATACAAAATATAGAACAGTCTTTACAAATTACGAATAATACTTATATTAAATGTGAACAGTGAACATGCCATTATCGTTTGTCATGGTATCAAAAATAAATATATGTTGTGAGAATGAGATATATATGAAAGTTTAATTAGAAAGAACATTCTGGACGGATATGGAATGTATACTTATAATTGCACTTAAATTGATTTATATGAAGCCCATTTTTTAAGGCCCCGTTTATTTTCGATTAAACGCTATTAACGTAACAGTCTACGTTTGTATGTGGCAGTCTCCCCAGGAAATACACGTAATTAGTTCATACTTGCATCCGATACCCAAAAAGTGCAAAAATTCAAATTAGGTGGGTGACATGTGTATCTCCTGGGCCATATCCTAAAACCTATCTTTGCTTCCTCCCATATCAGGATCGGTCAAGTAATGCAGGTCCTGTAATTCTTGAAACTTTTCATGGTCCCGTATATGAGCGTAATTCGCTGACAAGCACATTAAATAGTGAATCTGCAAGGTACTATATGTCAAATGTACACTTAGAGACAAAGACAACTTACCAAACTTAAAATGATCAAAACAGTAGCTGCAGTTGCTAAAATAAACATAAGCTCTGCTTTATCAACGTAATCGCCACAGAACAGCTTAATATCGTTTTCACCACAAACTTGCATATGTTCCTGAAGCGTTCCTTTGGGAAACAGAAAATCTGAAAAGGGTTTTTATTAAGTATGAGTGGATATTATGTTTTCAGCACTTACAAAACTGTTGGAATTCAATGCAATCACGAAGCTCCTTAACTCGAGGATTATCGCACATATTCCAGAAAATTGTGAACACAAATGTAATTATGACTAAGAAAGCAAACATCAATATCCAAGCTATTTGTAAAATGTAGGTCACCACCATAAACTAAAAAGAAGTTTGAACATTATAAATCATGAGGAGTATTCTCTTAAAAATATGAGGTGCACTTGTAATATTGAATTTTTAGATGGCTAACAAGTGAAAGGCTTACATAATTGGTCATGTCAATGGTATTGAGTCATGTCAAGTTCGATATTCTCCCCCTGAACTTTTATTCGGTGCAGCACTGGTAAATTGTTAAACAAGAGCCTACTTTTCTGGTTTGTTAAGAAACTTTTTCATATCTGTGACTGTTATCGTGAAAACAAATAATCAAAACATTCAAAATGTTCTGTAGTGTAGTTAGCTGAAAGTATAATTTTTCAAATGGTCCAGTAGGCTTTGGCTTTATTTGGAGAATATCTCGTTTTTATTAGTTTTCACAGTTGGCATTGCAAATTGCATCTTGTGTTTGCATATGTTTATAAATTACAGGTTTAAATTGTAATGTTTATATGAACTTTTAGTCATAAAATAAGCCAATGAATTAGCCCTTTCCGTATTCACATCATATTTAGGAACACCCTATATTTGACGAATAAATTTATTAGGAGGTGGATATCTCAGTCCTAAGAAAATATTTCAAAATACAAAAAACACTAATAAAGTGGTTGGCCCCTCTATAAAATGCAATACTCCATAAACTTACGATTGCACAGCCGATTCGGCCACCAACCCTCGACCTCCAAGCTCGATAAACTTTGCGCCTTGTTGCTCCCGTGGCCAAACATCCCACAGTTAAGATCATACAGCCTAGTGCTCCCATGCATGCTCCGATTATAACGAATATCATTTGTATAGCGTCAATCCTGCAGTCGCCAATTAAAACTAAGAACATCAAATAATATTGAAAACTTACCAATAAAGTCGCACTTTAAATACTTGCTCGAACATCAACATAGACAAAGATGCGCCTTTAAATAATGTCCAACAGAACACGATGACTCCCAATGTGCACATTATTGTCGCAATCATAGTTGCGTACGGAATTCGGCTCATACATGCATCGCAGGCACCTAATTTGAATACAGATTTAAATAGCCACAAGACTAAAAATACTAAACGCTAAAATTGCAAACCCTCACCCCTATTTTTCCTTTGGATCGAATATTCAGAAAAGCCACCTAAACTATTTTGAGAGTTTGATAGAAAGGAAGTTTCTTGTAACTGTAAAACTCCTTCGGGCATCGTAATAAATTGATGGTAACTAGGCTTTTATATCCAATAACAATAAATAATGACTAATGTTAATAACAAGGTGAGTACCACACCTACATGATTGTAGATTAGATAAAATTGAATTTTTTAACAGATTCCTATAAAAAATAACGGTAATATACATACCCATTGCTGCTTTTGTGTGAACGTTTGCGAAATTGGTCAGTAGAAAATAATAATTTAAGGGAAATCTAACAGGTAATTACATGTTTTTTAATAACAAAGGTGGTTTGGCAGTTTTCCCTTCTTTATTTAGTTTTAAGAAAGTTTGAGACATGAAAAAGGATAACAAGATGTAGATCAAACGTAACAAAAAACGGTAATTTTTATTTATACAACTATTGGAGCTACTGTATTGTGCGTTTTAACTACTATGAGATAATCATGGCCACTGGCGTAGTCTGTTCAAAAGTAGAGGACCTGAAATTAAATTAATTGTAGCGTGAAAGCGTTATTCTCTCTTATAACTTAATTTGCTAAATGATAATGTGGAATTAATGATAATTAATTATTATAACTTTAGGCAATGGAATGCAGTGGATTTTATTTATACCTAGAAATTAACAATATTTGTAACATTTCCAAGGAAATGTTCTTTCATAAGAGGACGTGGTGTGACGACTTGATGAAAAAATGCCTTTACTTTTAAGATTTGTAAAGCTCTTAACGACTAATAAATGACTCCAAAATAACGATTTCTACTTCGTTTTGAGCTTGGTTCTCAGACGTTTAGAGGTTCTTAAGGACTTTCAAACACTTATTATTCAAAATCTTTAATGCGCCTGTCACAGAGACTTTAAAGCGGGGGTTGAAACCGGAACCGGAACGTATTGCATTTATTATAATTTTTTTTTTAAAGAAAGGGTTGTTTATTTTCAATGAATTTTTTACTACAAATTAATTTTATGAATACTTTTTAAAATAAGAGTATGAGTATAGGTAACAACAATAATCTTAATATAATGTGACGGAAGCAAGTAGCGTCAATGGAAGGCTTAGAGAGCTCAGCAAGTATCCGCTTCAGTTTTCTGCCATGTTTCATTTTCAGAATGAAAATATTTCGTCCATTCCTGGATGGTCTGGGAGGGTGCCCCTAATGCTAGCGTGGTTTCCACGTTGGATGGCAAGCGATATTCTTTGGAATAGGAAACTTTTAGCACGGCTATCTCCGGATTCTGCTATGAGGTTTTGTCCAATACACTTCAAAAATGATGTTGTTTCCGAGCCGCAGGGGCCAAAGTAGGTTTCAAATTAAGCTAGAGCCGTAAAGAAAAAATTGTTAGATTTCAAACCGGAATATTTTTCGTGCTTCTTCTTTGCTTGAATTTCACTAGCTGATCCGGCGGTTATTGATGTTTGATGTCTGTTTGATACCGCAACAGTGTCCACGCGGGTGACATCCCAAATTAAGCGTTGTCCTCTTCGCCATGGTGCTAGAGTGACTCCATCTGGTCGTTTTCCATCGTCGCGTGACAAACGTACAGGCTCCAGAATTGAACAAACCTTAATTGACGCAAGCGAGCTCTCTGAATGATGTGATTCAGCTCTGTGTGCCGTGAATGTCTTCCCTTGCTAGATAAGCAGCTTAAACCGCGATGCCCATTTTCCTCTACAACCTTTCCACAGTTGCATTGGTGCTTTTGAAACCTCTTGCAGCCAAGGCGGAGAACCATACAGGTTTCAAAGACTGGGATTTAAATTCGGTGTTTTTAATCCGCTTGATGTTCATTAGATCCCAGCATTTTTGACTATGAGGAATTGCAGCAATCTCAGTAATTTAAATAATTCCATGCCAGCATCAGCCTGAAGGTAGATAGGAAATGGGCTATCCATATGGGGAAGAATTTGAGACGCCAAAGTCTGAGCACCCTAAGGTGATACATATTATTCACACCATAATTCATCAACATAAATAACGTTCCTAAACGCACCAATCAAATTTATGTTCTATGTTGTGTTGCGTCCTTTTTTTAATGTATAGTACTACTGATGAGAGAGAAAGAGTGTGTGAAATTCATATGTCGATGGGAATGAGTCATACACAACTTGCTTTGAATTACAATATATTTCAACAGCACGTTTACAATTTTTAATTTTTTATCATAAAACTACAATGATAAAACTAGGCCGAGTTGTTTGGCCTCGGAGCAGGAAATTGCTCTGATAGTCTAGTTTAGAACACCGGCAAACTGTTTTGGTTGTCTAACCTAACACAATTATTTGTAGTTCCTAATTCCTTTCCACTTTTACTTAGCTACATCTAAAGTCTGCCCCCTAGATAAACGTGCTATTATACTGGATATAACGAACTCGAACTTTAATCTCTCATAAATTGTATTTGATGTGTAATCCTGTATAGCGGTCATTGAACTGATACGGTTAAGGAGTTCATTGTACCAAGTGTGTGTGTTTTCTGTAACTACCTTCAAATTTATATTTTACGGTTAACCATGCGACTGGTAATTTTGGAATCAGCTGATAGTGTTGCAGAATGGGCCGCCAAATACGTTATGAAACGTATAAACGACTTCCAATGTGGACCGGACAAATACTTTGTATTAGGTCTTCCAACTGGTAAGTAGGGAAATCCCGGCATAAACCCGGCAACATTTTATAACCGTTTTAAGGTAGCACTCCATATGGTATGTACCAGAAGCTGATAGAATATCATAAAGCGGGCCGAGTATCGTTCAAATACGTAAAAACCTTTAATATGGATGAATATGTGAATCTTCCCAGAGACCATCCGGAAAGCTATCACTATTACATGTTACATAATTTCTTCAAACACATTGACATAGATCCAAAAAATGCTCACGTTTTAGATGGGAACGCTCCGGATCTTGTGGAAGAATGTAGTAATTACGAAAAGGAGATTGCAAGAGCAGGTGGCATTGACTTGTTTGTAGGGGGTATTATGACTGCGATAGAGGTGGCTCCAGGATAAGAGTGCGAAAAGTCCCCTTAAACCAACTGAATAGAAGTAAAAAAATAGTACTTACTCAAAAAAAGTAAGTTTGATCAGTGTTACCTACATCCCTTTCTCTGCTTCACTTGCCCAAAATGGATGTGTCAAAAAACTAAAACATCTTTTAAAGCGGTATATACTCAATTTTTAGCACATTTTAAAAAAAAAATAGGCTTATATATTATCTTTCTGGCTGGCTGGCTGTCCGACTAATATCTCAGCCATTACAATAGCTAGAGACTTCAAATTTTCATTAAAAGCTTTCTGCTATATTGTATATTATGTGCAGGCTCTATTCTATTTTGAGTTACATCATTTGTGTGGTTGCTAATTTTAAACTTTGCTAATCAAATACTGATCTATATTACCAAAAATGCGCTTTCGTTATGCATATGCTGATTTACAACTTGTTTAAAAGAACATAGCGCAGAAACTATTTTATATTTTACAGTCGAGCCTACAGTTGAAGCAGTTCGAGTTCAATTTTTTAATAGGTTAGGTACTGCCCAGATCAGGGTTGAAATCGTTTTTAGTTTTCATTTGCAGTGTACATCTTCTAATTTTCAGTTTCCCGTTTTCATTCCTCAACTTCCAGTTATTTGCTATCTCCAGATTCCCTTTCCCTGTTCCCTATTCCAGTATCTAATTTCCGGGTGCTAGTTTCTATTTGGTCCATTTTCTGGTTGTCAGCTTCAAATCTTCGTTCTCAGATTTTTTAGTTGCAAGCTTCTTGTTTCCAGTCCTGAGCAAAAGTGTCTATTTCCTATACATTCCCAGTTTACTAGGCCACACTCTCTGGATACCAGTTTCATATAATCATTCTCTTTTTCTGGTTCCCATTAGTTACCTTTTTCTTTTTCCAGTTTTCCATGTTACTTTTCAATTTCCCATATTACTGATTTGGGGGATGTTACTTTTTATAAGTATTGTTATGTCAATTGGTTTAAGCGCACTATTCGCCATCTTAGACGGGGGTCCTCTGTGTTCATATATGTAATGTGAGACTTGATAGGGATTGGGCCAGATGGGCATATTGCATTTAATGAACCGGGTTCGTCATTAGTATCAAGAACGAGAGTAAAAACTTTGGCTCAAGATACTTTAGAGGCCAATGCGCGTTTCTTCGGGAATGATATTAATAAAGTACCTCATCAAGCCCTCACTGTTGGTGTGGGGACGGTTATGGACTCGAAAGAAGTAACCTCACACTATTTGTCGCTTTTTTTGAAAGTCTCTTTGTAGGTAATGATTTTAATAACCGGTGGTCACAAAGCATTTGCCTTGTACAAAGCAATAGAGGAGGGTGTCAGTCATATGTGGACGGTTTCAGCATTCCAGCAACATCCCCATACACTATTTATCTGTGATGAAGACGCCACGTTAGAGTTAAAAGTGAAAACTGTTAAATATTTTAAGGTAATAAAACAGAGGTTGCTTATTAGCGCTTTTGTTTTAACTTCGCTTGTTGATAGGCTTTGAGTGCTGTACATCATAAGCTCATCGAAGACACAACACCCATTAACCGTTCTAGAAGCATTCACTAGCTCTGCATGGCAGATTCAACATTGTAGCTGTTATTCTTAATCTTTTATTACAGAATTTAAGAAATGTTTATAATCAGTTGCTAGAAGGGGGTTATTAAGGTTTACATGATCGATAAAGGAGCACCAATCATCTTGTGGAAAAAGTAATCATTTTGCTTGCGGATTCTTCAAATGTTATCTGCTCTTGTGGTAAATTGTGCTTTGATAACAAAAATTATCTGCGTACATTCTGCAAGACTGCTTATATTTCCTTTATCATGTATTGTCAGATATTTTTATACTTTTCAATAAATACTTGTAATGGCCGTGAATGTCTCCATGGTTTTCAAGTTCAAGGATCTCGAAAATGCGTAAGTATTGGTAGTTTTTTTATTTATAATATTGTCTTATTTATTTTATGGTGGACAGAGTGTCAGCTACTCTTCCCACTCAACCCACTATACAATCACAGTCATGCCTTACCTGGGATTCGAACCTTGTAGCCAAAGTTGAGCTACTAACGCAAATTCATCTGAGCTGACAAATTTATTATACAGAGGCGCAAGGTCGCCTATTATCAACACTGATATCGGCGTAGACCTGCTTATAATGGCTTAACAGAACTGAAATTCTAAAATATGAATTTGTTTTCTAAATGCAATTTGACTACGTTTTTAAGGGTATCTCCTAAATGCAGCACGTTCTTGACATATGAATATTAGATCGGATATAGACGACTGCGCATCCGATGTTTTGCGGACACAATGGGCGCCGTCATTTTGACGTACAAACGTACGTCTTTGATTGACTTTTATGACGTTGACACAACTTCACATATTTCATTTTGTGATTATACACACAATGTGTGTGTATAACCAATGCTATAAGTGTACAACTCTGTGGCCATTTCACACTTCGCGCAGGTCGTCGCCCAATCTACCTATTCCATGCACCTCTTAAAAAAAATAAAATGTCCGTGACTTATTTTCATATATCTATGAGCACGTTAGGCCCTCGGTTTATTTGGAAAAATATTTCTAGTAGTCCCCTCCATCACCTACGTTTTCACTACACCCCGTATAGTCAAGCCATTTCAACTACTTTGTTGTGTACTGTCAAAACACAACACATAACCTCAAAACCGCACTCCGTTGTAACCAAGTTGTAACTCTTTATTCATTGGTTGTAACTTTTGTGAAATTGTGAATTTAATACATATCTTATTACCACTTCCATTACATCCAAATAGGCTCAAAGCCGGGATTTCGTAATTCTTCCTCTTTGCTTGAAGTTTAATTAGGTTTAATTTTGTTGAACAATTTGTTGATATTTTTTAGTGGAAATGACAATCATTGTATTTTTAATTGACACATCTTCATCAATGCACCAAAAGTAGGTTCGCCTTTTTTTGTAAAAACTATCGGTTAATGAATATGAATCGTAGGACATACGTCGGTGGTCGCACAACATTACTTGATGTTGCTAAATCGGCAGTTGAAACATTTGTTAAGATTCGCCAACGAAGTCTCGAAAGTAGAATAGATCGCTACATGCTCTTAACGTTTGAAGAGTCACCGAATAATATAAAAGCCGGTAATGAAACTACAATCTCATATTCAATTTGTATAACTTTTTCTCACCAGGCTGGAAGGAAAATTTGGCCACATTCATGAACGAATTGAAAAATTTACCTTGCTATTCTATGACAACGATGGGACTCGCGGTTAAGCAGGCGTTTGATATTCTAAACATCAATCGATTGACCTCCGGTATTGATACCTACGGACAAGGCCGTAGCCCATTTTTTTTAGAGACTGCCGTCATCGTTTTAATAACTGATGGGGGACCTTTAAGCACAAGTACAACACTGTTAGCTTTTTGAATCTTTTTACATACATTTTTTTTGTCTGCAGCTTCGGGAGTTCACGAAGATTTTACTTTACCAATGACCAATTCGTTGCCCGGGTCCGAATTGACCAGAGAACCTTTTAGGTGGGATCAAAGGTTATTTGCGTTGGTCTTGCGTTTAACAGGTACAGAGAAATCTTTATTTATTCTTTAATTCTATTTTGTTCTATAACGTGTTTTTTTACCTATTATATTTGCATTTTGTGGTCAAATTTGTTACATGGATTTTCTCTTTTACAAACTATTCTTCACTTATATTTACGATACTGTGCTACAATTTACTGCACTTTATTTTTTTTGCACAGATTACAGTAGAATTTTGAGGTCAAAATCGCCTCGTGAGGGTGTATTACAAGGAATTATAATATTATTCACCTTTTGGTAATTCATTTAATTATTTAATTATTTTCAAGCTGATGGTTGTATCATTTCTTTATGATAGCACAGAGGGGCAACAAGAAATATATTTTTTTTTATAATTTAGTGGCAATTCTGAATTTTGGATTTATATAATTAGGAAGCAGTAGGATACAGTAGAAGTATTGACATATACAGGGCGTCCTACATTGAATGGGATTGCATGGGCAACTTTGTTATTGAAAATATAAATGAGTGGGCAAAGTTGTACAGGGTGGTCCAAATTCGTGACTCACTATTGGGATCTCGGTAACAGTGAGAGATACAGTGCAGGTTAAATTAGGGCAAAGTTGTCTATTTGTGAACAAAAAAACGCTTTTAAATATTTTAATCTGGCTACATCCAAGAAGCGTTGAAATATATTTTTTTTCAATCAATTTTAGCCCGCCTCAATCAATAAAAATAAAATAAATTTGTTGCATGAGATGCATATCATTTTCACCCATTTTATTCTGGCAGGTACTCCGGCAATTGAAAGGGATACTGGATTAGTTCCAAGCGACAGTAGTTCAATAGACGCAATGTGCGAAGTGACAGGAGGACGTTCGTATTCCATTACTTCGCATCGTATGCTCAATCAGTGCATTGACAGCTTGGTGCAAAAAGTAAGAATTTATTAAGCTAAAGGATTTTGCATTAATTTATTAGCGCCCGACAGTCAATTTTCTGACTAATTATTAAATTGAAAAAAAATAGACACCAATAACGAGACTATAAATTGTCCACCAGCAAAAGCAATTTTTCAGCTTCTGAATTCAAATTTCTTTAGGTACAAAACGGAGTTGTAATCAATTTCGAAAAAATAGGTCCCGATCCGCCCCCACCGACTAATATAGAAAAAGGTGACGACATATTGTTGGTAAAGGAAGAATTGACTACTAACGGCAGAGAGTGCGATCCCACGAACGATTTGTCCAATATGAATTTGTTGCAAATGCAAAGCTTAGGCGCGCAGAATACCTCGTGGCATAACTGTAGGCGTATGATTTACGTGCCGACGAGAACAAATCAAAAAGGATTCCCAACAGGTTCGGTTGGCGCTCTGTTGTAACAAAATTTAACTCTTTTGTTGATCAGGTTACTGGCCCATTCCGGAATCGTTTTGGCCTGAGGTGACTGCATCGGTTCTACCTCCGCGGAACGCCCATCCGAATGTCAAGTTTGCGTGCACAAGTTCTGATCCTATGGTTATCGAAAATTTACCATTTGATAAGTATGAGTTAGAACCGTCCCCCTTAACACAGTACATTTTATCTCGGAAGCAACCCACTACTTGTTGGCAGGTTTGTTGTGTTTCTGTTTTATGATCATAATGCATTATGAAATACTGGTTCTGCATCTTAAAATTTAGTGGTTTGAAGCCAGACTAAAGTTAGATACAGACTGAGACTAGCCACGAAATTAGTAACTTTTGTAACTCAGGACATCATTATGTTTTGTTGATATATTTTCAGTGGAATGCGTTTTCTACTTTAAACAAACTTCTCATATTACGAATGACTACTGATACTGCCATATTGGATTAGCAAGTGTCGACTTTTAAAACAAACTCTTTGAAGGGCGCCTAATTTTATGCAACCCAAACAGCTTATACACACGCATTGTGCACTGATTTATTTTGCGCTCTTTTTAAAATGTCACTGTTTCAGCAAAAGTTTAACGCACCTTACTAAAAGGATTCATATCTTTCTGTCAATTGCCTTGCTTTTTATATAAGTTATACTATGACAGCTAGATCTTTATTTGTTTTAAGAAGATATTTTGGTTGCATAAAATTAGGCGCCTTCAGAAGATATTTTGTCTTTTAAAATTAGACATAGGGAAAAACAATACACGTAAATCTCTAAGCCTACTTCTTAATAAATATTGTATATCACAAGGAAAACAAGAAATATGATATTGTTGTGATTTTCATTGGAACAGGAAAAAGTCATGTTTCATTTTTGGAAAAGGTTGACAGAGTTTTTCATATTTTATTTAGTTTATAATCTTCGATTTAGATTAATACATTTAGATGGTGGCATACCTCACTCTTTATCTACATAGTCTGTATATCACGAATTCTATCTACTCTAAATAATTAGAACCGTGAACCTAAATATTTTAATTGTATTATTTTCATGCAAGTAAAATTGTGATCTTTACACGCAGTTAATATGATCAAATAGGTTTTTGTTGCCAATAGTTATAAAAGTTCAGAAGTTGGCCACCCTTTCGGTTATTTAAAAGCGAGTACAAATCTAAACTGTGTTAACTTATTTGTAATGCCTTACAATTATCCAGTTTTGTTGCCGTTACTAGATGAACTGCTTAAGGTAAGTTATCTGATCGTGCCGATTCTCATAATAATTGATATCTCTCGTTGCGTCCAGATTCATAGATGGAAACCGACGAACGAGTGGAGGACTCAGTTTCAAAATTATATGCGCACACTTCCAGCCTATTACGCGCTTCCTTTAAGGAGGGCTATCACCAGGATGGGTGAGCACAACGTTAGTTTTCAGCACCTGTGGGCTAATGTTAGTTGTAGGGGCACCGGTTGCTCTGGCCCAAACACTGATACCCGAAAGTGCTGAAAACTGTCTAAGCTATTCGGTACATTCCTATTTGAAGCGTATAAAAAATCAGGCAAAAAGTGAATATGATCGTATATGCGGTGAAATTATACAAAGACAAATGACTGTGAGTATACACTTGATCATAGTTACAGACTGATAATCACTTTTTAGAATACTGTGAAAAATACTTACAACACTCCCGAACAGATACGCGTAATTGCAAGGGTGAGCTTAAAAAAGGAGTTAGTGAGCCATTCGTTGTTGGTTGACAAATTCACTTCCCAACGCGATCAAATAAATGACCAGGCCAGTTTTATTACAACAATCGACAAGGAAAGGCCAAATGTTAGTTTCAAGAATCCATTTGATATTCCTAGAGATCGACTCGTAGAACATGTAAGTGTTCTTTTTTTTATAGAGAGTCAACGTTTCAACAAAAATCGATACTTGATAATCAACAGAATTACTTTTCGCAAACGAATGAACGTAGTAGTAAGCGATTAGCCTAAAATAACTGAGAAATCCTTCTCAACCTATATTTAATAATTCAATATAACAATTTTAAGCAATGTAAGTACAGGTGATACTGTATAACTGTATTGCAATAATGGAGGGAAAAAGCAGTTTGGAGGAGGGCCAAACACTGTTTTTTTATGACGGATCCATTCTTGAACTTCAGTTTCAGAGAAATGGCAGACGATCAGTTATCGCTGCTGCATTCAGCGCACATCTGGTATAGTGAGTTGGGTTAGTAGAGCAGCCTTGGCTGAAACCCCGCCCACTTAAAAATAAAGACCAATAATTATAAACAATAAATAAGAGTTTCCAAAATCTGCCAAGTTAATTAGGATACGTGTTTTTTCGAATCCCAATTAGAGAGCGATCCAGTTTTTTCCAATGTTGGACGACTAGAGGGTAGTTTAGACGTCTTATACATAAGGTAGTGTATATGGTTCATATTCAGCACAAATCGTGTCCCTTAAGGATTTTGATTAGTTTTGAACCGGATGTTCCTGTACTATTCGATCTAATTATTTTGTATCTGTTTGATAAAAACAAAAATTGTTTCCATTGTAAATAAAATCCATGTAGGGAATTTTTGGCGCCCAACCTGGGACACACAGCAGTATATTTAGGTATGATGGAAATGATGTCAACGATTACGAAATAGAGACGACTGGTGCCACTACTTACTGCAAGGATGGTTGAGGGAGATGAGAGAGGGATTTAGTTCTTTGACATTGAAGGCCGTAGGTATCTAGGCAAGCAGTGGTATCCTTAGGATGGACAATAATTAAGTTATTGTCCAACATAACTGGGAGGGGGTTATCTAGGTAGATTCAGCTAGCGCACAATACATTTTAGATTCGTTCTGACATTAAACAATGTCTTAAGATTGTTATGTAAATAACATCCATTGACGGTTTCTTCGTACTCGCGTTGCTGATATTGAAAGCTTAAAATGTATAGCTAGATCTTCAGTGTTTAACTCGACTAACACACGTAATTAGTTTGGCGCTCTTTAAAGTTGCCCAATCAGGTACTGTATCAACGCCAAACCAAAGAAGTATTTTGTATAGACAGCACAAACAAATAGATATACATTATGCACTATTGATTTAGTGTATTCAGATATTTTTGATTGTGTGAGAGGAAACGTTGATTTTTAATGTCCATTTCCTAATTCTTGCAAATATCGCAAACTACAAATCATTTTGTAGGTGGATAGAATGAGAAACAATTTTGTACGATCAGATTGGGTATCACTGGACCACGATGCAGCACATTCTCTACCTATATCTCAAATGGGTAACTACCAGGAGTATCTTAAAAAACAAACACCTCAACTTCGAGAAATCGAATCTGTGCCTGTCAGGCAACATATGTTCGGAAATCCATTTAAAATTGATAAGCGCATGATGGTATTTCGATTTATTAAAATTGTATTATGCACTAAGCCATTTCGTTTAGGTTGACGAAGCTGATATAGATTTAGTCGGTTCCGGTTCACCTGGCGCCACTCGAGCAAATAAGCGTTCGGCGCCATCTGTGGTCGACACCGTGGTTCGTCTACCAAATAAGCGAAAAGCCGGGCCTCTTCCGAAAGATCTAGTCGTTCGTAGACCGAGCGCAACGTCTCCCGTTTCCAGTCCTGGAGTTTCGCGATCGTCATCACCATTACCTTGGTAAAACTCTAGATTATGAATACAATCAGCTCTAGCACGTGATTCTAGGATCAGTGTTGCCGAAAAAGAACCTCCGATCGTTGAGGAGAAGCCACCAGCTGTCACTGCATTGGTTAACGGTGTTGAAAATACCACGGAAAGGTCGCGTTCGCCATCCCCGACGCTGGTAGAAGAAAATTCCATGTACGGAGGCGATATAAGCCATCTATACCTACGCCCGAACTTTGTCGGCTCAGGTGTTTACTCATTACCATCCATTAACGACAATCTATTACTGAGTATTCCAAACGAAATTAGCTACAGTATTATCAGTAACGACGAAAAGAACCAAATATCACAAATACTCAAAGAAGCCAATGCTATAAGTGGTTTGAATGTAAACAGTTTTCAAGCGTCACAAGAAGTCAAACCGGTCAAGGTATCAATTCACACCGTCCGCTTCGTTTTATACCTATTTAATTTACAGGTAATAAGCGAAAATAAACAAGACATAGAAAATCACAACATTAAAATTAGAAAAACTCTAAATAAATTGGTTCGAAAACCTGGGAAGAATTTTTCTGAATTATTCGATAACATTAAGCTTTTGAAGGGGGATACAGAAGTACAAGTGGCTCTTGTCAAACTCATTGTTACCGAATCCTTGCGCTTTAAAAGACATCAGTTGGCTCACCTGTTGGAGGAACATATACAGAACTTAAGAAATTTAGATAATAAATAAATGTTTAGTTAATGTCGTGAAAGTTTTTAATAAAAAATTATGTGCGAATGCGTTTATTATTACAATATTTGACGTGTTTGTGACATTATTGTTGGTATTAGGGTTGCAAACGATCCCACATAAGGTCAACTGGTTACCGAGTGAAATACATTTTTTAGAAATCTTTATATGTAAACAAACACATTGCAAATGGGTTGCCTAAAAAAATTAAGTCAAGACTACCATTAATTAATATTTCTGGCACTTTCTTACATTTTCTGCTAAAAAAAATTGAACCTCTACGGAATTGGCAATGACAATTAACCCAATATAACATAACTTCAAACTGTAATTAAAACTCATTTCCAGGGCCTTCTGGATACAAAATATAAGTACCTGTATTAAATGGAGGTGTTGAATTGAAGTCCAATGGTATCTAATAAAAGCTTGGTATATCCGAATAAAATTGCCTAAAAATTCCCTGTTTATCTTTTTGAGTTTTGACAGATAATTAGTTAACCTTGTTTTTATTTTTACTTTTTGCATGTTTCACTAATTAGTAATTAGCCAATTCCAAGAAATTATCTACACGTTTAATAGCGAATCTTTTAGCAGGAATTATGGTCAATATTTGACATCACAATGAGTAATTTTAAGTTATATAATTTAAGCAAAAAAATGTTACTTTAACAATACAGAGAAAGTATTAAGTTTTATTATTTTAATAAGTAAATGAATTTGTATAAAAATGACTGTAACATACACCGCGGAAGTAGCCACCTGCACAGGGCTTGGATGTTTTTTACACCTGTTGGGGAGGTCAGCTCGGATTATCTGATTTTATTGTGTACCACATTGATTTTCGCTTTGTAGGTGGCGAGGTAGCATTTATAAATTAGTATGGAGAGATCTGTTGATATACTTAGTATGTTATTACACGCTGAATCTGATTTATCGACTGGCGCTAAATGAAGGGCAGCAGCTGTTAGTAAGTGATAAGATCCACATCACAATAATCTCATGTATGCTTCACAGAGTATTTGAAAGTGTCGTCGATTATTGTAAAGAGTACAGCACCTTAATTCCGTTGTCGTTCGTGCTCGGCTTTTACGTGAACATTGTAATGCAGAGATGGTGGAATCAATATACCGCAATTCCAAGGCCTGACTCGCTCGCCGTTTTTGTTAGTAGCACCGTGCATGGCCAGGTAAAAAAGTCTTCGTCAGCTTCATTTGGACAAGTGTATGCATTTAGGATGAAAGGGGACGTGTTATGCGAAGAACTATAATGAGATATGCGTGCCTAAGTGTCAGCATGGTATTTACAATGATTTCTCCAAGGGTGAAAAAGCGATTTCCAACCTTAGGCCATTTTGTTGAAGCTGGTCTCCTACAACCTGGCGAAAAAGAAATAATGGACGATCTAAATTCCAAATTTCCTAAACATTCTAAACACTGGTAGGTACTGTGTAGCAAATAAAATATTGTTACACATCTTTATGCCGAAAAAATGTACAATTTCAACAGAGTATTTATTGAGATGTAATGCTGAAATCTGAATTCATCAGTGAACAATTTAATTAATTTTGAATTTCATAAAGTAAGATGTTTATTGTTGGTAAAAATTATTATCAAATTGTGACTATTAGAATGATCAAGATAGAGTAAGTACCTAAAAGAAACAAATGAAATGAGTCATACATTCATTGTGTCGAATCACTACCAGTGGGGGCTCCAATTTTGTTAAGAAAAAAGTTAAACTTATGTTTTTGACAACTAAGAATTTTAAGTTATGCTTCAATATGCAACTTGTGATCACTATACTAATAAAATTTTGTTGTGAATGAGGTCAGATATGAACGGAAAACTGTTCTTGATCCTGTATGATTTTTATAACGCGAGAATGATAAAATCGATACAATGTTGCTTATCATTTAACACATATCAATTCTCCTAGAACTGTGTACAGCTCATTTTTGGTCCATCAAGGTTTTCAAATACGGTTAAGTTTTTGTTTACTTGTCAAAAAATTCCCTTAGTGTTATAAAATAGTCTTCTAACAAAAATCGTGTCTCATTATCTCATACCGCGTTTATGGAGCGCCCTGTACATACAAAAATATTCTTTTACTTTTTAGAAGTTATCTAATAAGTTAGAAATGGTACACCTTCTACACTATAAAAACAGACCTATCAATCATCCTACTCTTACCCTCAATTTGAAAACTTGTTTCTTTTTATTTGCTTTTGTCAGATGTAGAGATGGATTTAGGTTATTGGGCGTATATAATTCTCCAAGTATAATTCACCTCTCTCCATCTAACTTGTGGCAATAAACAGGAGCCAATTTTGTGGAAGGCAATGTAGTATGTTTGAACCCAGCAAACAGTAAGATATCTTATGTTCGAAATGATTCGAGTTGACTGATTACGATGACATTTTACATCCAAAAGTTGAGTTGATTTATGAAGGTAATTAAATGAAATTTGCTACATAGGCACTTAGAATAAAAGCTAATCTATCGCCAGGTTCAAAATTTTATTTTGCGCATGCGCAATGTTAACTTCCTTATTTGTGAAAACATTTAAATGAAATTTGATACATATGCACTTGGATTATAAAAGCAAATATTACACCAATTTTTTTATATATGCACATTCCTTTACTGCATGCACATCTGAAAAGAGCTTTAATTTATTTTGGTTTAAAAAATGCGCTTTTATATACTTGTTTACCATGTTGCTTTTCAACTTTTCTCACACGATCCTCATTCTGTCATTCTCAAAATGTTATTCAATATCTTTCTACAAAAAAACTTTATTCCATGTACTTGAACCAATTTGACACTACATGCAGTCTCAGTATTTTTTGAGATTTTTGTATCTGGTCCAAAAAGTGTGCACATAGTTCTTAAACTCTTGAAATTTTTTTCATATACATTCTGTATACTACGAAAGCGTAGAACGGACAAGGTAGTTCAAATTATGTAATCTCGAGATATAAGTCAGGATTAATCCTGAGATATAAGTAGGAATTATACGCAATCCCGAGATGTAAGTGAGCATTATACTTAATCCCGAGATATAAGTCGGGATTATATACTCCTGACTTATATCTCGGGATTATGTACAATCCTCACATCTCGAGATTACGTATAATCCCGACTTATATCTCGGGATTAAGTATAATCCCGACTTATTTCTCGAGATTAAGTATAATCCCGATTTATATCTCGGGATTAAGTATAATCCCTACATATCTCGGGATTACATAATTTGAACTACTTTGTCCGTTCTACGCTTTCATAGTATACTTCTCCAGTGTGCGTTTAACTAGTCGTTTTAAACAATCCTGCCATCTTTTGCTTGCCATGGAAACCTAGATGTCTGCAACAACAATATTGTAATACCATATTGCAAATTATACTTAATATAAATATAACAAGTGATACATCAAAATTATAGAATTTTTCCGCTCTTTTCAAAAACTCTAAAATATGTAGGGTGGTCGGTATGAAAAAATGTAGTTTAGGGTTGTACCAAAACCAAACACCCTGTATAAAAATTCTATATAAAAAAGTGGTCTACAAAAGATTGTGCTAAGATCAATTATTTTTGATAATATAAGAAAGCTATGGGGCATTAAAGAAATCACTGAGTTGTGACCCCCTCCCCCCCATCCCCCGCGGCCGAACGGTTAGAAATAGCCGAATTTTGATGGTGCCAGTGATTTTCTCTCTCAAAATTGAGCTCCAGACACCTAGGTCCATTTTTTTCTATATTTAAAGTAAAGGGTGTTTCCATAAGAAGGTCCAATTTGGACCACTCTGTGATGAGGCGCTTCTTGAAGTCGTCTCTTAACAGTTCCATAGCACATATCGTCGTGCGTGTGCGATGTCGCGCCATTCTGTTGAATCAATGCGTTGCTCAGGTTCATTTCTTCAAACCTTGAAAGAAACAAGTCTCTTATCTTTTTTGTATAGCACTCAGAATGTTTGCTACGACGGTACGGTTGTCTTCTTCAAAGAAATAGCGTGCATTATTCCCAGTTTTGAAACAACACACCAAAGAATGACACTTTCACAATGCAGAGTTCACTTGTTTTGTATATTCATGCAAGTCGGTCATGACAAGTTTTTAAGGAGCTATATGGCGGGCATAAAAATAATGTTCAGTCAGCTCTTATTGTTAAGGATTCATCTCAGAGTGCGGTATCAAATCCCCTGGGCAAAACGTGTGGAAGAACGCACAAACGGTTGTATCACTGCCACAATATTTTCTGGTGTTCTGACGCTCCCTACTGACTATAAAACCTTCTTGCCAGGCATCATTTTAAATCTATGACACAATTACAATAAAAGAACATGTTTGTTTAATTAATAATTGTGTAATAACGGTTTCTCTTGAGTGAATACTTTCCTTGCATTTAGGTTACCACTGGTATGGGCCGCCAGTATAGTAACAGGTGCTCGTAAAGAAGGACGCGTACGCGATGATTTTGCAGTAAAAACCATGCTCGACGAGATAAATAAGTTCAGGAGTCAATGTGGAACGCTGCTAACTTACGATACAATGAGTATACCCCTTGTTTACACGCAGGTACTTATATCGAAAGCTGTACAATCAAAATAAAGGGAATTCTTTTAGGTCGTTACGTTAGCTGTTTACACTTATTTTGTGACTACCCTCATGGGTCACCAATGGATTAAAGAATCAAAGTCGACCGTTGATATTTACTTTCCTGTTTTTACAACGTTGCAATTCTTTTTTTATGTAGGGTGGCTCAAAGTCGCCGAAACGTTAATCAATCCCTTCGGGGACGATGATGATGATTTTGAAGTGAATTGGATGATTGACAGAAACTTGCAGATGTCATACTTGATCGTAGACGAAATGCATCACGATCATCCAGAACTTATCCGAGATCAGTATTGGGACGAAGTGTTCCCCTTCGAATTACCATACACTTTGGCATCGGAACCGTTCCGTGAACAACATCCGTTACCATCGACCGCCAATATTAAAGTGAAAAGGGACGAATCCGATCTTTTTATTCCATCATCTCTGAAAATTGACGAAATACAGTACGATGATCTGCATAGTCCTATTAATTTCACGGCGAAACCTGCAAGTTTACGAAGATCTGGAAGCTCTAAGCTCTCACTAGGACGGTCTGTTTCGGACGGAATGCACCGAGTAAACACTGTGGCTGGTCGTTTGAAACGTATGTTTTCCACCAAGGACGAAAGTGAGAATAAGGATAAAGAGAATTACGCTGGCTCTATGGCGGAACTTGCGCAAAGTAATCAGTCATTACATATAAAACCCCCACGACCTGGTAGTATGCGGATTGCCGATCAAGTCATTGAAGAGGTGATCACATTCCAAAATGCTCGCCATTTTATACGTTCTTATTTGTCTAGGTTGATGAACAAACCACTATAACACAGCAGAAAAAGGCGGAACCACCTCATCCCTCTGTTATAGGTTTGTTTGGTCCACCACCACCGTCCCAGCCAGTGCCTGTACCAACGACAAGTGCCTCGTAAATACTTACAAGTGGTGGTAGTTACACAATTCTGATTATGAACTGAAACTTAATTTGTTTAACTACTATCATAATAATTTCACTAATTGCTTATGTTTTTTGGTGTGTTTTACTAACAGTACGAGTATGACAACTGAAACAATCAAAATTTGGAAATCGAATTCAACATTTTGAATTTTGTATTGATATTTTGATAGTTTTGAAAATGCTCTGTACATTTTTTTAACGTATCTCTCAAAATTACTGGTTGATGCTATTCTTCAAAAGCTTTAATTTAACTAACCACGTTAACAACCCTTTGCTACCATACCAAGTAAGTAAACAATAAGCTTTTATCTATGGGTGGGAAAACGGACCACTAATGTTAGCTTTAATTGAAAAAAGACAATATACTTATTGTATTTTTTTATTTTTAAATAAATATCTCCGCACATATGTTCGATTATTACCACAGTTCGGGATGATAGCAAAGGAAATACATGTACTGTATATAGCACATGGAGAAATGCTTTAATTACAATGTAACTATTTTCAGACCGTTTGAATTTCCTGTGATTCAACGACCTCAGATATCTAAATCGGCACCGACACATGAGACACCGAGGGAGATGGATTTTATTGATAACATTAGCATTGGGTCTGTAGATGCGGATGGTTCCGATGATGAATTTACGAGGTTGAAAAATTTACGCGAACAAGAAAGACGCAGTCGGTAAGTTGTGTGGTCTTAAACCCATCGAGCTTCAAATCTGATGAGGCTGTAGACTGAAGATGTTATAGTAGGATTTTCCTTAGTTTGTCATTGGCGTATTATGACGTCATCACTCATATGTTTACATAGTATCATGCAATCAATGGAAGAGAATACGTATGTAGGCAGCCATAGAGAAAGTGCTGCATTGTGGGTAGGATACCCATTACGTCAACGACTTGTGATGTACCCAAGTCGACAGATCCAGCGCTAACAAAAGCGGGAAAAATACGAACTCAGAATATCAGTGTAGTAACAACATTGACCAGATTCCCTATGTTGTGAAAGACTCACTCGTACCCAAGCTTATTATTGGAAAGGTGGAACGCAAATAACACACTTATTGAATTTGAGAAGCAAAAGAAAGTTTATTGAACAATTGATCAAAAGTGTAAAATGAATCAAAAAGCCAAATTTAGACAGAATTCCGAATTACTGTTCACAAACATTAAACATAGGTTCGAAAATCTGGAGAAATTCGAAAAACACATTTTACATCAATATACAAGGATTAAAATCGAAGGAAGTAAGCTTTGAATTTTACTATAGGTAATTTAAATCTGACGTTAATGTAATACAAAATTTGATAAAGTAAAAAAGGCCATCCCAGGCAGATTTAAAAGCAACTCCAAAACTTTCCCCATTTGTGAAAGGATAACATTCCGAAGTCACTTACATAAAGTACACGAACTACATTGTTAATTAGCCGGACCTCCTCCAGTCCGGAAGGTATCTAAAGGTCCTCTATACGGTAACCTTTGAGGTTGTATTTTGAGATGAATACCGCTAAGTATCTTTATTACTTCGGCATCTACCTCTGCACAGGCGAAACAGTTAATTACACTCAAAAAAGGCAGATTCGTATACAAAGAATTGAAGTCGCTAATCAATCCAAACGAGTTTAAACAATCAAATAAAAATTAATAACTGGTCAATCTCAAACAAATCAAAATAGGAATAACATCTACATTGATAGCAAATAAAATCAAATTCAAGAACACCTGAGTTACAAACAATTGAACTAAATTCACTGGATCCAGAAAGCAAAGTGACGCTAAAATACAAAATGAACCTGGCTCCATTCAAACCACCAACATCGCTAACGGGTTTCTTACTTTGCCTTGTTTTTTTGGACGCGGGCTTAATATTCAATGCATCCGCAACTCTCTGTGAAATGAAACATATACCAATTTTTATATTACTTAAATTAATCACTCACCTGCCTTACTGCCGCGACTGGTAAAAGACCAGAATATCTTTCTCGTTCAAAATATCGAATATGATTAGAAAAAGTTGCTTACTTTTTCGTGGTAAACGTGATGGCATTTGTGGCTTATACAACTTTTGGCGCAGAATATCGTAGTGAGACTTACGGAAGTTATGCTTCTATAATTGTTCGTTATGGAACTAACGGATTTTTTTATCGGCTAATATAACAAAACGCGATAAAATAATGAAAATGGTAGCAGATTGTCAAATTTTACGAGTTGTGTAAACAATTTTGGTTGAGATAACCTGAAAACCAAAAAAAAACCTTTTCACAGAAGGTTTTAGGTTTTATTTTTTAATGAACGCACAACTCTGCCTCAAGAACCTATATTTTGTGAAATATAGTGATCAGTCTACACAAACACGTGATTCCAAGGTTTATTGATGTTTAAAATGTTTTTTTTTAACTTTGTTAATACGTTGGCCTTACAAACAGAATTGATGACGTGTGCGCAAACCAAGGAAAATCCTACATTATTGAATATAGATAATAGGTGCCTATCATTACTGTTAACTAAACTTGACAAAATCGACAGATGTTTCTTTGGGCGAACATTTGTCAATTTTGTTTGAGTTGGTAGACAATTTTTTAAAACAGTTATGGTATCGTCTATTTAAAAGTATTGCGTTTTTGGTTCTTGGGACGAGGTACATTTGAAGTGAAAACGACAGGCGAGATACAGAAAAATGTATCCCACTTGGTGGCGAATTTAAGAGGAAGAAGGTAGTCAAATTGGCCATAGCCCCTTTTTTGACAATTTTTAATGATGATTTTGAAAAACTGCAGCAGCCCTTGAAGCTTTTTTAAAACTCAGTGACACATTTAAACAAAAATGGCATCTATTTTAAAAATCAAGATGGCGTCAACTTCCGGTATTTACGCAATCGACGCCATCTTGAAATTATTTTATTTTATTTGGCATTATGGATTATGAACCAAATTTTAAGTGTCTATTTCAATCGCAAGTTTAAAAACTTCTAACGAACGGGCTACGTGAATCTCCCTGTATAATATTAAGATATACAGTGCTCTTGGTAATAAAGGCCGCTTGACATGGAGCAATACAACGCGCAAGAACTTGCAGAAAGAAATTGCAAGGTCAAATCCTTGCATGCAATAAGCATTGCATGGTATTTGACATGGTGCAATTCTATTTCAATTGCCACATGTCTGCCAACAGAAGAAACATATGGATTTGTCAACAAAGTAGTTAACCTCAAATGAAAATTAAATTTTGATTGCTTGAAGAAACATGAAAATTACAAGAATAAATAAGATTAATAAAAACAAGTAATGAGTGCGTCTCTCAGCATCATAGTTGCCGCCGCTGTATTTTACTAGGTTGGTGACACAAAAACAACTAGATTTATCCCTAGAATTGCACGATTCATGCAAGAAAAATAGCACCGGTCCTATAAAGATTGCATGCAAGTCTCTTGCAGCAATTGATCAGCTGGCTTTGAACTGCGCATGCCTTTCGCAATTTTTCTTGCAACTTGCATGCAATTGCAATTTTTATTGCTCCATGTCAAGCGGGCTTAAGGTATCTTTCTTGATTTTTAGCAGCGTATAATATAAAAGAATATTCTCTTTCAATTAGTGATAAAACCAATGGCAATAGTTAAAAGCATTTGTTGATGTAAATTAGGCCAATCAGAGCTCATTTTTTAATTGTAGCTTTTTTTTCAAACCAAAACAGACGATTTCAGGTTTTAAAAATATTTTGATAACTTTTTTTAGTTTTTACAAAAACCTGCTTACAGACGGAAGCACTTAGTTCTTTTGCTTTTAGTACAGAATTTTCTCCGCTGGAGTGAAATATGGTGGCTATTATCATTTGAAAAAAATAGTTTTACTCTGTTATCGTAAAGGTCTTACTGCCAAACCTAGGTTAAATCTAATAGGTGATTGCACATGCACATATTTGGAGGTAATTTATTAAAATAATTGTTATTTTCCTTTTTTTATTTTAACTTTTTATTTTGGTTGTTGTGGTGTTTGAGTTTTTGTTTTGTGTGGAGGTTAGTGTTTCATAATTTGAATTTTTAACGGCCTACTAATTACTAAGCGGATTTGAAAATCGAATCGAACTCTGAATTATTAGAAATTGTGGAAGTATAAAAAATATGTAAAAGGTCAATACCGCCATGCTTATATCGTCAGAAACGTAATCAAATCCCAAATTTGGTAATTCCATTTTTTTTAAATCAAGTTACCTTTCATTGAAGTTTTGAAAATTGACATTTTCTTTTGATACAAAAAACTTCAACTTTGACCGTTCGGCGTATGTCACAGCCTTCTAAGTGTTATGATAACTATTCAATTTTTTTTGGACATCTACATTGTTGAAAAAATTACTCATGCCAAGCAATCGAGATGCATACCAGGGTTCTATTTAAAAAATGCAACTTTGATATAGATCACCCTGTATAACAATTGCAATTCTGTTGAAAATATTTTTAGTTTGTGGCCTTAAAGAGTCTGGACAATGAATTTTAAAAATGTGTGTTAGTAAACCCACGATCTTCCATCCAATGGACTGTATATTATTGTTTATGTCTTTATACAAAATAGTTTAGAATCAATCATTATTTTTATAATTATTTGCATAAACCTACTTACACAAGATGAATTTTTTTTTGGGCGATAAAAGTAATTGTCAGATGCATGAAAAACCGGCTCCAAGATAAATAAAGTTTAAATTCTATTCTTGTTTAAGGCTTGCAATAAATTACGGAAGATCATTGAGCAACAGAAGCGATCATAATGATACAGAGTTGTTACTGCTCGAGAGGCGCGGAAGTTCAAAGAAGTCATCCAGGGGTTCCATAGATGTATGACACGTTATTTTAGTCAAACCAGCTTCTAGTAAATATCCATTTATACAAACTTGTTGATATGGCCTTAGTATAAGCACAATAATTTATTTTAATATAGTAACTGCATAAAATTAGTAATTTTCGATATTCTTATTAAAAATGTAATCGAGTACAGAAAAAGTGCATGATTTTACAATAATTAATACAAACATTGCCTTGCTTTACAATTACTGTAGAATAAGCCAAAATGTATTCAATTTTAAATAAATTTTTAGTGTAAGGATCTCAGTATCTCGCAAAAACTATTTTTTTAATACTTCTTCAGTTCAATTATAATTTTTGAGTCAATTTTATAGGATTGCATGTTTGGCTGACGTTATTTTAATTTTTATTAGTTTCTTTATACAATTTTTTATTTGTCCAAAATTTAAACTAAACCGAATGGTTTTTGAAGAAATTAAAAATGTTACAATGACGGTTCGAAGGTTCGTTTCTTTCCACATTCTACAAAAGTCATTCATTTTCTCTATAGGCTGATTCAACTTCGAAGGCGCCACCATGGGGATCTCGAAAACTGTAAGAGAGGTCGGTAGTTTAAATATGGCAAAGATTTCGTATTTTGATGTTTAACAAAATGCCGTTTTGAAACTGAAAAAATTCCTACTACAAGAGAATTCCGGAAAAAACTAAAACTTTTTTTCTTATGGAAGCCATTTTTTTCAATTTCAAAACGCCATTTTGTTAGGTATTAAAATACGCAACTTTGCCAATGCCAAATTTAAACTACCTATCTCTTACGGTTTCCCAGATCCCCGTGGTGGCCCTCGAATTTGAATCAGCCTGTATTAAAAATTGCCGTTATTTTTCAGTCCATAATCCATTATTGAACAGGAAACAAGATACGAAGAATCGCATATGATTTTCAGTAGGCGAATTGTGTGACACTCGGCTCGCATTCGGAAATACAACTTTTAATTTGGCTCATATTCAATAGCACTGATCCTTGCACTTGTAGAAATCAATTGGCCAAGGTTTGATATCATTGTCTCTTTTCGTTCTTGTAGACGAAGCACAGACGGACGGACGAACCCATCTCACAAGAGGAAGTGTTCTCGTAAAATTCCCCGAAAAAGGCGTTTCCATTTAAAAAATTAAGTTTTTGCATATTCAGACGTCCACAATTTATTATGAATTCTGTACACTTTGTATGACAGTTTCGCGGCCAGCTCGGTCGACGCTGCAGTCGCGGCGTAGACGACAAACGCGACCGAAGCGTCTACGTCCAGGCACTGAACATAAAGTAGTGCAAGCGCATATAGAAGCGGCAAACGCGGAAATATCAAATATTTTGACCTGCTGTGTCGCCTCAAAATCGCTTGAGCAGGCGCGGTAGTTGCTAGGTAGGACATACCAATAAACTATTTATTTAGTTTTGAAACGAGCTTTAATTATTTACCTACTGGCCGGCGAGATACAATTTGCGAAATGGGTACGATAGGAGACCTCCTGCCACACCTATTTACTCTGTAAAGGCCACAGTGCGACCAAAAAATGAGCGTACTGAGTGCGCGCGATAGGGGGATAGGGATGGTGCCGTCCTTTAATAAAGTGGCTCCCCCGCAGCGACGCAGACGAGCAAAAAATTGGCGATATCGAATATATCATTCCATGACAGTATCCATGTTGTTCCTCTAATAATAGACAAATTATCTGGGCAACTTCCTCTTTCCTGTAGTTATTAATGTTGATTGAAAGAGATCCATTAGACTATAATGAGTAGGTATATTTACAGTAAGGCCGTAAGGCTTATTAATAGCATAATGGAATTGACAGCATGGACTGTTAATAGTTTGGCAACGTTGCCCTTATAAAACTCGGAATGTGTATCAATTTGAACGCATTTACTTGTTAAGTCGAACACCAGATGGCCAGACTCGAAAACGTTTCGACGGACTCAAATATATCTGCATACGATTTTTACTACAGAATAAAACTTCTTTCTAATAAACTCCTGCGAAACATAATAAATTAATAACTGTTCTAAATGTAAATAATAACACATGGTATGTGGTATGTCGTATTCGTTTTTGATGGAGAATTGTGCAGCGTTCGCACTTTTGTCCCGAATTTGTTAGGATTATCGAGATAGGGGTACATACATTTTTAGAGTGCAAATAACAAAAAAAAATATTCTAATTGATTCTATTGTGAACGATTTAATGTTAATGTTTCTCAAACATCTACGTTATGTGTACGCACTGATTGCAATTGCTAATTCTTGCATTGTGAATACTATGTAATCAAACATAACCATAAAATGAACAAACATTACACCAAAAATGAAAACGATATTTCAAAACAGTAAAAGTTAACGGTATCAAATACGCGATTCTGCATTGAGGTTAAATCAAGTCAATTTCAAAAACAAAGATGGTAAATTATAAAAGCATATAAAATGTTGCATACAAAGAACAAATAGATCAAAAAGAAACCCAAAGATTACTGCCTGTATTAAATTTCACAAAAATAACAAAAAACAAACTATAACAAAACGCTTTCTTATTAACGGCCGTAATCAAGATGCCAAACGTAACCAGCGTTCGTGTGTTCTCTAGATATCACAGACAGGATTTCCTCGTCAAAAAATTTCGTGGTTGTCAGATCTCAAAAATTTGTGCACCATTGTAGGTTGTAGATACAGGGTTAAACCTCTCACAATGTTGAGTATAATCGTCAGTCGAGGTCTCGACTCATCGGTTCGCATCACCGCGCACGTACATTCCCAGACACAAGGGAAAGGGTATTCCCTACCAAATACAATACCAATTTCCATCTGATAAGGCTCCCTATCGCAAACGACCAGATGTGTCCTTTTTTTAATAACGCAAATTCCACCGTATGTGTTCTAGGCACTGTGTGTTATCATTACAATATAGTATGTCTGCTAGGAACTGGAAATAAAAACTGGATGTGTACCAAAAATGTCCACTTTCAACCAATCTTCTCAACTTTTATTTATTTAATAAATTCAACCCAACCTACACAAGAAAGTAAAGGTGCCTTCAGTGTGACAGAGCCTTTTAGTTACAAGCTGCTGATCCCCGCATTATCAGAAGTTGGATGGTAGTCTACTCTGGAACTTGTAGCTTAGCCAAATGGAAATTTAGACGGTCGATTTCTTTGTCACGTGGCAAAAATTGATCGGTGTTTAATTTGTATTTTTGTTTTAGGCTTGCAAAAAATTACGGAAGATCATTGAGCAACAGAAGCGAACATAATGATACAGAGATGTTACTACTCGAGAGGCGCGGAAGTATTAAGAGGTCATCCAGCAGTTCCACCTACATAGATGTAGCCCGTTGTTTTAGTCAAACCAGCTCAAAGTAGATTTCCATTTATACAAACTTGTCAATATGGCCTTAGCAAAAGCACAATCATTTATTTTAATATTGTAACTGCATAGTTAGTAATTTTCGATATTTTTATTAAAATGTATTGAGTACAAAAACAAAAATTTACGATTTACAATGCTTAATGAAAACATAGCCTCTTTTCAATTACCGTACAACAAGACAATATGTATTATTAAATTTAAATAAATTTTTAAATAGTTGCTTAAAACAATTTATCTTTTCCCCGAAACCACCCCATCATAAACAGCTCATTTTGAATTGACATACTCCACCTTCTTGCCAGTTTTTTTAATAATGTCTAATATATCATCAGCAGCGAGGGTCGACGTAACTTTCACATTTTGTCCTTTTAAATCTATATCAATCTTACTGACTCCTTTCCCTGCAACATAATATTAACAAGGTACAAGAGTACTGTATTCTTTTGGGTGACATGTACAGTTCCACATGCATAAATCTGATCCTAAATACCTATTACTTGCAGAGGTAGGTATAACTAGAATGATCGACAAAGAGCCCTAATGAATTGCATGTGAAACTGCTTAAAAATGTATCACCTTCAAGTTTTCCTAAAACTCTTTGCACTGCACCCGAACATCCTTCGCAAGTCATTTCGACAGTGTATTCGTGAGTTTGCCCCTAAAATAATAAGACAAAATATAGTGTACCCATTTAGGTTAGTACCTCCGACATGATGTAATCCAAAATTTTCAATTTCAATTTAGTTTATAAAATGATAAAGCATTTTTCCGGAGCACAGCAGCGTTTATCTAAAATGACGTTTATTTAATTTTTGATAATAAAAACAAAAAAACTCTGAGTAACATACGGTTGTTATTTTATTGGTTGTTAAACCTACCAATAAAATCAGTGGTTTTGAAAGCGATTTTAAAGCGGGAATTAATAGTTGTATAAGGTGTTGTAAAAGTATTGTCCATATGAAAAATTGCCCAATCTGTGATATGTCTGTATTGTAATTTGTAACATTGCATCACTTGAGAAAGCTAACCATTTTGAAGTAGTGCACCGCTACGTTACATGCCACTTTGATTAAATAAAATTCAAAATATTCAATTCAAATGAACACGACCTTACTTTTTGGTATGGTTGCAAAAAATTAATAATTATATAAATTTTTTCATAATAATAATTTATTAAAATCTAGTTATTCTAATTATTACAATATTTTATTTTATAGTTGATTACTGTCTTGTATATTTCGTAATATTCTGTTAATTTTTATTCATTCTCTTTTAAAACGCAAGGATCACATTTCTCACAAAATTGGGGAAGCACTATGCATCAAAGAAGAATATTGCACTCCTCTGTTTTCTATCATAAAATATTCTATTTCCAAACTCCTGGACATTTGCTTGACCGTTTAAGGTGTACGGATGTGAATAATTTATTTTTACGGCATAGGGGCCTGTTAGATATTCCCGCCCACAGTACACAATATTTTGAAAAATCGTTTTCGTATGACGTGGTAAAAATTTATAATACGATTCCGCGGTCTCTCAAAATTTCAGTCCATCATCCTTTAAATCTAAAATGTGCCAGTTGCTGATATCATAGCAAATTACACTATGCGAATATCAAATACACTGCAATTAGAGATTTTGTAGCATTTCATTTTTCTTTCTTAATGCGTGGTGAGTGATCGTTTCATTGGTGTTATTCATACATGTGTTGCTGTTATATTATGCTCGACAGGGCTGCATGGAAGATCAGGGTATTTCTACAATGAATGCAGTCCTTCCCACATTTATCTTATTTTGTTTTGTTTACGTGGGAATAAACATTATTATTATTCGCCGGCTTGTGTGCTGGACTGTTCTTGGTTCGAATCCGGGTTCAAGCAGGGATATTTGTAAATGTATAGTGGGTTGGGTTGGTAGAGAAGCCTTGGCTGAAATCCCGCCCACTTAAAAATAAAATAAAAATAAATTATTATTATAAGTATATTTCATTACTTAATAGAGAAAGACATAAGCATCGTTGGACTAATGTATTTTGACGTTTTGCGAACGAAATCAGTGCATAATATAACAATAAACATATTGAAGATGTTTATTATTTGTCCCATAATCACAAATAGCATATTTAAAATCCTAACAAATTTTATGTTTTAAAAGATGTTGTTTGAAGTAGCGTTTAGCATTTGTCGCATAATCACAATCAATACATTTAAAATCCTTCGAAACTTTATGTGTTAAAAGATGTAGTTTCAAGTAGCGTTTAACATTTGTCCTATAATCACAAGTAGCGCATTTCAAATCCTTAGAAACTGTATGTGTTAAAAGATGTTGTTTGAAATTGTATTTAATATTTGTTCCATAATCACAAGTAGCACATTTAAAATGCTTAGAAACTTTATGTGTTAAAAGATGTTGTTTGAAACTGTATTTAATATTTGTCCCGTAATCACAATCAGCACATTTAAAATCCTTAAAAACTGTATGTTTTAAAATATGTCGTTTGAAGCAGCTTTTATTATTTGTCCCGTAGTCACAAGTAGCACACTTAAAATCTTTAGAAACTTTATGTTTTAAAAGATGTCGTTTGAAGCCGTCTTTATCATTTGTCCCATAATCACAATCAACGCATTTAAAATCTTTCGAAGCTTTATGTATTAAAATATGTCGTTTGTAGTAAGATTTAACATTTGTGCCATAATCACAGTCAGCACATTTAAAATTTTTAAAACTTGTATGTTTTAAAAAATGTTGTTTGAAAAGGTATTTATTATTTGTTCCATAATCACAACTAGCACACTTAAAATCCTTAGAAACTTGATGTTTTAAAAGATGTCGTTTGAAGGTTCCTTTATTATTTGTGCCATAATTACAATCAGCACATTTAAAATTCTTTGAAACTGTATGTTTTAAAAAGTGTTTTTTAAGATCAATTTTAAAATTTGTCTCATAGTCACAATTAGCACATTTAAAATCTTTAGAAACTTTATGTATTAAGAGATGTTGTTTAAAGTTGCTTTTAATATTTGTCCCATAATGACAATCAGCACATTTAAAATCCTTCGAAGCTTTATGTTTTAAAAGATGTATTCTCAAGTGATATTTAACATTTGTCCCATAATCACAATCTGCACATTTAAAATCTTTAGAAACTTTATGTATTAAAATATGTCGTTTGAAGCAGCTTTTAACATTTGTCCCATAACCACAAGTAGCACACTTAAAATCTTTAGAAACTTTATGTTTTAAAAGATGTTGTTTCAAGCGGAGTTTATCATTTGTCCCATAATCACAAGTAACACACTTAAAATCTTTAGAAACTTTATGTATTAAAATATGTCGTTTGATGTGGTTTTTATCATTTGTCCCATAATCACAGTCAGCACATTTAAAATTTTTAACTGTAACTGTATGTTTAGAATCTTGATGTATTAGAAGATGTTTTTTGTAGACCCATTTATCATTTGTACCATAATCACAATCAGCACATTTAAAATCCTTAGAAACTTTATGTGTTAAGAGATGTCGTTTGAAATTACTTTTACCATTTGTCCCATAATCACAATCCACACATTTAAAATCCTTAGTAACTTTATGTATTAAAAGATGTTGTTTGAAGCTGCTTTTAATATTTGTCCCATAATCACAATCAGCACATTTAAAATCCTTTGAAACTTTATGTTTTAAAAGATGTCGTTTGAAGTGAGGTTCAACATTTGTTCCATAACCACAATCGGCACATTTAAAATCTTTTGTAACTTTATGTATTAAAAGATGTTGTTTGAAGAGGTATTTATAATTGGTCCCATAATCACAATCAGCACACTTAAAATCCTTCGAAACTTTATGTTTTAAAAGATGTCGTTTGAAGTGGGATTCAACATTTGTCCCATAATCACAATCAGTACATTTAAAATCCTTAGTAACTTTATGTTTTAAAAGATGTTGTTTCAAGTGATATTTAATATTTGACCCATAATCACAATCAGCACATTTAAAATCTTTAGACACTGCTTTAGACCGAGTTAAAAGGTGAGGAGGGTCAGAGTGTTGCTGTACTTCTTCATTATCAAAAGATTTAGAACACGATGTACTAATGATAATTTCGTCTTTTGTTGTCACCAAAACTTCGTTACATATTGAAGTGCTTCCCTGAAGAATGGAATCAATTTCTTCTTCTTGTTTTGGTTCGACTTTAATGAATGGTGTATCCTCATCTTCATCCATACCTAACAAGTTATACTCCTATAAATAAGTGTTAAAAAATGAATTTTGGTTAATCAGAAATCGATTTTGGAATTAAACAAAAGAGAACGAGATCCCAGAGCCACCAGACACTACTTACTTTCTGAGTAACAGCATAGACCATGTTATTTGGTCTATGGTAACAGCATTGTTATAGACAACGGTAACAGTACAGTAACACAGCACCACGCTTGACCTCGGCTTAGGCTATGAAAGAAATTCCTTCTCTTAGGCACCACACGCCACTACTCACTAGTTCACTAGTATTGGCATTGATTACCACTTAATTTGTATAATCAGTGGTATTGGATTAATGGTTATAAAAAAAACTTTAATTCAATGAGGTTTACCCGTTTACGTTACTTGCGTCTCTGTTGCACCATTGTTTAAATTAAACATGTCACCATAAACAAATACACTATTTATTTAGACCACGATAGTAGCGCCAACTGGATTTTCTAGACCAGAACTACTCATTTCGTTCAACATGGTTCAAGTAAATTGCACAAATCTTCCCATAAGGTTGTTTCGTAGTTTAACTATAAAGAATGATAACGGCATGCATGACCCTTATATAAAATTTTGGAGGGGGTTGTAACGCCCAAACCTCCCCCCTCTCCATGAGTGCGTCCCTGATATCTGTACCATAGAGTAAAAATCTTTATTTCTTACTCTAAAGTTGTGTACATCATTCAGCATATGAGTTGTAACGAAATTCACAGGAGAAATACATTTTTTTCATTGTCTTTTAATGAAATAACGAACTCAAAATTCACTTAATCAAAACATTACTTTTTTATAAGTTGTTCACCTGACTCTCCGGCGGACAAGTCTCTCATCTATGTAATCTCCATAGACAAATGAATTACATTATGTCCATGGCAATCTGTGTAATCTAATAAATGTACTTACAATAAATTAATAAACAAAGATACAATGCTTTCATGGACCACCGGTTGGGAAACACTGGTCTAGGATGACCCTTTCCATAACACCACAGTCCACAGGCACAACTTGGTCGAGCGTTCTAAAAAAACCGCTCAAGCACTCTAATTGTCTCAACAAAGTGCTCAGCGGTCTATCGCACAAGTGAAAAAAAACACTCGAGAGCGGAAAGACCGCTCGCGGACAGAAAAAAGTGCTCGAGCACCAAATACTTTAAATAAATGCAAGCGGCCGCTCCGAAAAGTGCTTGTACGCTCGCAAGACTTTTTTCAAGCGAAATGCTCGCGAGCAGTGCCCAGTTCTGACTACAGGTACATAGAAAATAAATAATACATAATTAATTGAACATGGTTTATTGGATGTGTTACATGAAAAGCCTAGAATTTCTTCTTAATTTATAAAGTCTTTGCGTTTCTTACTGTGTCTACATATTTACATGAACATATTATCAAAACCAGGAGGAAGAAATTCGTCATGATCACGTCTGTTGGGTCTACGAGGAAATTGATCGGTATCGGGGGGACGAAATGGATCAAATCGGGCGCCAGGTGGAACGGATCCAGGTGGTACCCCATAGTTACTGTCTGGGTTAGGTCTTGCACCAGGTGGTACAAACAACATTCCACTCCCTCCAGGAGGCATAACATTCGACCCAGGTCTCGGAAGTGGACCAATACCGGGAAAAGGTCCCATACCTCCAAGGGGATCCAAATCAGATCTTCCGACCCCAAGTGGTGGCCTTTCAGGTTGGATACGTGAAGGAAATGTGTCAAATTGTGGCGCAGAGGGGGAATTAGGGATGTATGAACGGGGTGTTTCGTTATTAGTCGTTTGGCTTGTGCTGTCTTTATACTTGTTAGACACAGTGACTTTATCAATCAACTGACTTTTAATTGTTTGAGCCAGTTCTTCGTTATTAGGGATCATCTGATCCAAAGCTCCAGTCAGTTGTACTACGGCTCGATTATTCAGTTGAACCATGGAAACTGTGCGTTCTTGCACACGAATTAGGTTGATCATAATAGCATCATCCATATTGGTACCTCTTAAATTGTACAAACGACCCTATACACAAATACAAGTGAGCAGGTACTTCTATATTAATTATTCGTGTAACTTACTTGATAAACATAACGAATGGCGTACCCATTGTTCCAGCCAGGCGGCAAAATTTCACTTTTGGCCTCTGTGCCGTCTATGTTTTTTGATTCCCCCAATCCAATACATTTAAATCCATTTGATATAAGCACTAAATGTGTAAGGCATACCAGTACGTCTTGGTTGTTCCTAATATCGTCTTTAACAGAATTGTAAAGCAAATCCCAGCCGAATAGATTTGCAGCCATATTTTTGAGATGTTTTACGAGAAAATTTTAATAGTTTTTATGTTTTTCGCTACATGACTTGCAAACAAATACAAATGTTATGATTGAGCATGTAAAATTTTGACAGTTGAAGTTGGTGGAATCTTCCCAATGGTTGCATTCAGTTTCTTTTGGAAGTAGTACATGTAGGGTGTTTCAAATTTAATGCTTCAAATTAGACAAAGGAGTCGTAAAGGGAAGCATTCCCTAATATGTATGAATGAATTATCTCACGAAGAATCGGAAAATTCGAAATTGGAAGAAATTGAAAAAAATTAATGAATAAAGGGAATAAGCAACCGTAGAAACGGAAGAATCCAAAGACCATGGGAAACCTGAAGTATCTCTACAATCTCCACGAATCTGAAGAATCCAAATCCCATGGATGTAGAGAATTATGACAAATGCGCAAAAGCAAAAACAATGTAAAAGAAGTGTTGTGTGAGAGAACTAGCCAACGTTTTCGTTACATACGGTTTTCATTCAAATAAACGAAAACACTTCCATGTATGCCATGCTGGTGTTAAGTGGTAAGCATTGTGTGTTAAGGTGATTCGTAAGACTTGTTGAATATAACTAATATTTCCTGACCGTGGGATTGTGAGCCCAGATGCCAGAATTCTAAAGTTGAGGCAGTATAAATAAACCGCAGCATTCGAAAATTCAACGTTTTCTGTCTGTGAGAGTGCCACCCGGAATCTCAGGATTTACTTAAATGGCATTAAAAATATACAACTCTAGTGATATAGCAACGGCAACCACGTTCGTCGTACCTATTGATGACGGCGTTTGATTTTGAACTCCATTTTTTGTTACCAATTTCACAACCTTTTCATCATTACTAAATTTGTGAACACATTATATCTCACGATCTTATATGCTATGTGGGTAATTCGGCGAACACACCAGCTCAAACTTAACTAAAGATATATACAATACAAGTTATGATTACTTAATCATACAGTTCATCAAAATTCAAAGGTTATGCTTGAGTGCCCTTCTGGCTACAATTGAATGAAAAGACCAGCTAACATCTATGTAGGTACTCATGCAGAAGTACGCCACTGACCACAAATTTAAAACACTTACCTTGTCTTTCAAATCTGTCAGGTTAGCTTCGAACAAGGAGAAGGTTTTCGTACCACTCCACCTCTCCATGCGGTCGACGTGCACAGCCATCTGCGCCCCATCACGGGCAAAACATTCCCTCAGAAAAGTAAATAATTCTCAACAACTTATAGGTATGAATGCTACATAAATAATACATTTAGAAACAGAAAATTATAATATTTAACCATTCTAATAAAGTCTTTTGCTAGCTATTTCTCGTCTGTCTCGCTCATCCAAGATAGCCGTTTTTTCCAATCGATCCATAGCAGTATGTTGTATTACATCAAGTAGATCGGGATAGGGATGCACGGCACGAACAAATTCCTTCCTATCTAACTTGTACAATTCGCAGGTATCTACTGCTAGCACAGAAGCGACTCGCAATTCGTCGCTCATCACAAGAGCAATTTCTCCAAAATGGTCTCCATCCTCTAAATGGCAAATCTAAAATGGTAAGCGATTAAGCAATAATACCTAATGAGCAAAAGTGCGCACCTCTCGTCCGGATGCGGTGAACACCGCAACGGTACCACTCTTGATAAAATACATGGAATTGCCTGCGGTTGTTGCTCGTACTATCGCATCATTTGGCAAGAAAATTTCTGAACGTAAACAATGAACAATGCGAGTTAGTAGCGGGAAAGGAACATTTTTGAAGAATGCAACGCTCTCCACCAATTTTTGGCAATTGTGCATTACTATGGCCTGGAAAAGTCACTGCATTGGTACAACGGGCTAAAACTATACCTACCTGACGCAGAGGTCCCGAAATAGTAGGCAGGATTTCACTTTCTCGAAAATACATCTTCTGAAATCGAAACTCGTAGTATTTCAAGATGCGACGTTGCATGGAATCAGGCAACTGACGGTGGCCCATATACTGCTTCAATTGTCTTTCTATTTCAAGGTATTTATGACGAGGAGAAGTGCCGGCCTTAAAAACCTGCATTATCGTTCCTACAGAAATGTACTTCCTTTCGTTAGTTTAAAAAGATACAAGAACGTTCTCACCTATTACATAAATGAGTAGTATTCTTGAAATGATCCAAACGCCCACAAGGATCGGTAACCCCGTGATAGGGCCCCCCCTGATATCTTTGAAACCTGCACTTTTTATTATTAAGAGCGAGTTATAAAAATGTGTGTGGTAATATATATTTGATTTATTCCACGAAAGCATTTCGCTTCTGAAAATTATTTATAAGTTTATGCATGGAAGTCGATGTAAAAATAATAAATTATAAACAATTGAGGGGTAGTTTTATTGTGTTTTAAAGTACCTACTAATTGTTGGTTATTTCTTTAATTTTAGATGCGAGATAACTGATGATATGATCGATATTTGTGTTAAATGTACATTACAGTAGGTATATCGTGATGTAACTAACTCGTATGGCGATGCACGGTTGTGACTATAGCTATAATAAGGCTCTGTCATAGATAATCGAGAATCCTGTCAGTGTAGCGATAGTTCCATGTTGTTTTCAATGTGATTAAAATAAGTAATTGAATTGTTACAAACCCCTGTAATGGCTTATACAGTAGACCACATGTATAAATATGCCATAACATTAAACAGCAGGTTACCAAGTGAAAATATAAGACGGTTATAATCAATACCATTGCCAGCTTGTAGATTGCGTAGTCAATCTCAAAGTTCTAAAACAAAGAATTTGATATGTGCCTTACATTAGGTAATTCTGTCGTACCTTAAGAAATACATTGCAATACTTTACAAACGTAATAAATCGTAATAACTTTAGTAGAGATAATAATTGTAGTATTACGTGAGCATTACCGTATAAATCCACATCCATAAACAGCTCCAAGTGAGTCGGTATTGTCGATAATAGATCATATATAAATATGCTTGAGCAATAATTTCTGCAAAATTCAATATGTGAGTGACTTATCTAAAGATGGTTCTAGTGTAGTAAATTTCGAAGTTATGAACGCAGGGTGTGGGAGGTATTGTTTTACATACATAGCCACTTTGAACGGATCTAATTCAGCCTTTTTGAGTTGTTTATTAAAATAACCAGTAAAAAAATTGACGATAATGTCCATAATACAGCACGCATCCAAGAATATTCGTAGGTGTTTAAATGGTATATCTACTACAAAATTTTCGTGGGGGGAGCGGAATAATGCAACATCTAACGGAACCACCAAAAGTAGAATTAGGAATACTGGACACATCATCATTTCCCAACACTGCCTGAAATAACCGCTTAGGAACGTTTCTCACAAAAACAATTTACCTAGCATTACTGAAGGGGTGCAACATGTAATGGTAGGTATTTAGATGTCGATGTTTTTCATTTACAATGGCCCGTTGGCTACGTAAATACCAATTACTTAGTTTGCTGTTCTCGGAAACCATTCTAAATCTCAGTAATCTTCTTCGTACCCTTGCCAGAAGAGAGTTCCCGCTAATAACTTCTGCAACTTCGTCGGATTGACGCTCCATCTGACACTCATGGTCATACTTGACGAACTAAAATAAGCAATTATGCCTTCCAACTATGATAATTGTAACATTACTTACCAGCTTATTTTGTTCATCATAGATTGTTGTCATTTTGAAAGTTAGACTAAAAATCGCGTACTTATGCAAACATGTGGCGTCTAGATTACAAAAGGTCGTCTGAAATGTAAAAAAAATTAAAAAATTATGCAAAACGGTCACCATTTTAGAAAATCTGCAATGAAATGAAAGGCATATAACAAATAGGTATAGGGAATTTCATAATTGATCCATGTGATCATGTAGAATTTGTTTCTACATTTGAAAGTTAAAAAAAATAAAGCAGGTTTCATTTGAAAAAATCAACTTTTTCAGGTTTGAAGTTATTAAACTTGACCATTAGTTTTAAATCACCCTGTAGAAGGGCGATGAAAATTTAAATCATTCTCATGTAGCATCAAGTCCGTATTGTTGATTTTGAAATACAAGTCAAGAGAGTCATAAGTACAGGGTCCTAAAGAAAAGCAGTCAAACGTCAAAAATGTTGAAAAATCTTGAATAACTTCAAAACCTTTGATGCTGGGATAGGGAAACGTGGTACCAAAGGACGTAGATTTTCATGTAGATTTCGAAAATGTAATAAAATACAGGGTGTTTTGTAATAAAATACAGGGTGTTTTATTTAAAATAAGAAAATTGCTATCCGCACTCGCTAAAACCGGAAGAGAAACGATCACGATAATTTCTTTTGATAGATCATGAAAAACTATGTTGGTATGCAAATTTTCAGATTTAAATTATATTCTTTAATGGGATAGTTTCCCCATCCTTATGCCATTACTCTTTTGTAGACTGTTCTGCCTTTAAGGGCAACTTCTCACCCAGGCAACAGGGTGCCCCTCACTCCCCTCGTCCAAGTAGGACGTTGGCACCTTGTATTGTATCTGAAACTGGCCATTTCGTCAGTATTTGAAACAGAACGTAAAGGTGAGGTTTGTATATTTATGATTCAAATTTGTTGAATTTCGAACTGAGATTTGAGTTCCTGACAAAGCAATACTTATTAATTCCTTTTTAAGTTTATAGATAGCAACAGGGTTAAGTTTAAAAGCAGTATGATGTTCCATTAATATACTTATTTACAATTACAAAGTTTGCCTGTACAATGGGTTGTATACTTATAGATATAACACATTAGGTATAAATGAATGACCAATAATATACAACTGTAGATATAATAATAGCAATATAAAAGGTTCAGGGCAAAATAACTTTCAATTCTAATAAACTATATGTATATAAACAAAAAAATCAATACTACTAACATAACAAATTAGTTGTGTTAACTACAAGTTTTAACATATAATAATAAGTATAAAAAAGACGTAAGCATTACAAAATAAAGGCAAGCATAACATTATATTATCAGAAACAATAGTATATTAACATATATTTATTGAATTAACCGCATGATTTTAATTAAATAATTAATTGTAAAAAATAGCTATGATAAAGGAACACTTTCATCTTTTGGAGGTTCCAAACCATTTCGCTTTAATATATCACGCAAAGCTCGATTCTCTCGTTCTAAAGCTAGGTTTTGCTGTTTTAAAATTTCGACACTTTGCCCTAATTGTTTATTGTCCTTCATACATATCTCCGCTTTTTGTTGATGCTCCTGCAACTCTACAATGTACTCGCAGGCCTTGGCTAAAATACCGCCTTTCGATTGTCCTTCGTAATGCCCATTCCCTTTCATTTCGGTCGTGTTGTTTTCAGGTATGATCTTAGATAATTTTGTAATCCAATTGTTGATTTTATCTCTGCGTCGTCTCTCGACTTCGTTGTGCGTTGCCCGGCGCCTTTCGTCTCTCTAAAAAACTTTTTATGTACACAATTTTAATTATCGACATACACCTTCTTTATGTTTGAAGCGACTGATGCTGAAGAATCGATCAGATGATCCCTGGGTGCTATCGATCTGCCACTCGACTGTGTGGTAAACGCCTCCCCCGGACTTCCTATCACAAATAATTGCCCATTTATGTTACTGGTAAGGACTTGCTGAACACTGGCACTGTGGAAGTTTCCACCAGTCGTCACAAGTTGTGGCACACTATCCCCTGCCTCATCAACTTGTAGAACACGGTATGTGATTGTGCCTGAGAAAAGATTCCATATATGATATGAAAGATACGAACATATGCATACCTTCAGGGGATCGAAATGAATATTGTACTTCTGTGTCTGTAGGGGTTTCTAATAAGGTTTGAGGTGATAAATGAGCAACTACCCTTTGGTCTTCATCACTATCCATACCCTGGTCCTCCACAATATTTAAAGTTTGATTGAGAACAACTTTTGCTTGCCTTAAATTTGGAGTGATCACAACCTTGGTTTCAATTTCTTCCTCGCCACTGTATGATAAATTCGGTATTATTATTGTGAAGTCATTATCTATCCTAATAATCAACATTCATACCACAATATGACCTTGTCCTATACAGTAAAGTTACATAACAAGAGAATACGGCATCTTTCTCGTCCTACAAAAAAAACTTCGGTTACCTAGTGTTCAGTGGGTCTAGCATGTCCATATTAAGAACTTTAAGTCAATTTCTTAAAAATATTTTGAATTTTCCTTCAATTTTGGTCACGGGAACAAATCAGGTCATGTGACGCGATACCGAAGAAAATAGCACTAAACGGACATGCGCGCATGCTCGTGACACGTCACAAATAATACTATTTTTATTTTTACAAAAGCACCTAATCGTATTTTTGCATTTACTTTTAGATTTGTATTTTATGTACAATAAATTATGTAGCACAAAAACCTCTACATAAATAAAAATCCTAAAATTTACTTTCAAATAGAGCAACTTTCATATTGCCAACGCAGTGGCGTAGGTAACTATAATTGTTAGGGAAAAAGTATGCTCTCAAAATCTATTTTCATTATGTGTTTGTTTTAGTCACTATTTTAGTAGACGCTCAGTGAACCTATTTTTAATACAACGCAAGATAATTTTTGTACCAACACTCGGTGCTCATTCGTTGGCATTGATTTTTGAGGTATAATACAAAATGGTGGGATCAGTGGCGTAACTACAATGTCTCAAAGGTACGCAATGAGGACGGGCCCCGACTTAAAAGGGGCCCCAACAAAAATGTACAAAAAATGTAATTTTTATATAAAAAATACTGAAAAAAATTGAAAATTTCCCGAACTCCTTCAATGTTACGCTTGTGTTTATTATTTACATAGTTTGCGTTACTAAAGGAACAGATAACATTGTTCACAGGCGGTAAATAGGTACCTATAGGTGAAAAATCCGGACCAATATCTACAATATACAAAAATTAACAATCTGAGGAAGTAACTATTGAATTTAAATCATCATATCATTTAAATCTGACCTTAATTTAATACGAAATTTGATATGCCCAAAAGTATCCAGCCCAAAGAGATTTAAAAGCAACTCCACCCGTTTCCCATTTGTGAAACATAAAATTCCGAAGTCTCTTACATAAAGTACCTTCATGAAACACTTTGTTAATTAGCGAGACCTTCTGCAGTCCAGAAGATATCTGAAGGTCCTGAATACGGTAACCTTAAACTGAACTTGTGTTTCGAGATGAATGCGACTAAGTACTTTTAACACTCTAGCATTTACCTCTGCATGGACGAAACAGTTACCGTCATTCAATAAAGGCGGATTCATACACAAAGAATAGAAATCGCTAATCAAACTTAATAACAATAACTAAATGAGTTTAAATGTATCTCCAGCGGTGTCGTAGATACGGCACCTGTACTTGTCGTTTGAAATTTTGAAAGCAGACATCTCAGAATGGACGAAAATACCATAGTGGAACCTCCAAGAGAAAAGCAAAAAACGAAATAAGTTCAGAGTTGAGCAACGTCGGAAGATCGATATGAGGGTGATATCTTTATTGAAGAATCCGAATCTTCTGGAGTGTATTTCTAGTGAACTTTCATTAATATATTTTTAAGATGGTTGTCATTAGAAATCCAAACGGTTATATTAAGAGTAAGGGAAAGGGCCCCCAAATATTTTTGAGGACGGGCCTTTAAAATGAAGTTACGCCACTAGGTGGGATCCATTTATTTAACCATTTACATGGTAGGTCTTAGGTCTATATGTATATCAGTTTTCGTTCGATACCGGGTGTCGGCGGTGTCGGCACAAAATGGAGAAGGGGGGGCGATGGACACTGTTTTGTGCAGAAATTATGCCGCAACGACTTACGTTCCCATTTTATAGCATTTTTTAGATGTAGGTACTGCTTGTTCGCGTTGTTTATAGTACCCGATTTTTGTGCCGAAACGCACCGCAATCATACATAATTTACTGCTAGGTAATCAGTTTATTGTCTTCAAAAGATTTCGTTTTTGTTTTAACGTATATGGCAAAGTTTACACATGGGGTGTGAACACTGACATTTTTGTCGCACGCCAAAAGTCTGGTTTCCGAATACGAGCTGAGTGGCAAAAAATTCTCCTACTGAAAATCGTATGCGATTCTTATAGTACCTATGGTACCTATCTTGTTTTTTCTTGTGTTTGATATTAGCAGGACAAGGTTTGCAGTATAAAAGATAATTTCCAAAAATTGTACGGAAAGAAGTAAAAAAACAATTTTTTTTTCTTTTCCGTCGCGTCTCGTAAAGGTTTTGGATACACTTCTCTAAATTCCAACTGGAATAGGAATAAACGGGATTTCTTGGGAACTGGGAATGGGAAAATGCGAGATTTCCCAAAGATGATACAAGCTAGTTCACCAGGACTGCGCCTTGTTGTAAATAAATGAATCACGTAATTAGATTTACGTTACAATACGTAAAAATGCTCCTAAGTATGATTGCGTTTAACCAGATAACCAAATCCCCCCCCCCGTATTGCTCTATACCCATCGATAACTGATGCGCCAAGGGATGATTAGTGAGAGTGTGTTGCGACCACGAACTTATAAATTAAGATGGACTGCTAATGCTGAATTGACAAATGACACCTATACATGGGGACAGCCATGATGTGCACTCACTTGGCGCGAAATTCAAATCACTTAATAAACAAACATTAACATCGCGTTTTCTAAATAAATTACTACACATGTCATTTTCCAAGGCTGCAATAGTCTCAAAACTTAGGAAAATCAGCAGGCTCAATCTTCAATTGTCACGTTTCCTTCGCATAACAATTGTATTCTGGTTTTTGGCAATTTTACATAACCGTTTGACATAAATGTGACTGAATTCCATTGCCTCGCCTCGCTCCAGAATTCCCTCGGGCGTGAGGCAATCCTATCACAGACCTCGTTCTGCAACTCCGCGTCCGACATGAAACGGCGACCTTTCAAGCGCTGCTTCATGATGAGTTAAAAAAATCGCACATCAACATTAACAATGGTGACAATCCCGTCCTCTGTGACGTGTCTGTTGGCATTTACAACCTCTCATCCATGCGTATAATCTTCTCATTAGGCTGTCCGGGTCGCGTATGAGGACTCGCGTCCTTCCTAGAACTGTGCGTCGACCACATTGTGCAGTGTAGCTGAAACTGTTGTCACCCTACATAGCAGACATTCTACGATGTGCCTATTCGCACATATAGCGAGATACACCGAAGCGACGCGGAGCGGAACTCTGTTATCTGTTGTCCTAATCTTCATTTAACAATTGTGTCCTCTGACGAGGAAGATGTGTTCCGCTTTATGCGAAGGAACAGAAAAAGGCCGCTTCGTTGCGCTGCTCTTCCGACAAGTAGTGTGCGCACTCTAATTTAAAACTATGTTTTAAATAAAATCCGTTCCGCTGCACATCGCGGCGCGTCGTCGAGCTTCGCTCTAGTGAGCGGTACCCTTTATCCGGACGGAACCGGATATCGATCTGTCGTCCGCTTCGTGCCGACTTCGTCCGGTCTACACCGGTTCTGTCCGGACAAGTAACGGAAAATCAAAATTGAGTTGGTGTCGAGTCGTCTTTGGAAGTTCAAAGTAAGTACGATTTCTCATGTAAACAAAAATTCCAAAGGTGACTCGACAGCAACTCATTTTTGATCGCATTGTACATAGCGATCAAAAATGAGTGACCGTCTAGTCACTTTTGGAATTTTTGTTTACATGGGAAATCCTACTTAACTTGAACTTTCAAAGGCGACTCGACAGTCACTCATTCTTGATCGCCCGTTATATAAAACCATTATGAACATTCCATCGAATTTTTGCCATCCGGTCCGGACCGATTCCGTCCGAACAAGCATTGCCGCGGTAAAAACCTTTGGTAAAAAGAAAAACTCCCCCATAAGATTGCATTGCCCTATGTTCCCTGTACCTTTGCACTATAAATTCAAGGTGAAACGGATAATAGTTTTTATAGCTTTTTTTCTAAAGTAGGTTCGTTCCATTCTAAATTAACTATGATGGCGTATAGCCTGTGCTCGATACATGAGATGATTTTGTCATATATATGGATTTTGTCTCTTTCTAGCTGACTGTACTGTAGATTAACCTAAAGAGACATAATTCCATCGTAATAGGACGTACATCCGTGCAGGTCGAGATTGGAGAGCTGTAACGATATTTTTCCTATTCTGCCTTCGGCTACGAGCTAGGTCTTCGGTCTTGGTCCATTTACAAATTTGAGTCATGATAATAAGCGCGAAATGAGAGTAGTGGGCGGAAGATTTGAATGCGACCAAAGGTTTTTTACTTTCGCGCAAAATCCAAACTCAGCTGACGGGTCTTGTGATTCCTCACAGGTTTACTTAATTTCTCTGCTTGAAATTGGGTGAGGTTTTTGGTTGAGCATTACTTAACGCCGCAATCATTTACAAATGTAAGCTTTTTTGTAATAATTTACCGTTAATATTTGCAACACGCGTTAAAATAGCTCGTTCTTTAAGCTCACTACAGGCGATTTGGTGATCGAAATGTCCAAATTTTACAGTGTTGCGAACTTTATCTTTTTTTTAATCGAGAACAAATTTTAATTTAACGCTCAAAGTTATTGATTTTAAAGTTATTAGCCGAATTTAATATCACTATTTCGCTATTATTAATTAATAAAACGACGTTAATTGCGGTGGTTTCATCAAAGAGCGGCGCTTTAATTTGTTTCACGTGACAACTTCGCCCCAGAAATTATCAGGCTAAGTACTTTTTATTTTAGCTCGCGAAAATGTCTAAACTTCCAAAGGTGGCCGATGTCGAGGAGGAATCGACATACGGATATGTCTTCGCGGTTTCCGGTCCAGGTAAATATTTCCCGCTGCACGATGATTCTTACAATTATTGCTTGTAGTCGTCACTGCAGAAAGGATGAGTGGATCTGCTATGTACGAATTGGTTCGAGTCGGCTATTACGAGCTTGTTGGTGAAATTATTCGGTTAGAAGGCGACATGGCTACAATTCAGGTGAGTTTAATTACTATTCGTGCAGGCTGTCAGTTGCAAGTTTAGGTATACGAAGAAACGTCAGGCGTTACGGTTGGTGATCCTGTTTTGCGTACCGGTAAACCGCTATCTGTCGAGCTCGGTCCGGGTATTATGGGATCAATCTTTGATGGTATTCAGCGACCGTTGAAAGATATTAATGAAAGCACACAAAGTATTTATATTCCAAAGGGTATCAACGTACCAGCTTTGTCACGCACACTTAAATGGGATTTTAATCCCTTAAACATAAAGGTAGGCAATTTAAGTGGTAATGTCACAAGTTAATGTGGGAATATTTAGTTGGGTTCGCACGTGACCGGCGGTGATTTATATGGTATGGTTCACGAAAATACTTTGGTTAAGCACAAGTTGTTACTTCCTCCACGTGGTAAGGGAACGGTGACCTATATTGCAGATCCCGGAAATTACACAGTGGATGTAAGTTCTTATATGCACTCTGCAACTCTACAATCTAACCGTGTATAACTTAGGATGTCATTCTTGAAACTGAATTTGACGGAGAACGTACAAAGTATACCATGTTGCAAGTGTGGCCTGTACGTCAACCACGTCCAGTCGCCGAGAAATTACCTGCCAATCATCCTCTACTAACAGGTCAGCGTGTGTTGGATGCCCTATTTCCGTGAGTGCCCGTGTCTTTAATGGGATAAATGCTTAAATTTAACGTTACAGATGCGTCCAGGGAGGAACAACCGCCATTCCGGGTGCTTTCGGTTGCGGCAAAACTGTAATATCGCAATCTTTATCTAAATATTCAAATTCCGATGTTATCGTATATGTTGGCTGTGGGGAAAGAGGTAGGTGCATTCATAATCATGTAAACATGTATTTCATTACCTTCACCTTGAAATTTTATAATTTCGTCTTACATCATTAATTGATCGTGTCCAATGCAATGATTGACATTTATAATAAGTTTTCCCAATGTAAAATAGACTCATTTTATTCCTGTAATGATTTTAGCTAATGCTGAATTTATCACGAATAATTTAAATCTGCTTACATTTTTTTTTAAGGAGTTACAGAACAAAGTAAAGAAGGTTGAGTAATTAATGACCTTGGTAAAGAGAGGTAGTAATCTTTCTGCTGAAAGTCTTAAAAAAGTTTCCAGGGCTGCTGCGATTTTGCAAAGTTAACTTCAGTTTTTCACATTGCTATTTCTCATGGCAAAAATGAATGTAGATTTCAATTTTACGGCCACTTTGATTAACATTCTGTATGCCTATATCAGGTAGCCTTTGAGTTACTTATTGGCATTCTATTATTCTCACGATAAATAACAAACAAATCATAAGCAATACAATTTGACATTTCAAATGAAACAATTGCTTCCAAAGCCTACCACACCTAATGAAAAAATACTATTTCTTTCAAAAAATGCCAATAACTCAAAAACCACTGGCAGCATGCAGAATGTTAATAAAAATGACCCTAAAATTAAAATCTACATTCATTTCCGGCATCAGAAATAGTAGTTGCAATTTGAAAAACTGAAGATTTGGACATTTTTTGATTGCTAATTTTGAAAAATGGCAGTTACACCGAGCAGTAAACTTTTTCAAGACTTTCAGCGGTCGCTCAAAAAATTCCATTGATTTTCAGGATTCGATTATAAAAAAAAGCACTCACTGATCTTGAACGGTTTAAGAGATGAATTTTTGAATGAACCCTTGCATCTCCAAATGTTTAGAGGAAAATTGACATACGTCAAAAACTATGACTGATAGGTGCGCAAATCTTAAATGCGTCGAAGTCAGAATAAAAGAGCGCATTTAGAAAAAAATAGAAAAAGGTGTTTCAATTTAAAAAAGAAAATGGCGCCAACTTCAGTTATTTACGGATACAGCGCCATGTTGACATGATGCAGTGATCGATTATGACTGTGAACCAAGTTTCAAGTTCAATTTAAAAACTTCTAATACGTGAATCTCCCTGTATAATGAAATAGTTTTTGTACACTGGTTAACTGCATTTTTTCAAAAAAAGAATGCTTTGAATTTGGCCCCTGAAATTGAAATTTTTTTCCCATTTAATTATCTCTTGATCTATACTACTTTTTGAGGTGGGCACTAATTTTTTTTGTTTTGTTGCACAAATAATATTGAATTTTTTTAATACATATATGCTTGCTTTTTAAGGAGAGTTTTTATTGTACAGAAGCCAGCTCGGAAGCCAGCATGATTGATTAATTTTTTAATTTTTAAATATATTTGCGACATTTATTCATGTTTATTTTTTGAGATAGAACTTTCGCAAAATTTAATATATCCGCCAGTTAAATTGCGAAACCCTGAACATTAGTTTTTTTGTTACTTTTTTAATTTTTATATATTTTGTTTTTAATTTTGCATCTTTAATCTTTGCGAAATTTGATAGTAATTTGCGATTGCGAAATAGACGGCAAAATTTTTAAAGCTACATATTTTAACGTAAATTTAAGTACATGTTTTATATATTTACATTTTAATTAAGTCTTGAAATGAATTGAACAGTTAAAATATTATTTATGGCTCACATATATACAATTTATAACAGTGCGAACTATTTATTTCTTCGGCGTTGAAATTGGAACTGCCTTTTAAGTTTTGTAATTACTATATTTATATGCCAAAAAAAGCAAATTTCTTGAAAAATTTATAACTACCTACCATAAAAGAAATGTACGGGAAGGATACAAAATTTGAGATTTTTAAATTTTACTTTGGAGATACTTAGCCGAAAATATTATTTGTACATGGATTTTTTGATGATCATCAGAGGGCAAGAATGTTTAAACTTTGACGTTTCTTCGCATGTTAATTTTGTAATTTGTATCACAACAAAAAATTATGGGAAAAATTGAGCCTAATTAGTTAAAAACCACCAATAAAAAATTCTTTTATAGGACCACGCACTAGTAACTGATGTACAGACTGTTTCAGAGTAAACGCCCTTTTTTTTAGCCACACTATGGGTACAACTTTCAAAATATTTGGCGGTAATATGTTTGAGGACATTCTCTACACGATCATGATATCAAATTTTTGATTGGACGAATTATTTCAAAATGGCGACTTTCAACTTTTATTTTTTAAATTAACTGTCATCATTTTTTATTATTATTGAGATCCTAAAAACATTCTTTTTACGACAGTATTTCGTTTTTCTCTAAAACACATTTCTTTCTATCAAAAAGCAAACATTTTAATCTAATAGCATCCAGCAGCGGTAGACACAAAAGAAACAATTAAACTTTATTTTGTAATAAACAACTACTTGGTATATGGACAAAAATATCATCGGGCGCTTACTGTGAAACAGGCTGTATATGTGCAAAGCATTTAATACACATTTTGTAACGTTTAATCTTTTGTTTATTAGGTAACGAGATGTCTGAAGTACTTCGCGATTTTCCCGAGCTGTCAGTCGAAATCGAAGGCCACACTGAATCAATCATGAAACGTACTGCTCTGGTTGCAAACACCTCTAACATGCCCGTAGCCGCTCGAGAGGCATCTATTTACACAGGTATTACATTATCAGAATACTTCCGTGACATGGGTTACAATGTATCGATGATGGCCGATTCGACGTCTCGTTGGGCAGAAGCTCTTCGTGAAATTTCCGGTCGTCTCGCCGAAATGCCTGCCGATTCAGGTTATCCCGCATATCTAGGTGCGAGATTGGCGTCGTTCTACGAACGTGCCGGCCGTGTTAAGTGTCTTGGAAATCCGGACAGAGAAGGTTCTGTCTCGATTGTAGGCGCAGTGTCGCCACCTGGTGGTGATTTCTCTGATCCCGTTACATCCGCAACTCTAGGTGAAAACTGTCTTGATTTCAATCTCAGTTTTTCAATCATTTTCTCACAGGTATCGTTCAGGTGTTTTGGGGCTTGGATAAAAAATTGGCACAACGTAAGCACTTCCCCTCAATTAACTGGCTCATTTCGTACTCGAAGTATACTCGCGCTTTAGACGACTTCTATGATAAAAACTTTGTTGAGTTTGTACCGCTTCGCACAAAAGTAAAAGAAATCTTGCAGGTACGAATTAAGGAAAAAACCTAATTCCTTTCTTAAAACTTAATAAAATAGGAAGAAGAGGATCTATCCGAAATCGTCCAACTTGTCGGTAAAGCCTCACTGGCCGAAACAGATAAGATCACCTTGGAAGTGGCCAAGTTACTCAAGGAAGATTTCTTACAGCAAAACTCATACTCGTCCTACGATCGGTTCTGTCCATTTTATAAAACTGTGGGCATGCTAAGGAATATGATCGGATTTTACGACATGTCCAGACATGCCGTCGAAACAACAGCACAGTCCGAAAATAAAATCACGTGGAATGTCATTCGGGATTCGATGGGCAATATTTTATACCAGTTGAGCAGTATGAAATTCAAGGACCCAGTTAAGGACGGCGAAGGTAAAATAAAAGCCGAATTCGATCAGTTGTACGAAGATATCCAGCAGGCTTTCAGAAATCTGGAAGATTAGTAACCTTGTAAATTATCCTGTAATGTAAATGTTTCCAATGTAATTTTAATTAGTAGGTTTATGCTTAAAATTTACTTCAACAGTGGTGTTGGTTTTCCCACAATGTAAAAATATCTCATTCCATATTATTTAGAGGGTAGAACTTTCTTGTACTATAAGTAAAAGAAAAAAATTAAAGATGTACAGTATTATTCTTAAAAAACAGTTTTAATTGTTGATATAATATGTAGGTAAATAAGCATTGTTCAATGTTATTTGATGGCATTTTATTTTGTTTTATGTGAATGTTGTACATTATTTTTATTTTCACTTACATTGATTGTTATACAATGTTTAAATTGGAATTTTAAATAAGTAAGAATAATGAATGGAGTAAATAAAGCATTGTTTTAGTTAATCATTGTTTACGTAACATAAACCGTACAAGTCCTACAATTGTTATAATATAATTTACACTTGTAGCTTTTTCATAACACAACTCATTTGCATATACAGAATTAAGTAGGACTTGTAGTTATAGTTACAGGCGGATTACTTATAACTTGTAGACTTGTTACAATTGTATAGTTTGTGTTACAGGCTCCAGGTGAAGCTGTCCTTGGCATCCAGATTGACTCCAGACTGGCGGGGAACCTCAAATCCAAGCTAACAAAAAACTACTTTCTGCATTGACAAAATAAAACAAACCATTTGAACGGAGGCTGCCCTAATTGCTTATTATGGTGTATTTCACTCCGCTGGGACATATGCATAGGTAGGCATTAACTCGTTAAAATACGAACTTACTTGCGTAATGGATTTACTTCTAAAACTGTTAATGCTTCTGTTAACTTCCGTTAATTTAGTTCGTTACATTGGTTACTTGTTTATATTTTGCTATGAGTATACTCCTAGATATATTGTTATTTTATTGTTTGAACTAGATAGGTGCTTATGGACCTATCACCGCCGTTTTATGTTGTTTTCCTGTATAGAATTTGTTTTTTTTCTTAATTGTGAGAATGTACGGTTGTTTTTAGGTAATGGAGTTAGAGAAAAGAAATTTGATTCGGCGGCTCAAAGAAGCCGATAGTTTCTTTTTTAGTCAATCTCTCATCGTATAGGGTGGTAAAAATGCATCACATTTCAAAACCTCATTGGTGTGAGTTTATTTCGCCCAAATTCTCTCGAAAATGGGGTATTTTGGCCGAAATTTCATTAATTACACGTGTTATGTTCGCTTCTAATGCAGAAATAGTTTCTGGTTTATCGGCATAAACAAGTGATTTGAGATAACCCCATACAAAGTGATCTAACGGCGTTTAATCACATCACCTTGCTGGCCAATTCACTGCTCTATTTCTTGATATGATGTTCTCATCAAAAGTTTCTTTCAATAAATCGATGATTTCGTGTGCTGTATGGCATGTCGCACCATTTTGTTGAAACTATAAGTCGGCTACATCAATATCTTGAATTTTTGGCAACAATTTTTTCATTGTGCGTTCAGTTTGACGATTATGAGCACCATAAAATGGTCGATGAGCACGAAAAACATTTCTCACTGAACACTGATTTTGGAAATAAATTTCCACGATTTGTAAATGTTGTACTGATGATGTAAGTCTATTCATGGTGAAATGTTAACCAGAAATGAACAAAAATCACATATGCACATGACAGCTATCTTGATTACAGTGTTTTAAAATCCCTATTGGACAAAGTACTTCGTATTTGATCACCCGTTATAACCATTCGGTTTTTGATACTGTATGCTATCTTGTTTCGTTCCATGCTATAGCTGGCATATGATAACTCTGTTTTAATTTCACACCAATTCCTTATCATTTACTAACAAAAGTAAGAAAGTTGCGTTTTGCGCATGCACAGTACGACTTTTGCGCATGCGTTTTGTCTGCTTTTATTAGGGGGACCTACAATAGAAGTCTCGTTCAAATTGCTCTATAAATATGAAAGTTGCACTTTACGCATGCGCAGTACGATTTTTTGCACATGCAATTGTTTGCTTTTATTATTAATACAATTAAAATTTCGCGCATGCATTAATAGACAATTTGATTCTAAAAGGAGGCCAATGAATATGGAAGAACAATGTAAATTAGCCCATCCCATTGCGTTTTCGATGAAAAAGGGGCCATTTATAGGTAATTGGATGGGGGCATGAAACTCACATGTAGTCACGCGCTGGTATAGGGCCGTTGACACATTGCTCGGCTTCGCCTCGCATATTGAAACACGCAATAAAGAAGACACATTCCGGGTATCGGCGGGAGATATGCCTATGGATTGTCAGGCTTTAATGTGAATTAAATCCAATAGAGCCACGCACCCACGCTTTGATTAAATATGTTAAAATTTATGCCGTGCCGAGTACGAATACAGAAGTGACCATATACAAGCGCTCGAAAAATTAATGAATGAGAACGGGACTCCATCAATTAGTAGTCAGCGACTGAGATATATAAGCTTCACCTTAGCAAAATTTGTGGATTTCGTGAAAAATTATGGAATACAACATACCCTCAATGCGACGCAATGGCCCTGAGCGTCGAGCGAACGGCCAAGTGGTAAGAGCAAATCGTACAATTGTACACCTGCCACCATGGTAGCGATAGACGACGAAACGAGATGGCACGCGAACCTGCGGGAGATCGAACGGAATTTGAACATTGCACCAAATAAAACGACAGGTAAAACGCCTTTTTTCAACGGCCGATACTAAAAAAACAATTTATCGGTTTTATAACCGTCCTTTAAATGAATGTTTCAGCATCTTATAAAGCTCTCGTTTAAAACCGGAATTAAACTTGCAAGGCTACTGTCGTGTACATAGATAACAGACCTTTTGCCTGACCCGACAATCTCAAGAGACAATGGGTCTTACTGGACTTCCGAAGTTTAATTTTAACCCGGTAGTTATTTGGATACCTTTGCAAACCTCGTCTGATTTGATTTGGCTGGGTTTAGTGTCATTGGAAGCGCGCTAATTTATCAAGATGTTTAAAGCGTTTTCCAAATTTTTAATTAAAGAAGTTTTAATTTTGAGCGTAATCGTACGGATTAGTTACGCTTTTTGGGGAAGTCCAGCGTTCCCCTTTTCGAATTTGCGGAACTCTATGTAAGATAAGGATTTAGAGGAGATCTTTTGCTTTTCATCGTGTTCAAATAACATCAGAAAAAACTAAAAACAAATCGGTAAATTTCGGAAGTCGGAATTTTCTGGTTTTCACTAAAGCATGATGATATGATATGATAACTCTTTAATAGCGCATCTCTTCTCTAATTTGACCATCACCGTATCTTCTATGGATTTGGAAATCTCAATGATAGACATCCTCTTATCCTAGATTCTATTCGACGTATGAGTACATTCAGCAGAAGAACGACGTGAATCGCGTGTTGTACCATTGAAACCTAAATATAAAGAAGTACCTACCCGATATAAGGAAGGTAAAAATAATATCTGTCACAAATAATTGAAGAATATCTTTAAGCAATAAAGTAGATAATGTTGTTATGCCACACTTTAATTGACCATTGTCTACTTATTACTGAAAACAGAATTGGGAAATTAGAAATCGTTCGCGAGTTATCATGTGCACAGACAGACGGACGAACGGACAGAAAGTTCAAAATCATCAGCAAGCTTTGACGCTCGTTAATAAGTAGGTACGTATATACACCTTCATATATGTTATAGTTTCAGAAACCAAATCATTCCAAAATGTTTAAGAATATACACAGACCAAGTCTCCATGCCAACTATACCTATGTCATAAAGTATATTGATCAAACATGGAATACCTAATAGAATAAGTAACTATATCTTCAAAATTTAGCTTGAATCTTTTAGTAAAATGGAAACACACCTTCTCGAATTTGAGTAGGAATGATCCGGTGTATTGTCATTTGTAACTGAGATTACTGTTTCAGCTATTCTTACGGCTACAACTGCAGCAAGTATAATCTTCTTGCGCTAGACGAAACAACGCTGCTGTTCATCTCCGAAAATTTATTGCATTTCTTTAACGTCAATTCGAGAGAATTTACTTTCCGACGCTCAACTTTCGGGACCGGAATTGGATGCGTCGCAGTTAGGTTTTTCTCATAGATTTGCATGGACAAATTTTATTCTTGTAGAAAAATCCAAGTACGACGTTCTCACATTTTGCGGTGGCAGAAAATGGACAAACGCCTACGATATTCATTTACAACTGGCCGGATTTGGAAGTTGTGAAATTGATAGAAAATGCAGCGAAGGAGTGTTTCGCCAGTTTGTGCTACAGGTACTCACTCTAGACCGAAAAGGCTTTGATAATGATAGCATATTGCTGTTCTTCCTTCAGCCCAAATGGAGAAATTCTCGTTTCATACAGTGGAAAGCCCGAGCACGTAGTAAGCATACATAATTGGTCAGTATCGACAGTTTTATTTAGAAGTTTTACAAACGTTCCCGTCCATGGGCTTTCGTTTTCGTCATATAGCAACAAACACTTCACTTCATTTGGTAAGAACACAAGGTGCAGATAATAAAAGTAACAATCACACAACAGGTTCAGAGTATGTTACATTTTGGGAGATTGTGGATAAATTCACAGGAATAAAATTGGAAAAGAACGAAGGCAAATTTGACAAGACTGACACTACGGAAATTATATGCGCATACCACATGCCAGATGATACTGTAAGTTGCACTTGTGTAACGTTGCATTGTGTGGCAATGATTTTTAGTTCATCTCGGGATGCGACTGGGGCAACATATTAGTTTGGAAAGACGCCTATATAAAATTGGAAATTGAAAGAATGCTAAATCGTAAGTGCCACGATGCCCCTATAACACAATTTGCCCACAAAGAGGACGAGCTATGGTCAATTAGTATGGATGGACGCATCAAAATATGGCATTATAAAAGTTTGGAAAATAAACAGTTCATGGAGGACCAGTGCGTTCTTGGAGTTGAACCAATTTTTGAATTTGATTTGCCCAATATCAAGTTCATGGGCATTCATAAGGTTATAGCCGATTCCACGGATACTTCATATTTTGTTCAGGTTATCAATTTAATTTTTTTAGACCGTATATGGTAGTATTTTGATTTGAGAATGTGGCACCGAATTTTGACCACAAGCAATTATGAAATGGTATTTTTCGGACACAATAGCGTGGTAGAAGTTTTTGCATTCTGTTTTCGCCACTCAAACAGACCGTGTTGAATCTACCCCCTTCCCTACTCTAAGTGAACTCATGATTTATCTCAGAATTACCATGTATACAGTTGTGAATTTATATAACAGTTAAAATACCAGCGCGAACTATTTATTACTTCGGCGTTGATATTGGATCTGTCCGGAAACGCAATTCGATTTGCTTATATAGCAAACGCGAGTGTTCACGAGTGCTGCCAAACGGTCCCGCGTCATTAGAATGATCTCGAACAAACACGTCATATGTATTTCCCGGAAAGAATGCGTCACATCCGCTTTCGTTTCTTATCGATTTATGCCGCCTCGATGTCTGTCGCGATTTCTAGAATATTCGCTACATATACAGGGTGGTGACTTGCGTAACGCATCATAGGGATTTCAATGTAAAATTCATAACATGCGATTATTGGCTCCCCTAAATTATTTTAGAGCAAATATGTATTAAAGTTTTTTGTAGAAAAATTTTTTTACGCCAATCAACCGTATTAGTTTTCAATTTTTTTCATATAAAGACGGAAAATTGGAAAAATAAAACCCGCATCTTTTTCAATAATCTGCGATGCCATGCAATTTTCTAAAACAAATAAAAACCAGTTATCAATTGGCAGCAGTTCGAAATGGATTTTATGTCTTACTAACCTATAATAGTACATTTTATATCTGTGATACGCGGGCATAAAGTACCCTAGGGCATTAAGTATCACCATAGTAACTCATTTATACTTAATGACAAAACAAACAAATATTTGCAGGTCATTGAAAATTAGAAACGTCAATTATTAATTGTCAATACCTACTAAATCACAAGATTGGCCTTATTTCGAATAGTTTCTGGAACTTCCTCCTCATTCACGATGACTTGAATTATTTAAAATTACGTTTGGATGGTTTCAATCACATTAACAAAATTCGAACCACGCATACTCTCGATCAAACATAATGAATTATTTTGTAAACAAATTTTGACGAAGAAAACTATTTGTAAAACATAAAATTGTGTATGTACCACGGGCATAAACTGATATTTATACTCTCGGGCGACTAACAAGCTCTCGGGCCGTAGGCCCTCGAGCTTTTTAACTCGTCACCCTCGAGAATATAAACATCACTATTATGCCCTTAATACATAAATAACTATTATGATCGACTACTGGTCTTGCAGTTAATGGTGACTTATTCGAACATTTATTGTAAATTGTTACATTAGGAACCTTTTTTTAGTAGTTTGGTCTTTCTTTATGTTGAATTCGCTGTTCTAAATATAACACTTTTTGATAAAATTTGATTTGTTTTATAGCAGACATTCCATGGCACCACGGATATTGGCGTAGTCTTTGTATTATAAAATTCCATGGCATCACAGATTATTGAAAAAGATGGGGGTTTTATTTTTTCAATTTTTCGTCTTTATTATGCAAAAAATTGAAAACTAATACGGTTGATTGACGTAAAAAATTTTTTTCTACAAAAAACCTTAATACATTATTGCTCTAAAATAATTTGGGGAGCATGTTATGAATTTTACATTGAAATCCCTATGATACGTGACGCAAGTCACCACCCTGTATATTATGCTCTCGGAGTAGCGAAGGTGTATACTAACCAATAATGACCCTTCAGGATGGTAACGGAGGTATTTGGAACGCCGACTTTAATACGGCAATGAACCCGAAATCGCCAATTCAATTATATAAATGCCACGGTGGAGCAGTTGTGGATATCGCAGCATGTCCCTGGGATCATTATGTGGCAAGCCTAGGGAGCGATGGTCGTCTCCATTTATACCAATATATTAAGAAGGAGCTTGTGCTTTCACATCAGTACCCCGCGAAAGGAACTTGCATGATTTGGTTACCTTTGCATGTAAGAGTTTAATCCTCTTTTTTCCCCGTTTAAAAAACCTGCTGTAGGTACACGAGTTGGGAGATCAGTTGATAATGGGATTTGATGATGGTAATCTTAGGGTGGCAGTACTCATGTTTGATGAGAAGAACATTACAGCAACGACTACTCAGGTCACTTGCAATATTTTTAACCTTTGGCATTTACACGATAACACCATAGGTAATTAAATCACACAGTGGCTCCATTATAACTATTGCTCTTTGTAACAAACGGCATTTGCTTGTGAGCGGTAGTGAGGATTCCACTATTTTTATCTATTCATTGAACACAATCGAGGAATATGTTCATTTAATACCCATAGGTTTTATTCCGCTTACACTATGCCCCAGTTATCTAAAATGGCATTCTTATCAGGTAACTACTTTTTTATTAGTTTTATAGTTGATCTTGAATGTCGATTTTTTAGGAAGCAACAGTTGTTATTGGCTCCAGAAACGGATACTATTCTGAAATTCCCATATCTGAGCAAGCTCAACCACAATCCCAAGACTCCTACTTGCTTCAAGAGAAAGCATCCAATTTTATCCTAAGTAGACTCGTACCTATTAATCGCGCTGATTTCAACTGCATTCTTCCAGTTTGCAACAACTCGCCACTTATAAATAAAATTTTGTGGTTTACTTTTTTCAAGATGGACATCATGTGGTTTTCAATGGACGGAACCGACTCTGGCCGTGTGTATGAGAAGAGTCTAAATCACACTTGTGATATGATATACGATGCCGGTCACGTTGAAATTAATAATTGTGTCATAAAGTAAAATTAATATTTTTCTTTCCGCTACCAGTTGATTCAATTTCTTGCAGTGAGCACCGAACCTATATATTTTTCATCATGAGTGATGGAAACATTTTAATAACGAAAGTCAACCCTGACAACGCGAGGGATTTCTCAACCTCTTGGCAACTGGCCTTGCATAGTTTCAACAGATTTAGTTCACAAACATGTTTTAGTTATAATGAAAAATATTTGTTCACATGCTGGCGTGACGGTAACATTTTCTCTTATAAAATTAATATAAACGAAGAACCTACGAAGCTTATTTCACCCCGCAGTATTTCACGACAATGCCCTAAAGAAGTGGAGGATAATGACGGTTACACAAAATTAAGCTTGGAGGAACTAAAAATGAAGATAAAACACGACTTGAAATGTACAACCACCAATCGAAATCGGGAGACCCTACGACAGCGATTACAAAGCTTACGTGCACAATTTGAAGATTTGCTTAAACGTAACAGTGCTCTGCCTTCGACTCAAATTATACCGAAACAAGAGTTCGAAATACATCCACTAATTACCCAGTTTTTTAAGGATGAACATCAAGTGAACCTTGCGTGCGTAAACCGCGACCACGCCGTGCAAATTGAAATATCGCAAATAAAAATATGGAAAACCAGAAACCGCTTTACAGATCCTTTGGATTGTTTTCCTATTACCGTGAAAGGTATTTCCAGTAGAGGATGGGTGAAAACTATTCCTCAAAGGAAATTGGCGAAAGAGTTTCACGATGCGTTAATTCTAGTGGAAGAAAAGATGAAGGCGGAAAATGAAACGGGTACGTAATTAATAATTGTGCTATTCCTTACTAAATGTTTGCAAAATAGCGGAATGGAAGGAGAAGGTGATGTATGTTTTTTTAAATTGTGTACACTAATATAATACAGTGAACATATTTACAGGAGTTTCAGCGGTACTGCTGCAATCGAAAATCCATTGGAACGTCAAAAAAGAGTCAGGGAGAAGAAGGATGTTTTCTTGACCCTACTTGCGCAAGAAAAGAATTTTGGGCCGAAAATAAACCAGCTTCTGGAACGTTACAAGATTCGCAGAATTCATTTCCAAAAACGGAAACAAGAGGTACCTACGCGTGAAGAAAATTTGGTTCACATAAACTAATAAATTATATACTGTGTCCAAGATAAAGATGTTTATAATGGGGATTTTCGAAACCATAGACGATAGTCAAATGCGTAATTAAAAAGTTAGAAACTTGGAAAATTCCAATTCCTTCCGAAGATATGCCAGAAAAACCAAAATTTGCTAATTTCGTTTTGAACATTTCGTATTTGAACATACACAAAAGAAATAAAAATCACGTTCTCATTAACACGTTTTTCACGAATACAACGATGTACGGCACACAAAAAAAAACAAAAATTGGAAACTATTGGTTTCAACAAGATTGTGCACCTGCGCATAATGCTGTAATCGTGCTAGGATAGTACCTACGGGAGAAATTTTTCATCTTCCAGGAAATTTGTCCGATATGTATTCTCGCACGATTAGGGCGATGTGCGCGGGTGCACCAGCCTGTTGAAACCAACAGTTTCCATCTTTTGTTTTTTTTGTGACATTCATCATTATATTTGTAATCATTCTTAACGATCCCCATGAAGATAGACGTCCTTATCTTGGACACAGTGTATATTATATTACTCACTCGATTTTAATCATAAACTAAACAGTAAAATATAAAACGCTAATATGCTAAATTTAATTATATTATGTAAGTTTACACATGATTAACAGAATACTAAATTATAAATAATTAATGAACATTTGGATATGCCTGTCCATTTTGATAAACCATGACCACAAATGTACGTATATTTGTGCCATGCCTATGGTTTGATAGTATCAAGTTTCGTGATCTCTGCCACCGGCCATGTATGTATTAGTTTGTAAGGAAACAATCCGATGCAAACTGAATTGCGAGCGATCCTCGAGATCCTTAAGCATCACCCATCATTTTTACAACACGCCTTGACAAAGTGTAAAACAAATCAGCATTACTTTTGCTTTTACTCGAGGTGCCTACATACAACATTCCATTTAAATATCTCAAGAAATTTAAAAAATTGGATTGCACATGCGCAAAACAAATTTTTTGGTTGAGCATTAGTTTTGCTTTTACTCAAGGTTGTTGTGCATAAATAAGCACATTGGGCAAATATAGCATTGACCTTCCATACAAAATTGGGTTGCGCATGCGCACATTTTCGTCTGCATAGTTACTTGGGGTTTAAGTTTAAGGAATATTTATTTACTAACACAGAAAATCATATGTTCACGAGTTATAAAAGAAACCCTTTTTTTAGGTTTTGGGCAGTTTTTGGACTGTAATTTGGCCCGTTAGTTTACGTAGCTGAAATACGTAACAGGAAATTAGGTTCGATAGGTATTCTTGCACGAATCGCGCCGCAACTGCGACCTCCATTTATCTGAAAATCGTGTTAAGGTTACCAGGAAATTAAACAACGAAGCTGCACTTACCGGAAGGTTTTTCTGTAAAGCAACCTCCGACAATCAATAAAAACAATACGTTGCTCATTGCCGATGACACAGAAATCATATAGATATAGAGTTCACACCTTGGATGTAATGGAAAATGCTGGGTAAGCGATTAGGTTTATCACAAGTTATATTATGGTCAATGATTTTGTGACCTTTAAAACAAAAATACGTTAATTAAATGTAGTTGGCGTTGTGCGCGTATGCACCAGCCCGTTGAAAAACAATAGCGACCTTTCTTATATCCTTAAGAACATGTGTACCAATTTTCAAAGTGATCGGACGTTTCTATACAAAGTTTTCGTGCACACGGACGGACCAACTGCCCGTCCGTTCGGGTACGTACATGATAGCTCGCGAACGGTTTCGAATTTTCCAATTCTATTTTCAGTATTATGTTTATCATCACCCAAGGAAGAACTGATTAAATTTTCAGTGACCCAGGAGCTCGTTTGCTATATTTGTTACGTTTATTATAAGGAATATTGTACCTACTACATTTTCAGAATAGCAAAAATATCGACATCTATTCCTTCTCATTTGCACTACAAATGCCCACGTATATTTTTTTGGATTTTCGGAATATACCCAGAGGTATAGATAGGATTTTCGAGACCTTTCACAAAAACATGTTTGTTCTCTCTTCTTGTCTAAATGGGTTATATATCGAAATCAAAAAGTTGAGGAGTACTTCAGTATTCATTATTCTGATTAAGAAGACAGAAAAGTAGGTACCTAATTATTACATGCCTTTGTGAAACTACCCTATCGGTTGATTTTGTCACAAAAATTGCAATTTTGAATCCTCTCCAAGCAGCAATCATATTTTCATGGGGTACAGAACGTAGGTGTGAATTTACTCTGCGAAGTAATCCTTTGTTGCACTTTTTTGCCCAAGTAGCATACAGCAAAGTTGATCGATAGCTTTTAAGTAAAGATCTGGTTATTATATTTCCACCGGATAGAGAGACAAACAAAGTACTCAACTTCTTGAAGTGTATGATGTTTCACAATGTATAGGTCTGAAATTGTTCCTTGATTGGGTTGCTCCTTAGGGTTGTTAACTCGTTGTATAAGACTTACCTTTTTTGCTTTGCTTATACAAATACATGTGTGTATTATGTTAATGTAGTAAAGAAATAATGTGGTGTTGCTGAATATCCAAAACTTAATTTGAGTAGATTTACGACAATAAAATTTGGACTCAAATAAAGCACTGATTTTAAATATCCTATCAAAATTAAAATCAATACGTAACCTGAATTATACCTTCAAATCTATAAATATCGTCAAATCGTCTGCTTTATTTATGATGTAAACGTTATAGGTTACAATGTATACAATATAAATAATTGAATGTAAGTTTCAAAATATAAATGAAAAAAATTCTCTAAAATTTAATATACAATTTGAATAGAACAATTTGAAAGGAATACTTGGAGCCATTTTTTGGTAAAATTGTTGAGGTTTCATTGTAGTACCGGATAGACCTTCGAGTGTTCTAAAAGTTTGTCTAATAATTTTTTGACTGGTGCGGTGGTGTTAACACTAACATTTTTGCTAGTATTAACCGTTGAAGCTGTACTTCTTCATTTTCCAGTGGGAAGACTTCACTGCAGCCAAACCCTTGAAAATCAATTCCGTAGAAGACCAAATTAATTTACGCCACGCAATCGAAACTGTTGGCGATTATAAACTGAAATCCGATACGAACTATAAAGTTCCAAAATCCTTGTACACAAGCGTTGCTAAACAATATCATTATTTATTACAAGCGTCTTTAAAGGTAAGTCTTAGTTAAGGAATTTCTTAACACTAGCACTACTGGTAAATATACAGAAATACCAAATTGTTGATAAATACAACAACAAAGTGTACCAGTTACGGGAAAGACGTGTGAAGGTACTCGACTACTTACAAAACCTACTCTCATCCTTAGGAGAAGTACAGGAAGAATTAGACGAAAAAGACAGAAAGCCAGTACCTGTCATACCCGATACGACAATAGACGATTTTCCTGAACGTAACTTAGATGTGAAAGTGTTATCAGAAGATACAGATGTGCAAATAACGAAGGTATCTTTTAATTGCACAACTCACTTTGTCCGACTGCGATGTTCTAGCCCATCCGAAGTAACTCTGTATTGAAAGATATATTGGTGGATGATGAGGAATCCGAATGGGAGGTAGAAGCGAGAGACTATCGGAAGGCTTGGTAATTGAGAAGACATTTCAATAATCAGGTATACCAGATTAAACTTTGTAGCAAATTATTTGAACAAAACTTACTTCTACGCAAAATATACAGAACCATTCAACAGTTTGACGATGCGCTCGATGAGTTATCAATGGAGAGTTGTACCACCATGCGAGATGTTAATCTCCTTGACTTGCATTTAATAACGTTGAATCAGGAGTTGATAATATCGAAACAGTTTGAACAATCTGAAATGTTGATAGATGAAAAAATACATGCAAAAATGGAAGCGATGGAAAGTCATCACAATAGTAGCAAAAGAAAATTGGAATTCATTTCTCAACATGTAACAGAAGCCAAAATATTTTACAAAGAAAAGAAAAAAATAAAATTTCGCTTCTTATCCTCCATAACAGGACATGAACATGCCTCGTATTTGAAAAAGCTTTTCAAATCAAATGGAACTGCAGCAGACGGTGCGTATTAATTAGGCGAATACTTTTATCCATTTTTTTCTTTTGTTTATGGTGGGTTTATACAATCATTATTATTAGATCGTTAAGAAATAGCCAATAGAAGCAAAAGTTTATTGTGCGTCGCTAATCAACGAAACCATACCTTTGTTTCTATGCGTTATTATTAATGATCTATAATGATTGTGATCTAATGCTAGTGATTGGATAAACCCACCATATTAATTACTAAAATTAATACAACCATTAATATTCAACCAATCGGCGTGTAATTGTTTTAAATTCTAACCAATCAGATGATTAAAAGCTAGGTAGCGTTTTATCAGCGACAAAAATGCGTGGACGAATGCGTAAAATTGTGAAATATATTGTCACACTCGGATCGTAATTTTAAATCAGGATAATTTTATATTTTAATTCACTCAAGTTTTGTTGCCGCCTGGAAAAAAACTGGATCAAAAAGCATAAGCGAATATCAAATAAATTACACCTTTTGGCAGTTTTATTTCTTATAATTTCAATAAAACATATTCAAGATAGTTTAAGGTTTCTTGCCCTAAAATTCTGTTTGTACTTGCATTAATTTTAAATGTGTGGCGTCACGTAAAATCGCGCGTACGCCATTCGTCGTAAACGGTGTGACGTCACGCAATATTGTTCGCGCTCGCCACCAGTCGTAAAAACGAAAACCTACACTCAATAGTGCGCGTACGTGGCGGCTTTATAAGGCGGCTTGCGTTAAGGTGACCGAATAAATAAACAAACGTAAGAACACCTGCGCAACCCCCAAAGTGGTGACCCCGACGTGATAGCGAAGGTACGTTCTCGACCGGGAGCACAGCCGACCCTAACATGGAGATACTTCATGTCCAAATGAAGCTCCCATCATTCTGGCCAACCGACTGAAATGTGGTTCGCCCAAATGGAGAGTCATTTCCGAATAAGCAGCATATAACGACACCAAGTACGGGTACATCGCCAGCAGCTTGGAAGCCAATTACACCCAGCGAGGTTAGATACATTTTCACCAAACCACCCGACGCAGAACTCATCATAAGGGTCAGCGCCATCTACTAGCAGCGGATTAAACAGTTACTCGAATACAAAGAGCAAGGGGTTCTGTGCCCGACAATCTCCTAAGGTCTATATGGAATAGCAGACTGTCGCAAATGATCCAAGCCATCCTGGCGATACAGCAAAAGCCGCCCGGGGAGAGGCAGCCGAATTCGCTTACGCTATATAAGAGCTCACCCTCAGTATATAGACGCATTCCAGCATACACTAGATAAGGTTCTACTATATGCCCATGCTACAAAGGAAAGAGATAAAAATGTTGTTAAATTAGAGAAAACTTGCGCAATCAAAGGTCGATGAAGAAATCACTGAAAAACCTTTTGGTTTTTGAAATATTAAAAAATCAGATTTTTCGATTGTAGGATATATTTTTTTCTGGCGTTAATATTTGACCTAAAGCGAAACCAACAGCAACTTTTAATGCCAATGTAGTAGGTGGAGTTATTACTTTTTTAATCCGACGTTTCGTCTTTGCGGAATTCATTTTTTTAAATACGGTCCTGGTGTTCCCCTTTTATTCTGAATGCAATGCAGGTGTAGCACTTTATGACTTTCTTTTAGCTGAAATGTCCGAAAACTCTTCAGATGAAAGTGAATGTAACAAGGAAACTACACTTGTAGAGGTAGACCCAATAGTTCCATGCGATTCGCAACTATACAAAGCGACCCTTAACATGAGGACCGAAAAGTACTTAAATGTTTTCAATATTCATCGTTGTGATGTTAATCATTTTTAGATTTCGAATCAACGGGCGATTGAAATATTTAAAAGATGCTATAGATGTGATAAATGTTGACATAAAGCATAATAACACCGTGAAAACAAAGCTTAAGACAGAAATAGGAAACTTAGAACGTGAAATGGAGCAAATACAAGCGAGTATACAAATGAAATAGAAAAAGATCAAACAGTTGTTTTTTAGAAACAAAAACAAGATCGACGTAATCAAGTGATGTGCACGCTTGTTTTCAAGTTAAACCAATTACAGTACCCAAAATCATCGACTAGTAAAATTGGCGATACCCTCGTTTTTTCTCAACCGATTTTAACAAATTTGTACAAAAGAGTGGGCCATTTGCACCAGGATACAGTACAGCAAGAGATAAAGCACAAGTTACTTTTGAAACCATTTGTCTTTAGGTACAAAAGTTGCTTGTAGGGAATGTCTTGGTCATATTTGTAAAATGAAAACCGACTTTCACCAAATGAAAGAGAACATAAAAACACTTGAACAAAACATGGATGCTGCAATTAAAAAGAAAGTGGGTAAGGTTATTCCGGTGGATTTAATCGAGCAAGTAAGACTGCGAGATAAATTAATTAAGTTTAATGTACGAAATGCGAACGTCCACATCGCATATCAACAGGAGCTCACAACGTTGAGCGTAAGCGCGAGTCTCATTTTAATTGCGTTTAACATCCAAAGTTTACAGGAACAGGTCAAATTGAAACAAATTGAACTACGTAATGTAATAAAAGAAAACACAGAGCGTCAAAATGTGCTTACTGAGATCAATCGCGAGAAGACTAATTTAATGCAAACGATCCGTATACAGTCTGCTAAGAAGAGGCATTTGGAAAACGTCGTTGTTATAGCTGAGCAGTGCAAGGAAGATATAGAGAAATTGTCGCATATTATTAAAAAGCAAAACCAGGATATCGAGGTCGGTATTTTGAGTCATCCAAAGTAAAAAAAACATATCATATGTGCCTATCTAATCCAATGAGTGGATGGATTTATCTTACTATTATCTGTTCACCCAACAGATGCAGTTAAGTTCCTCCCAAAACATTTCCGGTAAATTTAAATGAACATTTTTAATTGGCCGAATTTTCAAAACCTGTAACACACGCAACTATTTGCTTCCAATTATAATTGCCTTGCCTCAATTTGCCGTTATTTTCCTTTATAGGAACAAACTAATCTTTTTAAACATAATAAACAATTTGAAACTATGTACTGCTGTGTGCCTAAAGGTCAATATTCAAAACATAACACTTTATAACTTAGTCATACAGTGTGAATAATGCGATTTTTAAATTCCCAGTTTTTATAATTTTGTGACTATGAAACGGGTCTGTTATTACATTGGCCAAAATTTATTGGGAGTGGCTTAACTGCATCTGTTGGGCGAACAGATTATAGTTTCTTATTCATTTTTTGGCCAAATTCCTGTTTGATGTCTTCTTCTAAATTAAAACTTTTTTTTACTTTTTTTAGATCTTGTCCGCTCATGTATTTCTCATACTTCTTGTGTTGTACACTCGTCTCTGTTATACCGTACTTTACTATTACTAAATACAATGGTCACTGTAGATTACTATCTATTCCACTCGACTATACTTGTTTTATATTAAATTGTATATACCTAGGTGGCATACCTAACCCAAATGGCTCATTCATGTAGGTACCTAAAACGGCCCCAAAAATGTATTCAAGCAAATTTACCTAGACTTGGACAATAAACTGTCTTTTGCAGATTTTACAAAACGAAATTAAGCGTTTAAGTCTAAAGTCGCTGCCTATTGTCGATCGAAAGGTATCCAGCGAGCTCCTCAATCTCACTTTAGATATTGACAAGCCCAGTTCCGAAATTTACCAATGGAAATCGTTCGATGCGAAGGAATTGAGGGAAATTGTAGATCTGCCAGATCGGCGACATTTGAAAACTCAAGTACAGATTCCATCAGTGTATGTGTACCTACCGTTTTTATTCTACATCAATTCTGAACGATTCAGTAGTATTTCAGATGATGTGGAGGAACTAGTGATCGCTTTAATAATGGAAATGTGCGAATCCCTACAAGTATTTGCAAATTCATCGAAACGATCCGTTCAGCAACTTGTAAAACAAATTTTACCCAACATTATGCAAGAGACCGATGTGGACAGCATAGTTAAGGACTTAACTGACTTTTTGTCGACAGATTTCACCTATGAACAGCAAACTGTAGTCAAAGACACTGCTCATCAAATTTATACGTTCCTCCATTCTGAGGTTTTTCACAGCTCCCACTGATAGCCTGCCTTACTATAACTATGTAATTGTAGTCCAATGTAGAAGAATTATCAGAGTCTGCCAGAGAATTACTAATTAAAGTAATTAATGAGACAATTACGAGTGCTAAAGATGCTAATGCTTTAATCGAAGAAATTCTGCTGAAATTGGTGCACTGTTTACCAATCAGATTTTTAATTCGACAAAGCACAGTGGATATGATATTGGCTGAAATTCGATGTCATTTACTGGACAATGACGAAAGTTTATTGGAGGCAATTTTAAATATTTCAACTGAATCAACCGATGATCTTCAAGAACTCTTAGACAGTATTATTGAAACGGTTTACAAATCCAAATCGTAAAATGTTTGGATAGTATATTTATGCCAGTGTTATTTTTTGTAGTCTTTTCATGTCATGTACCTATAATACCCTACTATCTTCTTATTAAAGTGTTAAGGGTAACCATTGGGAATTTAATGCTGGTTACAAAGTGATGGGATTCCGAATACTGCTGGAGATCCTGGAAAAATTATTATCCTCGTGTCAGTGAAGGACTTGTCATTCTATTGTATTTTATTAGCCAGTTTTGACTCTACTATCGATAAGATCTGGTCGAAGGCACTACGTTCGCTCGTAAATCGCGTTTGTAGTTTTGACTGCCCCATCACTCAGATCTGTCGTGGGTTACCACATTTCCTTTGTCGGTATCCATTTCTAATAGGTACTTCCACAATCATAGAAATGCGCCATTTTTGCTGAACTGAAAAATCACCATGTTAGTAAACCACTCTCGGTGATGGCGCCCAGACGTTGCCGACCCCGCACATATGTAGCCCCGTCCCTAAAGTTGTTAATTATGTACACTGCTCTAATAGATACACGTACACTTTTCGTCTTTCTACAAGGGTTCTTTTACTGGTCCTCATACGCTGCCAGCAGTCAGCCGGCCAAAGTGAAATTATAAAATAAGCTAGCCACCATTTTGCAAATAATTTGCAAAAATGCCCTAAAATTTCTAAAAATATCACACTCTCATTGGAACTTTTTTCATTGCGTTGCCTTAAGAGTCTTCTTTACCTAAGCGCAACTTTTTTTACATTATAGTGTATAGATGATTATAGCTGCAAGAGATAAGATGATATTCTTGCTTTGTCAAGTCCTGTCTTGGTCCTTAGTTAGTTCTCACCGACACTGTGCAGCGGCGCCACTTGTTACACTCAAATTGTTGATTTAACGCCCGCCAAGATACAGACTTTATTTACAAAAATTATGACTTCATTTTTTGGGGTCATGTTTAGAAGTAACTTATCTAAAAAACTGTCGGTTTACTTTTTCCATAAATCGTCTTGATCGAGAGTAAAAAAATAAAACAGATTAGCGCAATAATCGGTGCGAAACATCTAATCTTTAAACAATCGGTATTCAGTTGGTATAAACTTAAAAAAAAATAGCCCGAACATTTTGTAGATAAAGGTCTAAATTTATAAAATAGTTCTTAAAAAAAATTGTTTTTTGAAAAACAACTATAGTTTTTATGGCGGGCGCTCTTATGGAAATTTACATTGGATGCAGTGGGTACAGAAGACCCTTAAGTTCGACATTTCCACAATCCCAAACGGTCACCCTCGAATATATGGGACATCCTGTACTTATAATTGTTTATTTAGGGTCATATAGTTCTGTGTTTGCGATTTGTTGTAAATAAACAAAAAAAATTAAAAAAAATCGTGCTTATATAGGTAGTATCGTGTGTACATTATTACCCTGTCGGGTGCTAGACTGCTAGGGCAGAAAAACTGCTGTCTTAAGGAACGAGTTTACTACGACAATCCAGTGGTACCTTATTTTCCTGGCACCATGTCGTCGTGCGGCACCTTTTGATCGCAAGATCCTAGAGGACTAATAATGGTCCAACGTCCAGAAAAAGAATCCTATCGAATTTGGACAAAAATTCCAAAAGTTTTAGATAACTGTCGGGTCCTTCGATACTGGTATTGATGTAATTATTTGCTGTTTTGAAATAGTAATACATTGTTATTGTTGCAAGATTTATATTTTACTAGGGAATAGGGATCTAAATAAGTTAGAAACGTTCCAAATACTAATAGGCCCGCTGACAATAAATTAAGTAGTTCATTCATTTCAATGTAGACCAAACGTCTTGGAAACACGGTAGTTCAAACGAATTCTTAATTAAAAAATAAACAGTCAAAATGGAGTAAAAAGAGATTGTTACAAAAAGAATAATAAGTAGAGCGTAAAATATGCGTACTAGACCTACAGTTATTATTATTCTTAATATATTTACATTTTATTAATTTCGTTATATAAGTAGAAACAAGGAAGTACAAAAAATTCAATAACAAAGATGAGCAGGTTCGCAGATTATTTTATTATTTGTGGTTTAGATTTTAATTCCGGACTGGAACCCGATAAGCTTTCTGGTGTGTATTTCTATTAATTGTTGTGTACGTACTTATCATTGACGTTTTAGGGGATAATTTACACGCTTCTCCGCTCGAACGATCGTACAAAAACAAAGTTTTGGCTCACTATCCGAATAATGTGTCTACAAATCCTTTTGATCCATCTGCTGTGTGCATGGTAAGGCTCGAGAGGTGATTTTTAGATTTCGACACAATATGATTTTAGTTGTGTCTTCCAAATGGTCTAAGATTTCGTACACAAAAGCACTCGGTTACACAGGCTCCCACATTTCATTCCTTTCTCATAACTAGGGAAGACGGCAAGAGATGTTACGGTTTTAGCTTGATATTCTATGAAGAAGTACGTAATCGTGATATATGTACGGCGATGCAAACCCTGCAGGTGGTTAACACAACTTGTTAACGTCATATTACTCTTGTTTTACTTATTAGGCAATGTATGTCACGGAATTATCAAGCTGTTTGAAAATTAAAGCAGTTCAAGAGATTCAAAATGGACCACAGACTCGCTCCCTACCTAAACATTTTAAATTAAGTAATAATCCCATTGGTACCGCATTAGGATATTATGACATTACGAAAGATAAATTATTTGTATCGAAAAGTATAGCGATTCTAACGCAGATTCCGTATGTACACGCTTCGAAATTATTTTTAGAAAACTTATACCGGTGAGGCGCCTTATTTGATGTGTATGTAGCTTATTTTTTGCTTTCAGATGTATACCAAAGCGATGTTCTTCTGTAAATACTCTTAGCCTCGATAGTTTCGTTTTTAATGTTTTATACGAAGTATGTTGTCGCATCGATAATACTGCACTAGATAGACATCGTACTTAGAAGAGTTGTAAGCGTTCATTCAGGTCTTTGGCTTCTGGCATGAACTATAGGAAAGCCCATAGATATACAAAGCCCCATAAACTTCACCATTTTTGATCCAAAAAGTGCCGCAAATTTAAAATACCTATCCACTGTCACCTTGCAATCAATGCTTTGAAACACACTACAAAGAATAGCCAGTGTTGCAACATTTGTGGTTGAACATGCACATTAACATTCAAGGTTACAGTTCTGGCACTTTAAAGGTGACAGCGAGGTGACAGGCAGTGAAAATGAAAACCATGATTTTTTTTGTGTCTATAAATGCTAAAACTGTAGTCATAACCCCAAGACTTTGGTTTTGTGGTCAGGTGACGTAAAAAAGCTATAAAATAAAAATAACTCAAAAATACTTTTTTGTAAAAAGTACTGAACATCATTTACCACAGTAGAAAGTTTCAATTTCAAGCACATGTGTACACTTATCCATAATAGCCAAAGAAACATTAATATTTATCTAATGTACCTCACCGCAAAAAATGTGCTAAACCCCATAAAGCAATATTATTATTTTTTTTACGTGACTTACCGATAAACACATTAAAATATAGAGTAAAAATGTTTTTAATTAACCATGCCTTCTATAGTGTGGATGAGTTTATGACCAGTAACATCAGATCTAGGTATTTAATAATTTTTGGAGAAGTATTTTTATTTTGACGTCTGTAAATGCCTGTTGATAGCTTATTAACAGAAATAAAATTATGATTACTATTATTAATCTCAGGTCTTTTAAAAACATAGCCTCTGTATTCTGTAGACAAGTTTCAACGTGTGAAAAAGTGTCTATCTAGTGTATTATTATCCTTGTTTGCTGTATACATAATGTATGTACGTGTAAATCACTTTATTCTACCATAGGTACAGTTACCTACACAGGGGAAAAGCATTTTGATACATCTTCCGCCGTCAGATCCTCAACTTCCGCTGAGCAATGTCGTGTTGCAGTGCCCAGTGTTTCCTTTAGAACTACCTCATTTTGATTTTCCGCTAAGGTGTATGTTTTTATGGTTAGGTGTCGACATAGTGGTACAACTATTTACTTGCCTTTTACTTGAAAATCAGGTCCTTTTAAAGAGCGCAGGTAGATGAGTGTTTTGAGACCCTTCACCTTTCATTGAATCGTCTGTTTAGATTGCCAAAGATTAATGATTGTCGCCGAAGGTATAACGACTTTACTATTTCCCTTCACTTGGCCCCATGTGTACGTGCCAATCTTGCCAGCATCCTTAGAACACTTTCTGGATGCACCCGTACCTTTTGTAATGGGTATGTCTGTAGAAGCTGTTGATTTTAACCGTTGGATTATATAATTTTTAGGATTGTATGCGACTTCAGATAACATTAAGATGGCGTCAGAAGCTAGTTTGTGTTACGTAGATTTAGACAAATGTAAGGTACAATTACCTGAAGAAATGGCAGCTTTCCCTCATTTGGACGCTTTCAGTGCCGAGATTTGGGCCGCCCTTGACAAACATACGGTTCATGTTCCGAATTCAGAAAATAATAGATCGTGGCAGGTAGGTACATATTTTGCAAAATTGTGATAGAATTATTATTTTGCGATTAGTTAGGCCCTAACTAACACTAACTGTTAGGGTATGTTAAGTTAGTAGAGGATGCGCGGAAGTAGCGTCTTGATAAAGAGCATGTGCTTTCAATGGCCCACTGGCTAATCTTGAAGCCAGTGGAGTAGCGCAACATTTTTCAAATGAACTGGATAGTAACTGGCCTCCACTGGCGTTTACATGAAGCCAGTTAATGGAATCCAGTTACTGAAGCCCAGTTATTGATCTACGTACTGATGGCCTCATGTAAACGCGTCATTATTACTGGACTCAGATTGCTACAGGATTTCTTGTAGATCACTTGGTCAGACAGTAATTTCAAGAAACAAATTGCATTTTTGTAAGTTATGTTTATTTAGTTTTCTTAGTGGCTTATTACCTACACAACCGTCATAAGAAAAAACCCAGTAACTACAGATTTTTCAGATATAGAGGTAAAGGAGTTTAGAGCATTTAAAAAGTAACATAGTCTCACTTTTTTAGACGGTTACTCATACCAAAAGAAAATTCGATCTTTCCTTAATAACGCCGTGAAAACTGTTTTGCAATATCTCTTACCGTTTTCGTTTAATAAATTTTCAAAATTATACCGCTGCACATTCAATTTTTGACATAAAAACTTGAATATCGACGAAGCCCTTGGAGCAAAGGGGCAACTATGGGGTATCGTTGTACTCCAAATTCGACGTAAAATCCTAAACTGTAAAAATAGGAAGTCCCTATTTAAAATAACAAAGTTGATGGCTACTTCCGGCATTTGCAGAAGTGGCGCCATCTGGATAATATTTTAGTTCAATTCATCATATGCCAAAACCCTTGGGGGAGTTTAGCTTCATTTTCAAAGGTTCTCCATATCCTACTTGCGGTTAGTGTTGCTGTGAAGAGTCAATGTTTTCCAAACTCCTTTTTTATCGCATTTTTGCAAATTTATTTGTAAAAGGGTAGCTTTTAATCTCACTTCGGCCGGCTAGTTGGCTGGCTGGCAGCAAATGCGGGCCCGTAGAACGTTTGTGGAAAGAGGAGGAGTGTACAATTGTATATGTACCTACCGGGGCCATGTAATTCAGGGACGGAGCTTCAAGATCTGGGGTCAGCGACATCTGGGCGCCATCCGCCAATGTTATACTAACATGGTGATTTTTCAGTGTTTTTCTATCTTCTTCTATAGTTTGGGTGCGATTGTTTTCAAATTGGGGTCGTCAGAGAGATCTTGTAAACGTGCCCAACTCCTGCGTGACCACATATTGTTTTTTTTTCAGAGAGGCGAAATAAACCACCGTTTGCAAGGCGGGCGCCTTTGAGGGGTAATCGGCTTCTGCCGCCCAAAAGTTGCCTTTCGGATAAAAAATTGTACTTGCAAAATTTTTCTTACAAACAAATTAAAAAAACTGTCCATTTTAGAAAAATTTTTCAAGTACATTTGTTTGTCCATTTTTTTATGCTATTTCCATTCATGCATAGTAAAGATATGGTTTCCATTTGAAAATTTCAAGTTTTTGACCAAAAATCGATTGTCAACTTTGAACGATTATTCATATTATTTTCGAATCACATTTGAAAATCAGACCAATAACATTTAATAGCGTGGATGTTTAGCTGTCCATTCGTAAAAAAACATTTTGCTAAGTTGTCAGACAACAGTGATTTGGCGAATTTACTGAACCTCTGAAACTGTGAAAAAATGTCAAACTTCGAAATCATGTCAGTTAGACATAGCATCATATTGACAAAATCATATTGATTTTTTATGAGGAATTCAAAAATATAGTGCCATTTGCAATAAGAAAGTTTCGGTATCGTTTTGATACAACCGGAAAGGCGGCCATCTTGAAAATATGTTTAAATGATTCCTTTTGATCGATTATTCAGAAAAGGTAATGGGTCCCGAAATAAAATTCCAAACCGTTCCTCAGATACTTGTCCACTTAAAAACACCACCATGTAGATCCCCCCCCCCCCCTTTTTGAAAATTGGTTATGGCTTAACCTTGTTGGCGCTAGCTTTAATTCAAGTGGCGCAATTGAGCGCATATATCCAGATGTACTCGTATTAGATGGCATAGATACCAGCGACAAAATACGTGGTGGGGGGGGCTGCATATACTTGGTCCCTCCTAAATGTGTTTTCGGAAAACGATAATGGCGCAAGAGTTATTATCGGTGGCGCGTAGGAGCGCATAACTTTATAATAAAACGACATCAAATCTCGAAGTGGGGAGGGGGGGGGGGCTGAACGCTTCTGACTGCAAGTAGGTATGAACTAAACCGACTACGGAGAATGAGGTGCCAGAAAAGCCGATATACCCACGATTGTAGTGGAGGGGGCTGTTGAGAGTGGGGGAAGGGGTCACTTCGAAGACTCCCTTACAAGAGGTAGTATTCAATTCATCATGTTTTAGGCAACCTTAGTTTCCGGCGTTTAATAGTGTATTTCGAGTAGTTGAATGAGTTGCTAAAATTTGCGCCACTGAACATCTCAAAAATTTGATGTACACGTAGCAAATTTTCTTCCCTACAATTTTTCTCTTGACATTTTTTCTTAAACGTGGCTGGGGTGTCCGACGGTATTTAGTACCCTAAACCGAAGTATGTTGGCAAATTTCAGCTTGTTAAGACGGGCTCATGGGTGGTGGGTATTAATAAGCCTGAGCAAAATTGCAGATTTTATAATTTACATACAGGTTGCTTACCACTGGCTCTTAAACTACATATATGTTTGTCCGATGCATACATTTCTAAATTAGAATAGTTTCTTAAATAATAATTTGTTTTTCGATATGGACGCCAGTACTTGTATATCTCACACCATAATTTCATAAATTTTATGTATATAAAAAATAAATTATATGTATAAAACAATCATTTGCAAAAGTGGTATTACACTATTACATCTATTACAGGAAATAACATCACGAACTAGTATTCTTCCTGGAAGGTCTTTAAACCGCCGTAAACTCTCCATGCATGACACGATAGAATGCGATCGACCACCTTCTCCGCCAGGCTCAGCACGATCTGAAGCCTTACAGCGAATTGCAGACATTGTACGGCGTACGGGGGTCACTCTAGACAGAACTGAAAGTACCCAACCATCTGACTCTTACATCGAAGATCTACGGTTCAATAACAGTATAAGAGAAATTTTCCTGAACCGTTTCGTTCACATATTTCAGTCTTATGAAAACTTCATTATTTTACCCAATCAGGTTGTTATACTGACTATAAGTATTCGTTTAAATATCACCGTCATTTTTTAGCGCGACAAAGACGATTGGTTCAATAATAGAGATTCCGTACAGAATTTCGACAAGGCCGCGTTTTTATCGGACCAACCCGAGCAACATCGCCTATTCCTATGGCGTTTTCTAGAGACGCAGATGTTCGCGACATTAATCGACAATAAAATTTTATCCGTATGGGGCGAAATCGATAACAATCTAATCATTTTCGACAATCGAATAAAATACTTGAAACAGCGCTACGGCGGAGAAAATCTAATGAGATCGCTGACGTACGAGCCCTGCACGAGCGCGCACGAGACTCAAAAATTGTTAGACTACCGAATGGCCAATCCGGACTTCGAGTCACCGACGCCGAAGGAAATATTACATCATAAACCGAACATCTCGCGCTATTTTCCCCTGCTCGACGAGGAAATCTTGAATAAGACCCCGGTTGTGAATAAAGGCAGCATACCTAGGGCAAACGCTCACAAAAAAATCGGTACGAAAATGTCCGTTTTGACGATCGATAAAAGCGCAACGAAGACTAGCAACGCTCAAGATGTGTCACCCGCATTACTAGCGCAAGCGAACTGGACTTTTGTCGAGAAATTGCTTAAGGTACAGCCCATTTGTTTGGAATATTTTTATTTGTTGTTATTGCAGGACTGCAAGTCTAAAACGAAACGAATGCTACTCGCGAAATTGGGCGCCGAAGGTGTTACGCTTTCAAGCAACAATGCGGTCGACAACTCAGGTGCTGTCGAGGAGAGCACTTTGGTCGCATCACTTTGTGATTTTCTGGAACGAGTTTGGTCTCACGGTCTGCAGCGGAAAAGAGGAAAGTCGGCGTTGTGGTCCTACTTGTTGGCCTATCAGGAACAACACAAGCATCCTGCGAAAATTGAAAATCAGTACTTGTCACCTGGTAAGTGTTCACAATTAGTGACTATTATATTCAATCAAGCTTAAAGCTGAAATGTCGAGACTCGCACTTCGTCTGGAAAATTGGTCTAGTCCGAGTACGGAAAATAAAAGTTTTAATTCCGAAATGCCTCCATTTCCGGAGTCCCTACTGTTCGATATGGCGTGAGTAGTAGATATTATGCGCATTCTCTTTAGTGTCTCATTCTAGTAATGTACAAGCGATGTCGGATGTTAAAACAGGAGTTGGAATGGCAAGAGCGTGGGTTCGTTTGGCGTTAGAGAAGAAGCAGCTTTCGAAACATTTAAATACATTGTTGTCAGATCATAATTTGTTACGTAGCATGTATAAGCGGTCCGCGTTTGCGCGGTGCGAGGAGGAAAGGGAACAATTTTTATTTCATTTGCTCTCTTTAAATGCGGTTGATTACTTTTGTTTTACAAGTACCTATCCTACTACTGGTAAGAATTTGCCTTTTGTTGTGTACATTTATGCATGAATATTGCAGTGATAACCTACCGAGTGGTAATATTTCCAAGCCGCAAGGGAACCATGACTTCTGCTAATGTCTGGGTCGTTTTATCAGGGACTTTATCTGAAACACAACGCGTGCCTATTCCAAAGTCAACGCTGAACTTTGAATTTAGAGTAAGTAATTTTTAGGTTAGCCTAATTTGATTTCCACTAAAGCAAACTGCATTATGGGTTTGATAGTACACCTGCATGCACTTTCTATTTTTAGCTGGCGACACGTTATCACTTTAATTAAAAGGGAAATTAAATTATAAAATTAAAGTGTCGAGTTATTTTTATGGATTATTTTTACACTTACTCGCTTACAGGAATGAACTAAATTATTCTTAGTAGCTTACTTTTTAAACGCCAATAAGAAATTGTCGGATCATTTGCGTGTTCAACAAAAAGTATTCCTTTATGTAACATTCTACTCGCCTTAGCATCAAAATCTGGGGGTCTTAACAACATTAAGAATCGGTCACGATAATACCGGCTTATCCGCAAAATGGCTAATCGACTACATTCTCGTTCGCAACGAAATAACGGGCCATACTTACAAGTAAGTCACAGTATTCTTACTTGTTTTAGTTGAATTCGGTCCTTGCAGATTTCCGTGTGGTCGGTGGCTGGGTCGAGGAGTCGATGACGGTTCGACAGAGAGACTATTGGTCGGAAATCTACTCAAGAAACAGATTGAGGGAGATGAAATCTCAGGCATAAAAACGGGCAGCAGCGTTCACACGTTACCAAGATGTCGATCGCCTGGTCCGCTCCGATCTATAGAGTTAAAACCCTCACAAATTCAGCATATGCTAGGTTGGCCACCGTTCGTCTTGTGTTCTTTTAATATTTATTGGTGTTGTTAGGTGACTGTGTAAATAGGATCGTGAAGTGGCATTACAGGCGAGGATCAGAAAGGCACACGACACTTACAGCTTTGTTATGTGGCGAATCTGGATTGGTGCATTGTTTGGAGCTTGTGTTTCTATTGGGGTTTAAGTCGGCTCGATTGTTCGCCCGAAATCACTATTTGTGGGATTATTTTGGTAGGTACATGTTATGGATTGCAAGGAATAAGAACCATGTGTTTCTTTTTCTGATATCTCAAAGTTTCGTTTATATCTCAAAAATGAGACATCACAGGAGACATTTTTTAAATTCTGAATTAAAACTGATAAAGTTCTTTGTAACTTCTATGCTAATGCTTTTTCGAAGCGTCTTGAAAGAGTGGCAATTGTCGAAAGGCTTATCCTACCTGGGGGGGGGGGGTCTAAAGCCGGTTTTAAAGCTCTCTCATTGAATTTGGGTGTTCTGCGCAATCGTATCGTTCTAATTACTGAACTTAGTTTTTATATATTACTTCGAAAAATCCAAAAATAATAAGAGAATTATTGTGGCAGTAGGATTTTCTTTAGTTTGCGTCACGTCATCGGTGTATTATGACGGCATCACTAAGTATGTTTACATAGCATCATGCGATCAATGGAAGAGAATACATACAGTGTGTCAATTTAAAAAGGTACCACCCGAAATTTATGAGCCGCAACAACAGATCCACGGAAAAACAAAAACATGTCACCTTGATTTTGAAGGGGGCCATGTTATAGTCTGGTCATACATGAAATTCGATCAACCCTCTAATGGGGCTAGAAGCAACCCCTAAAATTTAAATAGGGAAGAAGGATTGAGTGACCTGTCATTTTAAAGGTCATTCAATTGTATTCGCAAAAATATTACCCACTTGTTGTTTCTTTTCAGTACTTGAAGAAAAATCAACCAAAATGTGATAAGAATCTTATCCTCACTTTATCGAATGTTCGATTTCGATATTTATATTAAAAATATATTATATATATATATTAAAAATATTAGAATGGGAAACATCTGAGCATATAATCAAAGGTGGCTAACATTCTACTATTTTTAATCATTGATTAACCTTAATCATCCTTTGTGAAACCGAGCATTAGTCCATCATCGCTAACGTGTTTCTTACATTGCCTTGTTTTTTAGGACTTTCTAGAGGTATGAAGGATTTAGAAATTTGTGAAATAGAAGTCACTGTTGGCAGGCTAAAATTGAATGCATCCGCGACTTTCTGTGAACTGAAACTTGTTATATGTAACCACTCTTACTGCTGCGACTGGTAAAAATGGACCCCCATTATCTCTTTTTCGTTCAAAATAATGAATAAGACTAGAAATAAGTTGCTTACTTTTTCTTGGTAAACCCGATGGCATTTTTCGGTTATGCAACTTTTGGCGCAGAAATTCGCAGCGGACGGTATGTTATTTATTACGTGTCGCAATGTAAACGTAAACTACCCCAATTTCGATTGACAGATAACCTGAAAACATAAACACGTGATTCCAACGTTTATTGTGGTTTAAAATAATTTTTTTTATTTTGTTAATGTTGGCATTACAATATTCCCCAAAAACAGCTGCCATCAAACTGTTGATGATGTACGCGCAACAGTATTACTGTAGTGGTAAACGTGCACCCAAAAACACAATGCTTAACTTAAAGGGATCTGATACGGTCCTTCCACCCAAATAAATCTATGCGTAATATAATCAGTACAAATTTGATTATTGATTTATAGTTCGTGTGAAAGAACAATTTGAAGTTGATTTACTAGAACAAGGATCTGGTGGTCGCACTTCCAGTCTTGAACGTAATCACCAAGAGACCGTCGCCGTTTGGAGGTGCTACTGTCATTTAGTAGACGAAATACATGGTGCTAGTCAAGCTTTGGGAAAGGACGGGAAGTTTCAACTGTTTATATGTCTGAGTGTCAGGTAAGTTACTGAAATGTCTTGCTGCTCTCATGGCCTTCCAACTTTAGGGAGCATCTACTGCACAGGATGCTGTTACCGATGGCCGTATGTAGGACTACTATGGACATGTACGAGGAAAATTCCTTCTTGCGTAATCGGGGTCTGTTGACTTTTTTGCGTCAAATTTTATTGCCGTTAGATGAATTAGATGTCGTGTTGGAAAATTCGGTCACGCACGGGATATCGTCTCCGTCGACGCACACATAAAAATTGTCTAGTCTAAAGTGAAAACTACCGTTATCACTTACAATATTTACAGCGGGATTAGGAGTGATATTTAGTTATGTAAGTTAATTTGCAATAATGTACAAATTTCCATGACAATGGTCGCTATAATTTTGATAATGAAATACTATTTCTTTTAACTCTATTTTGAGAAATCAGATTGTGATGGTCATTTCAATCGTTTGTTATTTTTGTAATAGTTTTAAAAATTGAATAGTTAAACATGTCTTCTGATTGTATTTATTGTGCATGTCAGATTTATTGTGATAGATTTAGAAAAGGTAGGTAGTAATGAGTTCTTTAAACGATCTTGCCAGTAAACTGAATGTTATTTATTTAACCGGCCGTTATAGGCCAACCCGGTGTGTTTTGTTATTACCTCCTTAATTTTGGGACATTTCAATAACTTGCCTTCAATCCTCAGAGTCATGTGATCCTTATTTTATATCTAATATATTTCTATTAACTTGTAATGAATTTGCCAAACCACTTTAAGGGGTTAGTCTTGTTGATCTGAAAATTTGAGTCTGATATTTATTGAACTACTAATTATTACTAAACATGTGTAAAATTGAAACCTACTCTTACAATAAAGTTTTAGTGTTTATTAGTGCTGTGGGAAAATAGTTGGCTCAGATGAAGTAAATATAAATAATAAAATATTAAACGATATTACAAGCTATTTGATGGTAGGTCTGATTGTGGTTGTAGCATTTAGGGAAAGGTTTTATTTTATTATAAAATTATAAACTAGTACAGCATAATATTAAGATTTGTACGTATTATGACAGTGCCATAATTTTATTTTTAATGTCTGAATAAATTATCTTGTTTCCTATTTATTTCTTATTTTTAAAGTATTCAACACGATTCTGGTAAAAATTTTGCATCATAAATGAACGCGATTTCGAACAAAAGGTTAATGGTATCAAACACATGAAGCTGCCTTGAGGTTAAATCCAGTCAACTTCAAAATCAAAGATTGACACTCAAAAAACAATGTAAGATGCTACATAAAAAACAAATACATTATAAAGAAATGCAAAGATTACTACCTGGATTAAATAATACATAAAAAACAAGACATATTTACGGAGCGATGCTTTCGTGATCGCCATTAAAAAACAACATGCCCAACGTAACCTGTGTTGATGCTCTCCAGATGGCGCAGAGAGTTTTCCCCTTCTAAAAATTTAGTGGATGGCAGTTTTCAAGTATGTGAGCAGCCTCGTAGGTTGTATATACAGGGAGGACCCTCCCTTAATATAATTTTTTGGAATTGTGGAGGAGGTTTTAAGGCTTTTCGAAATTAACTTCTGTGTCTCCCGTATATCTTCACTTCTTTTTCTGTAGGTACTTTTGCCGTGTTAATAAAAACGTTGACAGTGCTAGTTAACGTGGTTTAAACTACATCCTGCGTTTACTTTGAACACTAGTTTTTTGTTCACCGATTTTATAAAAGATTCCTGGCCGTTTTAAACGACAGCATATCTCCGTCCGCGCATCCCATCTGTCCATGTCTTCATTAGATACCTACGTTTTACTGAGTGGTGCTTTTAATTCTAAACATTTGCGGTAGGTGATATTTTACAGCAAAGGATATTTCCTGGGGTTGGTTCATTTTTCAAGTTGCATCTGATGTGGTGTTGTACACACGATTTTTATATGTTCTTCATAATATTTAATGCACAATTTAAATTTGTGGGCAATTAGTTACTTGACTTGGGCTGAATCGTTCAACGTTGATCCAAAGAAGCAATGGCCAGCTTTAACGAACACATGGTATAATAAAATAATACCATTACTTGTTAGAAAAAGAGGTACACAAAACGAAGATAAAAACATATTCAAATATGACTTGGCGCCAAGCTCAGGATAATTTTTTATAATTACATACTGCTCGAATACATCATTGCGATGCAATCGCGTTTTTATTACATAACACTTTTCTTATAAAGACATAATTCTTTGGAGAATATCCAAAGGCTATTTTACCTCCAAATTTGCAACTGATTAATGTATTAAAAGATGGCGCTTCGTTATTGTTGATGAAAATTATAATGGCTGACTAAAGTTTGGTATAATTTATAAATTGGTAAATTGCCGTAAAAAGTCGTTTTGTTTTGCATTAATTTGTTTAGAAAATTGTGTTAAACTAATATTGGTAGATAGTCTATATCTATTGGAAAACGTCGAACTCGTGATGTGTAAACCATAGTGTTTGTGTATGAAATACAACTGAATTTGTGTGGAGCCATATTTAGGAAAAATGTCCAGAAAACAACACGTTTAAATGAAGGACTCCGCGTATTAAGATGTAAGAACCTGAAACTTTCCGTAAAACGTATAAGGGAGGCTTTTCCTAAAGCGGCGACCCCTTTATTATCAACATGCCTTTGAGATAAATGTTGATGTTATGCTTATGAGTCTTTACCAGTCATAGGTCATTTTAAATTTGATTCAATTTCTGAACGTTTCCCGTTTATATTTATTATATCCAGCATCATATGACCTTTGTCTTTTGAATTTTCAATTGTTAGTAACCTTATTTTTGAGCAAACCGAATTATTATCACCTGTTAATTTACAGATGGGATGGCCAAACGGCTTAATACAATCCGTATTGTAAACCAACAATGGATCCAGTTGGTCCATGGTCAGCATACGCCTCGTACAATCGATTGACGGGAGTGCAAGCTGCCGGCGGGGCCGAATTACACCATCTCACCCCCGGTACGCCCGCCGGTGCACCCCCGACAACCACAGCAACTTCGTTGATATCGGGCGGATTCTTATCGCCCCCTCCTGTGGGTTATGAAACTGTTTTTAGTCCCCTATTTCATCATGCCGGCACAAAACCGACCGCACACTACGTTACTCAAGTTACGCAACACAGACAAGCTTTGGCCCAAGCACAAGCGGCGTCGAAACATGCGACCGAAGGGGAATATCACCAAGGACAAGTAAGTAAATGGTGACATTATTGTTTATTAAAAGCGAGATTAAAAATGGCTATCGTTTTTAAACAAATCATTTATATTGAATAATCAATAAACCTTTCTAGCTTCCGAAACCACCAATTATGCAACAAAAGAAACTCAAGGTTAGACTAACCGAAATACACTGTGATTACCTTGAGGTCTCCAAAAGTCTATTTGCCATTATGTTTTAGGCAATGTGCTTACATAGCAGTTGCTTTGTTGTTGTCATTTTGTCGGTTCACCCGTGTGTCCAACTATGTCACTATTAGATTTTATTTTAAACACTTTCATCACAGTTTTGTTCCAATGATCTTGAGATGTACACCAAGAAAGGATTTTTCTACCTGGCTAAGAGTACTATTGCAACAACACAGTTATCCAGATAGCACCAAATGTCTTTAAAGTCATCTGGATTTTCAATACGTTTTGTCTCTAAAATATGGCCCATAAAAAAAGTACTTATATCTGTATTAACTATTTTTTGTTACAAATTCAATAATAACGAAGTTATAATCTGTTGGTTTCAACAGCAGGGTGCACCTGCGCACAAGACCCTAATCGTGCGTGAATACCTATCGGTCAAATTTCTATGTCTACTTTTACATGATAAAAAGTCTTCTAAAGGACGCCTAACTTTATGCAACCAAAGTAACTACCGAGGTAACTACCTACAACAGCTGAGGATCTGCCTGTCATATTAATTAATTTGAATATTATTGCTTTCACTTCCCTATTCTAATTTCGGTTCGTGAGCGATGTATTCAACTAAAGAAAAAGTTGATATTTCCAATTGGTGTAGTGCTGATAGCAGTTAAAGGAGCTTAAGAGATTTATTTTCTGTGAAGCTAAAGCAACAATATTCAAATTAATAATTAATATGACAGCCAGATATTTATTTGTTTCAAGAAGTTATTTTGGTTGCATAAAATTAGGCGTCTTTCAGAAGACTTTTTATCATGTAAAAGTAGACATAGGAAATTCTTACCTATAGGAAATCACAAAATGATTGTACCTAGACCAGTCTACCTCAAAGCAGAATGTTTTTAATGTTTATGCAACAGTGTTCTCAAACTTTCTGCAAGCACCAAGGTAAGCACTATCAGACGTGTATCATGTAGTAGCCTATAAATGCTACTGATGATAGGTCTTAATTAATTTTTTCTACTTTCAATAACAAAACGAGATATTTACACCCTGTATATCTTAACGTCAATTGTTTTTAATTTTTTTTCCTGATTACATTGACGTATCACAACCTATGTATTTTTCGAGGTATGTATTTTTATTAATTTTAGCAATGAAAACGTTGTTTTTGTACTGTTTTTACATAGTAGGTCATGGATTCATGGAGTTCTTGTTTTGGTTATTGTATCCATGGTAATTAAGGCAGTTGACACCAATTAATAAAAATGGCTCACAGTAGAAACCTGCCATTTTAAAGTTTTGAAAAATAGGATAATACTTATACAGTGTGTAAAGCGATGGGGTATACAAGAGGGACTTTTTTTTAAATATTGATTTATGAAAAAAATTTATTCTTCATGATATTTTTGCTTGCTTTGAAAGTACCAATAACGTTTCGATAGTCTAAAATTTATTTATAGAAATCTGGAAAAATAATAAAATTAATTTTTTTTTATTGAAAGTTATCATTCTACATTATAATCAAGATAGCGTACTGCTATCAAACCACAAACAATCGAAACGTTATTGGTACTTTCAAAGCAAGCAAAAAATATTATGAAGAATAATTTTTTTTCATAAATCAATATTTAAAAAAAAATTCTCTCTTGTATTACCCCATCGCTTTACACACTTTGTTTTGACTATGCCACTGGATTCTACATTACAATACATCTAAAATAGGCAGACTTTACCTTTTTTCTATCTTACATGGGTAGCAAAATATGATACCATCCCAAAAAGTCAATTGTTTTTGCTATTTCCGGTTTAATAATAATAATAATAATTTGTATTCGTCCCTTGAACTAAAGTGTTGTGGGATATGTCATTACAACAGTAAAAACAAATAAATAACATCAGAATTTAGTCGGAAATGGGCTGAATTTTTGATTTTTAAATGGAACACCCTGATTTTCATTTCATTTTTTTCACACTAAATGACATTCCGAGTACGATGACATTCGCCTACTTGCCAATTGTGGTCAGATGGTCAATTTTTGTATGTACAGTGCTTTAAACAAATGTTTAAAGTGATCGATATGTGGTTGAAAAATACATTTTGTATCTGTTTTCTATTGGTTAATTTTTTTAAATGGAACCACTATGGCTTATTTCGTTCTTATGAAGGAGGGTTATTTTACGAATATTTTTATGCCACAGCTATAGCTATTCCATTTAAAAAAATTGATTAAAAGTAAAAATTATGATTTTTTAAAATTTGAATGCGTCTATGATGGTCACATATCGAGTAAATAGTTCAAACGTTGAATTAAAAAAATTAAAAACGCAGGGTGTCCCCTTGGAAAATTTTAATTAGAATGTTCTTACATATTATTAAAATAAAAATATGTATAATTTACCACGCAACCGCAGGATGATCAAAGAGTAAAAGACCCCACTTACACCGAAATAACGCGTACATTGTAAAACACCTGAATTTCTTTTCCGCGATAAAACCCGTGCATTAATTAAATTAAATAATTAAAACACGTATCGCAAACGGCCTTACTTCTACACGTTATTTAAATTGAAAAAATTACAAAAGCGAAAAAAATTACGCATCTCCACAAATTTCTTCTTTTTCCCAAAAAAAAATTGGTATATAAATAACGATTTTGACCGATTTCGTGCAACAATATGTTAAATGCCAAATTTAGTATTTAATAGCTGCACAGCTGCAACCCTTAAGTTTTCATATAGTGACAACCCGAAGTCGATACTAGGTCTAGGGACTGAGATATAGACATAAGCACTCCACTTTCGTGGGTTGCGCTAAAAACTGTTACCTGACCGGCACTTTTACATATAAATATACTCAAGTTTGATGTAAAAATAAAAAATTTCTTTTCCCCAGCTTTAATTAGTTTTTATTTATCGTAGAATCTCATGCAAACATGTTCAATTTATTTTACATAATTTTGTCAATAGATAAAAGAATAAATAAATAAGTCGATTTAGAGAATTATTAATGAATTTTTTGCTGCGGTTTATCCGAGGGTTTACCCTTTGGACACACACGTTTGTGAATTGGAAAAAATCCTTCATGTTCTATTCGTTTGTAAAAACATAGTGCTAGAGCGTGCATTCCGTTTGTCCTTGTACTGCTTACTCAGGATTAAGAGACAAAGCTGGTATAAGTTCCACACATCTTATTCTACCCTTACTTACAGATAGCCATGTTACAAAACATTCACAAATAGCCATTACTACAAACCGTCACCAAAGCCACATAAATTTGAAATATATTAATTTTTTAATAAAAACTGCTTTATTTATTTAGCGCTAACGCCTTATATTTTTCAGGCGTTTTTTGAACCCGGAACACCTGCCTGGCAGCAAAACAGTCCATTTGGTATTTTACCTCACGAAAGTGTAGTACCAAGTACAACTGCAGGTAAAGCTATAACAGCGTATGAGAACTTTAACGCACACTTTGCAGCTGCCCAAAGTCTGAATCACTTAAATACCCAACTGACGGCAGCTAAAAATGTAACGACGAGAGCGCAAAGTCCGCAAATAACAAATGCATCTGTTAAGGTCACATCACAAACGAATGCTGCAAATTTCTTCCAAGTTCCTGTTACTTTCGCCAGTGCAGAGGCCGCAAACAAATTTGCGACTACAAATGCTTCCAATTTGCAGCAGTCGTGCATTGTTTCTTCTTCATCTATATCTTCAACCTCAAAAGATTACCGAGTACCTCCGGCAACGAACCGTACAGCCTTTCTACCTTCACCCACACCTTCTAGACCGGGGGATAAGTCGTTTGTGCCGCCTACTAAACAAACTCAAATACAAACTAAAGCGCAAACCAAGATTTATCCCGAGCTGAGTAACCACGCAGACCGGCAACGAAATGCTCCGTCTGACGAAACTCAGAACCAACCTTCTCCTGTCAGTTTTTCGATTATGGACGCTTCCAGTCGTTTGAGTTACGCCAGCAACATCTCGTCTGTGAAAAGACCCCAATTTCAGCATTCCACTAATTATCGCCACTACCAACCCGGTAACAACACGGAGCCGGATTTTCAACGATCAAAAGCGGGTACCGACTACAGTAATTCAAATGGACCAGATTGCAATGTGGTGGTACCTAGAAGACCTAGTCCGTTACAGGCCCATTCGCAAGCTTCCCCGTTGGGTCACGCGCCTAGTCCTGCATATCCTATGTATAACAGTCCAATGAATTCAATGTCTTCTCCGCAGCAAAGTTCAAATCATGTAACGCCTCCTTCCCCATTAGATGTAACAGTTTCGCGGCCTAATTCTCAGAGTGGTAATGTGGCCTATCCGTCAGTAATCACACGTGCTCTTAATACAGAAAAAAATTTCCCAGATCGCTACGATCGATCAGGGCCTAATGCGCAAACGCAAAGCTGTTGGGAGGACAGGCAGGTTCAGCAAAGAAAGTTTCAACCTTTAAATAGCTACAACGTGACTCCGACTATTGAATCAGCTCGCCAAATGGATCTGTCGCGGGGGGATCAAACTCAGCAAAGAGCCTCGCTAACAATTTCAGATAGGCAGCCATACTTCGATTCAACGCACCAGGTTCCGTTACAAGATCTGTCAAGCTGTAGAGGTGATCCTATGAGTTTAGTCAAAAACCTGCAACATCAGCAAAGCTGTCAGATACAGCAACAAATTTCTGACATCAAGCAAGAGACAAAGGCCCCAAATAAACGGAGAAAAAGTAGCGATAAAATGGCACCTTCTACAAATAATACCTCCCCTGCTGCCATGACGGAATACTTTGCAGGGCGGATTCCCCCTCCAGCTCATAGTTCGGCCAACCCTCAACAACAAAATGGCACCTACTTTGATTTTGATCGCTGGAATCTACCTCCATCTACAACCAAAATGTTTGCATCACAAGCAATGCATCAACAGCATCAGGGTTTAATGGTTCCTCATCCGCACCCTCACCATCCACCACCACCTTTGCCTTATTTCGCACCATTCCATTTAGCGCCACATCCTGGTGAATATCCCACATCAGTAGATACCACCATGATGGCCACTTATAACGAGCAACCTCCTCAACATGCATCCTCGCAATTTTTGCAACAGGAAGAACCTAAAGTGGTTGTACCGAATATTGAGGAGGAGTTAAACTTTCTCTCGGAAGGTACCGGCGGCGTCGTTTCCTCAGGTCAAACTCAACCGACAGCACGCCCGCCGACCGTTAAATCTGATAAACCCACCGGACCTGGAGCCGGTTTTATGAACAGCTACCTAAAATTCTTACAGGGCGAACGAGATAGCTCGCCTCCGCCAATGGTCAAAGGTGCTCGCAAGCAATCGTGGTCGCGCGCCAAACCCGCCCAGCCAGAAGAAAGAAAAGATGAAGTTAACGGAATAGTGAGTCAACCACCTCCCCCACCACCTACAACGACGCGTCTCTCACAGGGCGACCCTCAAGACGATCCCAGATATTTTCCGCTTCCGAAGGAGCGCAAAAGAAACTGCTTCGACAGTTCCGATGACGGTTTTAGCTCTGACGAGGACTTGTTCAACAAAAAGGTGGCACTTATTGTCAAAAACGAATTGACTAAAGAAAAACCTATGCGGAAAGGACGACCGTCGAAACCAAGGCGGTCGACCGATCGCAAACGGGCGAGGCAGAAACTGAGAGACGAGGATCACGAAATAAAAGCCGATATCGGACCGGTCGACAATTTGCCAAGGCGAGAATCGACAAAGAGGGCGGCGAAAGAAAAAAGCAACTTTCAGCAGTTAATGGCGAAGCAAGGTGACGAAGATCTGGAAGAACCGGCAGAATTTATGGATTCCGATTCTGATCCGGCTTGGACGCCACAAGCACGCGACGATATGGAGGAAGAGCTGATGCATAAACGACCACGAAAATCAAAACAAGGTATGTAAGATGTATTTACTATTTAGAATTGTTATTTTGAAATTTTGTATAGTATATTTAGAGACTACTGCATAAATCAAACACGTAGAGGTCCAAAATGTTTGCAATCCAAGTGTGAGCTTTTCAGAAGCACTAAGTTATTAAAGGCAAAAAGATCCCACTAAACAACGGCTTTACCCTTTATAAAATTGGGCCATGCCATGGAGGGATCGACGATTTTTCCAGCCGACACATCGTATTCGATTGTTTACTTCCATAAATTAAAACTTATTTCATTAGTTCACAACTTAATCGGATGCTGTTCACTGCAGCTCATTTAATTACCTACTGTTAATTATACACACTTAAATGGGCAAGATGAAATTTCCAATTGTCTCTTGAAATTTCTCAGGGCAGGAAAAAGGCCTCTTATCAAACTGATACAGGCGTCAACCTGCTAATAATTACTTAGTGGAACTGAAATTCTAAAATATTAATTCACTCTCGTCTTCTACATTTCAAAAGCTTTCGAACGCTACAAAAATAATTTAATTATTCCCATAGGAACAGCTACAAATGGAACAATTAAATACAGCCTTTTGGTTTCCTTATCGCGCGGCTCTACAAATTAAACCACTACTTTTTACCTTTTGTTTCTAACCCCTAAAACAAATAAATATTTTCAGAGCGACAGCGCTGTCAGGTTTAATCGCATCCAGATACAGCAAAGCTGGTAGACTCCACAAATATACGGTGTGGTCATTACTTCCCATGAAACTAAGTGCTTCGTTTTTATTGGTCTTGACAGTCCGTATTTGAAATTGTATCTTGTGTTTGCATATGTTTATAAATGAAACATATAAATTGTAAAGTGTACGGTAAATTATAGCACCCTGTAGAAACGAAGCCCCTCAGGATTTTTGTGCCTTCCCTGATGAGTTTCTAAAGTAATAGATCATTAACAACTATTTTGCGGTTCTCATGTGCTAAGGGCCAACTAGTCCTTATCGAAGACATTGGCTGCGCCTAGCGGCAGTCGTTACATTGCGTACCTGTGTGATTTTTAGTGGATTTTTTAAGAATTAAAAAAAATGTGCTATTGTTTGCGATTTGTCCGTCCGGACCCACTTCTGCCGTTTGATACTGTTTTTGAAAGTAAAACGTGCATAATTAAAATAAAATATAAATATTTATTTATTTATTTATTTATTTATTTTGCCTTTATTTTTGAGTGGGCGGGGTTTCAGCCAAGGCTGCTCTACCAACCCAACCCACTATACATTTACAAATATCCATGCCCGAACCCGGATTCGAACCAGGGACCCTAGCACCACAGTCCAGCTTCAACTGAACGACAACATAAATTTTTACATACGACAACCAATTGGTCTCAGATTTTGCATACACATGGTGCCAAGTTACTTTTGAACTTTAGAAAATGGGGGGGGGGTTAAACACATGTTCTACCTTTCATGGTATTCTAATGAAAGGTCTCATCGAAATAAATTGGTTTGTACAAACTATAACTTTCCCGTGCGACTCTTTCTCGAGATCAGTTGCGCTTCTTTTTGTCGTCTTATCAAAGTACGGGGGGGGGGTGGAACTAGTTTTATCCTTCATGATAAGGCACAGGGAAAATGTCTCGGCCAAGCGACTTGAAGGGTTTGAAAGCAATTAAGGCCTGGGGAGTAGATTTTAGTAGCCTCACTGTTCACTCTAAAGTGGCGTTTTGTAATTGTTTACCTCTGTTGGGTCAGCTTATGCAATTATTTGGTGGGAGCCAATAATCTGAATGGTCCTTTTTTATAAAACCTTTTGTAGGCGCGTGGCTGCTGGGGTTGTATAAATGATTTCACTCCCTACCCTGCCCCCCAGGTTTGTTTCGCTTCTGCTTCTTAGCCTTGTTAAATAGCCTTGTAGTGGTTAGTTAAACTAAGATTTTACAGGAACCGCCAGTTAAGCAGGCGAGAGGCGGCCATGCGCAGTTTGAGCAATTTAGAGTCTGCACAAGGGAAGAGTGGCGCAGTGGTGCAAAAACAGAATGTGAATAGTGGGGATGCGCCCTCTCTCGCCTTCTTAGCTGCCGCACACAAACAATATTGTAAAAAATTCAATCCTGTTTCAGCTTCCAGAAAGCGGGCCTCACGAAATCTCATTAGCGCGGCAGCGCAGGGGGCCGGAATTCAGGTGGCGGATAGTTACAACGAAATGATCGGCCAAATGAAACAGCAAAAGCCGGCAGGTAATAATTCAGCAAATGACAAGTCGGAGACATTGGGAGCTGGTTCCGAAGTTTTAGGTGCTAACCAACCACTTCTACCGCCGCAGAAACAAAGTGTGGCTCCCACGCTTGAAGATAACATTGCTGCGGCTGTGGCGCAACAGAATAGCGTTAGCAGTAATGTCGGCGATGACAATCCTTTTAAGGTAATATGTTAAGTATGCTACTGATTGAACACCATTTGTGCCTTTTGATGTAATGTTTTATTAGTAATCTTTGTTTGAACACAGTAGAAATGCTTATTTAGTGTAGTTGCTAGTGCTGTAGCAGAACTGTCAATGTTAAGCGTAAGTTACATCCATTATATTAGTTACTTTAATAAATGTCTTCGGTGGGGTCAAAACTTCAAATGCAATTATCTCAAAAACGGATTGCCGGAAGGGGTTACACAAAGGGAGAATGATAACTAAAGTGTTCAGGTTATCTCATAGATTAACCATAGTAGTTATGAGCACAGCATCCAGAGGTGCATGGATGCGAGAAAGGTATGTTTTTGGTGACAAAGGTACCTACAACTTTTACAGCAACAAATGCATTTATTTGTTTTCTAATCAATTATCACATTATATGTGATACGCAGGAAAATTTTAATATTCCCACAAAGTTGTAGAAGTCTGCTTGTCGTGGAAAGAAAGTACTAACAAGTCCTAACATATATCTAGCGTGTTTTTTTTAGAGGTTTGTTTTTCGAATTGGTAATACTGTTTCTAGTGACAGTCCATTTGACAGCTGACCGCTGATTTGTGCTCAGTAAGGTTTGACACTTCACCATAAATACTCACCTGCGCCAGAACCACTTACAAGCCAACAATCGCGGCGATATTGTCGATATACGGCCCCAGCTGCTTGAAAAACTGGTCAAGAATCAGACCAGATTACGCTTCATTCGAGCTAACAGCAGCGCCCATGTGTTATAAATCCTATTTAAACACTAATGGCATAAAATTATCTTTCCAATAAATCCAATACCACTATTTTTATGCGTTTTATTTCATTAGAAAGTTCTATACATTAAAAAATCACCCTTTACAATAAGGATCGTCGTCAGTTGTCCGCCGCAAATGTCTGAATTGGCGGTTTGTCCCGTCCGTTAATAACGTTGAGCAGCCCTGTATATTTTGTTGTCCGTGTGAAGTAATGGTTTTTAAAATTTGAACTTAATATTTTCAGGCAACCTATCAGAAATCTCCCCTTTATATCGAGAAATAAAATTTCCCATCCATTCCTTTCCAGGAATATTCCGTTCTTGCACGTTATATCAGTGATTCCTCTATTTTTCATATACAGTGCCCCCCCACGATTGTTTGGTCGACTCTTGTAAGACAAACATTTTTCCAAGGAAACTAATTTGTGTGTTCAAAAAATCAAGGGTGCCATTGAAATTTTCATAATAAATTTTTTGCAGTAAGGTGCACTTTGGGGATGAGATACGCACAAATGTTATTAAGAAAAGTGGTTCAGAATGAAAAACTGAGTAAATGTGAATGGGCATACATTGATTTTTGTAGGTTTTAATTTTTTTAGTAAATCAAAAAACTGTTCAAAATAGAATGTAATGACTGTGTAGCAAATTTGAAGCTGATAGGAACACTTCAGTATTTTATTTAATGTAGGTAAATTAAGGATTGAAGTGTTCCTATTGGTTTTAAATTTGCTACACGGTCATTACATTCTATTTTGAACAGTTTTTTTAAATAACATTTTTCGGATTTCCTTAAAAAATCCAGTTGGAATAAGATCATAAAAAAATCAAAGTAGGCCTAGGACTTTGAAATCCGTAACTCTGCGGACTACAAATTTCAAAACACGCTTCATATAATAAAAAATAATGAGGGGGAGGGGTAATGAACTTGTTGGTGTGTGTGATGCAGCGGTCTTGTCTCTCTTTTACCTTTTTATTTTTTTTCGTTTTCCTTATTACGTTTTTTCACTTTTAATTTTTCTGTTTCTCTGCTTCTGTTTTCTTACTTTTGTTTTTGACTTTTACTTTCTGTTTTCGTTTTGTGATTCCATTTTTCTGTTTCTGGTTTCAGGTTGTTTTAAATTGTGTTTTCGCCATTGAAAACAACAGATGCAATAAATATCATCTTAAAAACCGCATTCTAGAATAATACAGGGATGTTCTCTTTTTTCTTTCTGTTTGTTTATGATTTTCTGCTCCCGTTGCTCTGTTTCTATTTCTTTGTAGTCATTTTTTACTTGCTTTTTTTGTTTCTGGTTTGTGATTCAATTTTTCCGATGTGTCGTTTCCGATTATCTTATTTTTGTTTTTGGCCTGAAAAAATCTAAATAAGGTGACTATAATGAACTTCATCTTGAAACTTAATAATACAGGAACGAACTTGATCTGCGGCTGTGTGCACTGGTGGTTTCATTTATCTGCGTCAGTTTTTCTTATTTTGGTTTTCTGCTTTTTTGTTTTGTCCTTTTTTCCTGATTCCGCTTTTGTGTTTTTTTTTCTATGTAACTTGCTTCGGTTTCCATTTGTACATTTTTAGTTTTAATATGAATTTGTGGAAGAAATTTCCAAGTTTTTCCAGAAGATTTTCTTGTTTTGTTTTCTTATTTCGATATGTCGTTTTTTGTTTTGGATTTTATCTTCATTTTTTGTTCTGATTTCTTGCCCTTGTAATTTTATTTGCCGAGTTGCAGTTTCTGTCACATTTTCGATTATCAGTTTCTCTATTCGTTTCTGTGTCAATTTCCGTTTATATTTATGCTACTTTTCTCCTTTATGTTTGCTTCCACTTTTCAAAAATATTTCTAGTAAAAACAAGATAATTTGAAAAGAAGTTTCTTCTGCTTTCCTGCATTTCAGATTTTCTGTTTTGATTCTTTTTGTTGACTCTTTTCTTGTTCTGTTTTCGTTTCACTGGTTGAGTTCCATTTTGATTCCATTGTTCTGGAAATAATTTATCTATTCTGTTGTTTTTGTTTTATGTTTGTTTTTCTGTTTTTTTTTTGTTTTCATTTCGAAGGGAGCTTCTAAAATCTGTTCTGGTCAAAAATTAATAAGACCATCGAGTATTAAAAAACTGTATGGAGTAAGTAGCTGTGGCTAACTACAATTTAAATTGTGGCATGATATAATAATAATAATAACACTTATAAACGTGCATGAATACATTTCATCATTTCTATCCTTCCACTTAACCTAAGAACTGATTTGTCAATGTAGCATATACTTCTTCCACTTCCACAATAGCCTGACAATTTTATTGCACCAATTTCTACTTTTTATTTTATGTAGCCGCCACGTAGTTCCTTTGTTTTCTACAGTAGATACCTGTGCTCCATATAATTTTCTGTATTATAAATCGATTCCGTTTTTCCAGCCGGGCGAATTTTTGGTAATAAAAAATGAACTTAACGAAGAGTGGCCCGCCATTTGGAGAGTAGACGGCAAAACACTTTTACAAAAATACGAACCGTTTGAACAGGGTGGTCAAACATTGTATAGGAATATATCTACAGTAAACTGGAAATTTGGTTTCTTTTCATGCTATTTTACAATTTCTGTTTATAGTATACGTCGTGGACAGCCGATAGTAAGAAGCAATACATACCGATTCCTGTAAAATATAGATCACAAGGGCAACTAGAAACTATCGTCGAATTTTTACGAAACGAATTAGTAGTAATTGATCAAGAATTTCTAGAAAAAGCGATGACCGAAAGCGAAGTCTACCAGGATAATTTCGAGGTATACATTCAAACGTTAATTTCGCAAGCGCTCGATAGCAATTTCTTAATGGAAATTTTCCAAGAGCAAGGTACTTTGATTGTCACTACTACCGAGTGAGTAATCGTATCTCCTTTCAGATGAATATTTTCTTACAAATGTACAGACCATAGATGATATCACCAATAACAAAAAGCAGAAGATGATAACATTACTGAAATGGCCTAATCCCGTCCAAGTAGCTGTCAGTACATGGCCTTGCTTTAATGTTATAAGGGAGCTAAATGCGCTAGACTCGCAACTGAGGCCTTGTGGGGCATGCTTAAAGCCTGGCGTTTCCGTTCGGGTTCTAATGTATGGGCAACCTTATAATGCTACAACCTTAGAAGGATGTCAACCTACTTCTCAAATACTTGAAAAGGTATCAATTGGAATTTATAAAAAGAATTAATATGCATTGTTATTTGTAGGATTTTCTTATGTGTCGAATATGTGCCAGTCGTGTAGAATTATTTAATAAAATAACGCATCAAAAGTATTTGATGTACGTCGAATGTGCCAAGAGAGTCGCCGAAAAAAGAGCAACTGATCCTCACAAGGATACCACTTGCATTCTTAACGAACTTCTCGCTGACGAATTTTGGCTTACACAAGTAAGTACCCACCTATCCGTTGTCGGCGCCTCATCTTATTCAATTCTAGCTATTTTGTGATGTTCGCAAATCATGGGCGGAGGTGGACTGTTTGGAAAATAGCTATAGGTTAAAAAATGATGTACAGTGAAATCGGTAACAAGTTATGTTGTGTTGTGATTCAGAACATTTACATGAAAATTAGTCTTGTATATTATGGTATCAAGAGTTTATATAAATCGTATTATAATGTAATTTTAGAAAAGAAAAGAATACATATAGTACATCTTTTTTATTAAATGTTATTTTTATTGCCATCATGTGCTGCGCATGGGAAAAGTGCCCAGTATGAAAGTGATATTGTCTATTGATTAGTTTACATATATATTTCGTAATTTTTGTTCTGTACAGGATAATTTTTAAATTACATTACTCTAATAAAAACATTTTATCATTGACCATTTTTCTTTTACTAAAAACTGACTGACCCTATGCGCGCTTTAATATTGCATATTTTAAAGTTAAATTATTACTGCAGTGCCACCTTTTGTAATTGGCTCTGTTTCAAAAACCAATCCAGGCAACAATGCTCCTAAAATTTCAACATTCGATATCTACAATATGAATCATACATTTTTTTTAAATTTCCACAATCAACCGAGACGAATGTGTGTTTAGATGTGTTACCAATGGCATTAAAGGTGACAAACTTATATGGACAAAAGCCTTAAACCCTTTCCAACAATGTTGTTTGAGCTAAGAACAATACACCCCTACAACCTTAACCACCAATACTTAGGGCATATGGAAATTTCAATGCAATGTGAAGGAGGACCGGTAACGGTAACCAACCAATAGAAAGCCAGGACATCTCGGTGACCATCTAGCATGCCCATTGATAACTAAACAATAAAAACAAAACTACCCCTAAAAACGTTGAACTTGCCGTTTGCGCAGATCTCAAGATCAAAGTGGCCCCATGTCAGTGTTACTTAATATTTATCGGTTCCGGTTCCAACCTCTGAGTCATACTACTGATTAGGTGCGTATATTTCCTTAATGACGCGCTAATAAGCTGGTGTCCAAGACTACGCATTGTAACGCTCTCATCTACAAAAGCTGAATTTAGTGCAGACGAAGATAAAAAGGAAGTTTTGTATTTGAAAGTTTTAATAGAAGACCTGATAAGTGGTAATTTAAATTGATTATACCAGCACGATCGCGTTATCATAAAATCATCGCAGTAAATACATGTGTGATATTATTTGTGAAAAAGTGTTGAAATAAATTAAATTGATATCTGTGCAAACTGTGCTAAAAAGTATCATAGTTATGATGGAGTAATTAAATATTTCGTTCATAAAAAAAGTAAATAAACTTATCAAACGTTCGAAGTTTTTATTGAAGCGGAAGACATTCGCAGCAGAACGTATTTACATTTACCTTATATGTAAGGTAAGATATGCATTCAAATTACAAATATATGACGGCCTTTTTATGAAATTAAACCTATGGCGTTACAATATCAATATAATTAATGCGGCGAAAAGTGTAACTCCGCCTCTGACCAAATGCCGTGAGTCCTGTCCTGGCCAGTTTTAAAAAATTGGAAATGGCGGGTAGCCCGATTCGGCAACATCGCCATGGAAGCAATATGGCAAATAGTTCACTTCCGTGTGATTCTTGAACCTCAATAAGTTTTAATTCCTGCATTTCAGATGGAATTTTCTTTAAAAAAGTTATAGCGATCAGTTTGCGTTAGAGTTGTAGAGACGTTTATTTCTAAGTTAACAAAGAATATAATCCTACATTTGCATTTAGTGATACAAATACCCAAAATGCCTTCAGCGGCGAACGTCAAGATTGAGAAGCAAATTAATTCCGATACTACTTTGCCGGATTGCACCGGTACATCCGTGACTCCCTTAAGACAGGCAATTACGATTATAGAACATAAAATTAGAAATTTGGAAAAACGTAAGGTAAGCGACCTTAATTTCATCAATAACAAAAAAAAACGTTACGTGTCCGCCATAGTTAATCATTATTTCTGAAACAATTTTTCCAGTCCAAATTGGAATCCTACCGTCAACTTCAAGATTCAGGAAAAGACTTAAACCAAGACCAAAAGACTGCTATAGCTAAGTACGAAGAGGTGGTACAGACGCTCGAATTCGCTCGCGATCTTTGTAAACAGTTTGTCGGCATTGCGGCTGTTTCCGAAAAGGAGGCGAAGAAACAGGCTCGTAAAGAAGTCGCCGCAAAAAGTCATTCGGAATTGGCAAAGGTGGACTCATGTTGTATTCTGCGTGTAGTTTCTAATTTTTGTACGTTCAAGATACGTGAAGTGTTACTCGTACAAGATGCGCTTAACCAAATGGGACAAGATAGTATACGGGACGACTTTTTACTCGGACAAAATGGCGCTGCTAATCTTACCAATGCTGATCTCAAGTAAGTGTTCTATTGGTAAAACATGTGCTGTGCTCCATGCACTTGTTTTATTCCATTGTCCAATCATGTGGAATAATAAAACATAAAAAGTACCCAAGCACAGTAGCAATTAAAAAGCGCTGTTAGTGTGGAAAGTACAAACAAACCTTCATCTGTTAGACTTTTAACAGGGGAATTGTACGTGACCATTAAGGTTAAGATTGTATTTACTAAGCAGGGTATCTTTATTTTGTAACGCCCGGTTGAATTTGTTTCAAATCGTTAACTTTACATGGTAATTATGGCAGGTGATGCATAGTTTGTTTATAGGCATTTCTTTTTATTAAGTTTAGGTAATACTAAATGCTGGGTTATATCGATCTATAAATTGAAATTACTGTGTCATTTAAATTATTGGACTATGAAGTAAATCTCTTGAGACAAAAAATAACAGATCCCCATTAGAGCAAAAAAAACCTGCCACTCTTCTCTCTTTAGCTCGTGAAGAAGATAAAATATTAAAAAATCGCCAAGTAACCACAAATTGTAATAAAACGTACGCGGTTAATATACGATTTTAAATCATTGATCATTTAGAGTAATGACATTTAATTATGAAACATCAAAAAAATTGTTCGATACATTGGTTTCTCTGAAGAATATATTATGTACTTAAAATTACCCCAATGGTGTATGGGGGTTGGAACGGGGACAGCACAAGGTTCCGGTACTTTTTTTTACAGCTGGAATTCCTATGCATGCAAGGACGGCTTCAAGACATTTAATTCACTTGCTTATGTAAAAATCCGGCTCATATTACATCGATCAGCAAACGATACACAGACCAAAAATGTTGCAAGACAAAGAAAAACCATCTATCATTGGAAATTTTTAACTATAAAATCTCTAATAAATAATGATTGAAATCGAATTACTTAAGTAATTTTCATATAGAATTCTAACACAAAAACTGTATAAATATATGTCATGCCCTTAATTTAGGTATACAGGGTAAGTAAAAAGTCCAGTCGATTATCTCTGTATATTTATGAAGTAATTATGCTTGTATAACAATATTAATTCATTAACGCAATATCTTCTTTTTTCAACTGCTAGTTTAGCCGGAAATAACCTTAACCGAGATCTTAACTTTTTGGTTTTAAATGCAACACCCTGTATATTCTATTGTTATTAAAATGTAAAAAAATTAAAAGAAAAACTTGTAGCAAATCGCATTACCTTTGAAAACCGGAAGTCGAAAAGGAGACGTTACAAGTATTAATATACAAGGTGAACATTTTATCTGGAACACTGAAAACACTTCAAAACAAGATTTTTTTAAAGAAACTTTTTTGTGGAATCAAAATTTATAAAAAGTTTGCTAGGAATTTACATACTTAAAATTTGTGGTCAGTGGCGTACTTCTGCATGGGGGGGGGGGGGAGCATTTTTTAACGCCAACTACTACTTATCTTGCGTATTCTTAAAGCGTACACTTTTTTGGATACAGCAACATAAAAAACTTTCTATTTCATAATTAAATTTAAACGAAAAACTCAAATTCTTTTGTTAGTTATGTCAGGCGAATTTATTGGCCCGTATGAATAAAAGTAAGCAAATGCTTATACTTGCAAAATTCAAAGTAAATACTCGTAATTGCTCCTTCGCACTGGGCGACTTAGCAGCGCTTCTAAGCAGAAGGACAGGACGCAGTGCAGCGCTGCTAAACCATGCTAAAAAGACCAGTATGTAGGGGCAGTTACGAGTATTTACTTTGAATTTTGCAAGTATAAGCATTTGCTTACTTTTATTCATACGGGCCATTGTCTCAAAAATCATTAAAATCATTTATACATAAATCTATATGCTTAACAGTTATTGACAGCGGCGTGCGTCTACAGAACTAAAAGGGTCATTTTTTAAATGGAAAGTTTTTGTGAGGTATTATTAAAGAATGAACCTTTTTCAATATGACAACATAAAAATTATGATCAAATTAGTAAAATTATAAAATTAATGAACACTATTGTGAAATTTGGTATTCAGTGGTTTGAGGGCTCGAGTCATTCGTTTCTGGGTTCCTATATCCATTCTTAATTTTGACCCTCTGATCCACTAGGTTATAGCGAGAGCTTTCCAGGCCCACTCGTGACCCCTAACTACGACGCTCCGTTCTCAAGACATCGTAGTTTATGTGTTTGCGCTGGGCTGGGTATTTGGGCCTCTACCTCTGTTCCGAAAATCCGACTGTGTCTGCGGTTGGTTTAGGTGGAGATGCGTTATTAGGTTAGGTCAAGATGCGCGGTTAAATTAGATTGCGGTTATGTTAGGTTAGGTTGATACCGCGGTTAGGTTGGGTCGAAATGCAGTTAGGTTAGGTCGAGATGTACGTTCAGGCTTTTCAGAACGCTTTATGTTGAGGAATTCTCATTATGTCATTTAGTACTTGTAATTAGTAAATTAAATAAAATTTGTACTTTCTCTTTTGCACATCTTTGGTTGGAAACACGTGTAACTTTAATTAAAGTTTTATAGTGGTTTTTGGGTAATTTTTCTTTCAGTTTTTATATTTTATCTTTTTTAAGAGCTAAGGGAGAGATGTCGCTATGACCATCACTTAAGGATGTGCCAAACCATTAATTTTACTGTTTCAGCTGAACCAATTTGGCCGAAATTCTTTAGATAAGTGAGGCCTGCCTTTCCAAAACGTTGTAAGTGCCATTTTTATAATTTTTCAGGAGACTCAAAAAAGTGAAAATGTAAAATAATTTTTGACTACTGGAGGGTAGCATGTTGGAAGGAAAGACTCGTAATACAATCAAAGAAATTGACTTGATAATAATAAAAACTTGTACACACAAAACCTTTTATAATTTCAAAATGTTGTAAGTGCAAATTTCAGAATCATGAATCCCCAAGTTATAATAATAATAATAATAATAGCTGATATGTCTAAGACGTGATTGTTATTTTACATGATTTACTGATTTTAAAAGTGTTGTCTCATTTTGATGTATGAAAATTGAAAATCTTCCATAACTTTTAAATCTAAACAACTTTTTTTAATACATTTTTTTATATCTGTTAAAATAAAGGCAGGTTACTCCTGACTAATTTTTAGAATTCAGCAAAAAACAACCTGATTTGGCTAATTTTTTTTAATATCTTAGTTTCAGACTAAGCAGGAGCGATCCTCAGAGCCTGAAGATCCAACTCCAAAAAAATTGTCATATAGATCTTGTGCGCACTCAATCCATGGACACATTGTATAAATACACGTATACCTATTACATTAAGTTAGAAACATCTGGCACACACATATACAGTATTGAATTTTCTTTAATTATAACTGTGGACAATTAAATTAATTAGGCAGGGAAAGTTTTAAAGTGTGTTTTAATGTGCATTAAAAAATACATCCTTTATTTGTACTGGTTCTATAAGCCATGATACCTGTAATTCAATAACTTTATCCCACAAAATGTTAAAGAAAATTGGCGAAAACACATTAGAATAAACAAAACACCGCACCAGAGGAGATGGTTTATTAACCGCGTGATGTCAGAAAGAAATTCAATATGGCGTCTAACCTACGCAATTGTCATATCTTTGAAGCTTATTGTATCATGGGCAGATACAAAGTTTTGACTTTTGAATCTGCGCATTGTAAAACACGGCACCCCCAAATTAATTACAAACCAATTTTTCCGTGGGATGGCACTTACAACGTTCTGGAAAGGCAGGCCTCAAATAGTATTAGAATAAATTCCAGATGTAACTTTTTTATTTGAATTTTTTCTGCAATTTTGTATAAGTATTGTGTTAGTGTCTGTACCAGGTAAGGTATTTCATGAAAATAGATCTTTGTTGACCATTGCCGTTGGCGCAGTGAGCAAGCGCATATTTGTGACGTTGATTTAACATCACTAAAATTTGGTACAATTGGTTCCAGTATTTTTTCTATGAGATAAAGACACCGAATCATTTTCACTGAAATTTCCCACTTGAACCAGCATCACATAATCAAGAAAATAATCTTACAGAATGAACCTTGGAAAGAACAAATGTGTTACTCAACGAGTTACAACTACACAAACGCAGTGAGAGATGTGATCTAGTAGCTAAACTGATCTTAGGCTGTTGACTGAACTTACCTGGTCAGGAAAAAATTTATGCCTCTACTTATCTGCCGCATCCACCCTGTAAATCTAGGATGTAGTAGGGTTTCGCAAATGGCAAAATAGATCTTATTACAATTATTAATTATTTTGAATTGCCGTACTGTGTAATTTGCGAAGGTTCTTTACAAAAGTGAAACCACTCTGTTTACAACTTGATCCAAACACTTACAGTAACAGTACGATTATGGTACCCTCTCTTAGCAACTATCAGATTTTGTTGTTAACTTCAAGTATGATTGGCCCTGTATTATATTTTTATTTAAGAATGCTTGACGACTTATACCCGGTGGTCACTCCAAAGCATGAACCAGGTGACGCAACTGCATTTGCCAATCAAGTACAGGCGGCCGCCGAGCATTTATTGGCCGTCGTTGATGGTAAACAGAAGGAAGTGTTCGACGGATCATATAGTCAAATTAAGGAAGTGATTGGAAAGATTCACGAGAGTGGATATTTCGATCAAGCTGTGGTGAGTATTCTCGATATCTTTGAGTTGAATAAAGTTTTATTGTGTGTTTTCTTTTATCCCAATGGAGAAACTTGCCTTTTTGTGCAGGTTTTTAGAACCATTTTTCACAATATAAGCGGTAAAATGACATTGGAATGGTGTAATGTAAGCTGTAGAAATAATGAATATGGATATTTCCGAGTATATTTTCAATAGAGGGGAATAAGCATGCGGCTCTGACGTGTCATTTTTGTGTTGATAAAGGATTGATTGCTGAATTTGAATCAAGTTTATTTGCATTTAAGATTGGTTTTGTAGTTTTATCAGAGTTGAATGTTTATTTTTTGTGGCAATTGTGTTTAATTTGAGTTTATTCGTGAGGAAGGTTTTTAGTATAGTAGGATTTTCCTTAGTTTGCGCCGACGTCATCAGTTTATTATGACGTCATCACTAAGTTTGTTTACATAGCATCATACAATCAATGGAAGAGAATACGTATGTAGGCATCCATACAGACAGTGCTGCATTGTGGGTGAGACCCTTCGCATCAACGACGTCTATTGACCAATTACTAAACAAAATACTGCGGTAGTTATTTATAACAGGTTGTCTTATGTCGCGATCTTTTACTAACAAGGAGGACATCATTACTTGGACGTAAAGGAAAAATTGTATAAAAAATCATTGCAATTGTTTTCTCGTAATAACAACGCTTGCAGTACTTAGCAGCAGAAGTCGAGAAGCGACTGCAATCTTTACTAACCTCATACTCACAAGCAGAGCAACAGATACTTTTATGTCAAAAGAGTGGACGTTTTGCAGCATTTTCGAATGTGGGTAGCAGTTGGTGAAATAGAAGTCACTATTCGCAGGCTAATATTTAATGCATCTGCAACTCTCTGTGAAATAAAACTTGTTACGTATGTGAGTTCTTATATTACTAAAGTAACCACTATACTGCTGCTGGTAAAACAAAAGTAAAGTGGACCACCATAAGTTGCTTACTTTTTCTTGATAAACCTGATGGCATTTTTGTGTTATACAACCTTTGGTGTAGAATATCTCAGTGAGATTTACTTCTATAATTGTTCGTTATGAAACTAATGGATTTTTTATCGGCTAATGCAGCAAAATGCCATGAAGTAATGAAAACGGTAGCAAACAGTTGTCAAATTTAACGTGTCGCAATGTAAACAATATTCCCCTACAAATGGAATTGATGACGTGCGCGCAAACTAAGGAAAATCCTACTTCGGTATCACTTATTTCAGTTGACTATTAACTGCGGTTAACATTTTATGCAGACGGTATGCGTTTAATTAGTGTTTACAGTACTAGCGTAGGTAAATTGTACATTTCTAATGGGACTAACATTTTAGGCCGCAGATTACGAAACTACCGAGGTTAATGATGCCGATCAGCATTGCAACATTGAGGTTCCCCAACAAATTGAGCCTTTGGAAGAGGAGATCCCTGCAGTAGACACCGTCACCATAGAAACGAATAGACCGGTTCCGTTACCTATTGAACATCCCTTGGAGCAAATACAGCAAACTGACCAACAGATTTATTACCAGCCTCCACCAAGGCCTATTAGTGAGGTGTTGGGCCCTGGTAGTTTTCACTTTCTTCAGGTTGGTAGGCGTTGTTGTAATACAAAGAATATAGAGGGTGCACTTTTAGGACTCCGAATTGGACACTCCCGACACTTTACCCTCGCAAACGTTCACCAACACTAGCTACGTGCAAGCGCCGCCTCCTCCGATTCCCCTTCCCCCAAATTTCCAAACTTTCAATAACATCAACGTTCCTCCGCCTGGTAACGGTATGAACGAAGAAATAGCTCCCCCTTCGGTCGTAGCCCACCCACAACCGCAGCAAATCGAAGAGTCCCAAAAAATGCGCGGTCAGCCTCCGCGACCCCCCAATCAGATGTACTATCAAAATAATCACTCAAACTCAAATAACTACAACAATAATCGACCTCGTCAACCGAGAAGTGGGCCTAGGACCGCCAATCGACATCAATAACGGTTGTACATTGTCCATTTTTCCAGACAAGACAATGACACGATTAATTTTTATTTTAAAACAAAAGTATTGTCGAAGTATAATAATTAGGCATAATTACAACATCTCTAAAAAGTTTATTTGACCTCTTATATTGTGACAACAATATTTTCGATTTGTAAATAACACAATATTGCATTTCTAAACTAAATAAGATGCGTTTATACTTATTTCTACCCTTTCAGTATCGCGCCGTAGTGGTATATTTTATCTTAATTATTCGTTTATTTTACATCTCTCAATTGTTTGAAGAAATTACTAAGTAAATTGCGGCATTGTAGTTTTAATAGTAGACGTATGGGTTGTTTTTTTATTATCAAAAATATAGTGAAATTACAGTGTCCAAGCAGCTAGTCTTCTTGTAGTTCATTATTATGAGAAGTTTGTAATCTTTTTCATATAAAAACAAAACATTAAACAGCCCATAAATCCAAGATTGCTTTTTTTAAAAATTGTAACATATTTTGCCAGTTTAGTTTCTTACCAAGAAGTATGTATGATATTTGGTTATTTTCAATAAAAGGCACAAACAGCCGACATTGACTTCTTCCCTCCATGATTTCCCAAGGTTCACTAAAAACAATTATTATATAGGACTAAAGCATATAATCAACTTAAAGAACACTGAGAACAAGACGTTTTCATTTTGTTAAGATTTAAATTTAAACAAAATTCTCGATAAAATAGCATTTGTTGTTAAATTTAAGGTAACTAACAACAATAAAATTGATAATATTAAACTATTAGGGTCCAGGGGTTATCGAAGAGTGTAAAAGAGAAAAGATGGCTGCTGCTTAAAAATTAACTTATTTAAGTAATCCTGTAAATAAAATAAATTTTAGACCAGTTCATACCTTTAATGAATTTATGACTCTCTTAATGGGGATTTTTAGCGTATTTTTGATTCTAAAAAAGAAGCTAATTATTTCACCGTCGTTTGTTTGGACGCCTTATAAATCAAACGAGATCTCGGCAACGGAATATTGTAGAACGTTCTGGTTTTTGGCATATTCGTACAATTGTGTTATTCCTGCAGTGCTTAGTCTGAAAGCTGAAAGTCATAAGTAAATAATCTGTGACTCCACGTTGGGCGCCAAATAATGATGTGTGCAAAGGCATGCAAAATCACTATGCCACCCACAAAACCACTATGTCTACCCAACAAACACTTATCTTTAAAACACGCTTTGAATAATAATGTTCTCATTTATTGCCATAGATTGTAAAAAAACAGTTTACAGGAAAAAACCTACCTATTGTAATGGTACCAGTATATTTATAGATTTAGAGATGTATATCACTTCCAAGGAACACTAACTTTCGTAATTATGAAACGATTTCGACCTAACTTTAACGGTTGGTCTAACTCATAAATATTTCGGTCAAGTTCGTGAATCAGTCAATTCCGCAATATTGGAACAAAATGGCGGACATAAGTCTTATGTACACCGGGTCGGCCAAGCCGAAAGGGATTTTTGTTTTAAGTTTTCTAAAGCCCATCACACAATGAAAAAAATATGGAATAAGAAATAATGACGCCGTACACGCAAAACACAACAAACAAATAGCAACAGACTATAAACCAATCAGAATACCATGCCGTTTGAATTTATGTCATTATAATGGCAGATAAATGTAAGGTCACAATTCGACATGACAAGGTATATTGATTCTACAATCAATTTTTTAGCTCCAATATGGCGGATTATGATAAGTTGTCGCCACTGTCCTTAAGTCACTGTAGTAAATACGGTATTATCTAGTGGGAATAATGCGCGAGCTCGCCGTCTAAACGCGCCTTTAGCGAGTGTGATTCATCCTGACATGACAGTTACATTACTGAACAGCTGAGGTATATCATGCAAAGAGGAATTTCCTCTTTGATATCATAAATAAAGGTGTTGTTATTTATATCATGGTATCACAGACCATCAACGGGCATGGTATTGTTGAGTGGTATTTAGTTACTATCTGTGCTGTACTTATTACGCGATGCGCGCCCAAAGTTGTTCGCATTCGTTTTTGTGGGATCAAATAAACAAACAGTGTGTCGCGTAAACGGCTTTTGCCTAATTACTAACGTACCCAAATTACATTTCCTCCAGCGCGTGGTGTCACATTTTACCTTGAAGAAACCGTTCAACATTGTGCTTGTCAGCTTGTGCGATAATGTCTGCAATTGTAAAAGTGGAAATCAAAGAAGAAGAAATAATTGAATTTATGAATCACAAAGTTGTACGTAGCAATGAAGTCTCCGGAACAATCAAACGTGAACTTGAAAGTACCGTCAATGGGGATTATTTTAATGTCACGTGTAATTTGAAAGATGAAAATGAGGTACAGGAATCTGAAGATTTCTCGTGCACTAGAGGTCCACTGATTTCACTAAGTTTTAATTGTGCTCAGTCTGATTTTGTAACAAATAATACAGCAACTTGGAGAGGACATCTGCATACACATAAGATTTTGAGATTTTTAAAATGCTCTTTTTGCGATTATGCAACCAATAACAAATACAGTTTTAAAATGCATCTTTTGATCCATAAGATCGACAAAGATTTGAAATGCACAGAGTGCGATTATGAAACCAATTATAAATCCAATTTTAAAATACATCTTTTAACACATAAGGCTACCAAGGACTTGAAATGTACACAGTGTGATTATGCAACTAATAACAAATTCTATTTAAAAACACATCTGTTAAGACACAACAGTCTCAAGGATTTGAAGTGTGATAACTGTGATTACGAAACAAATATCAAATACAATTTTAAAAAACATCAGTTAACGCACAGCAAGACTGGGAAACATTTAAAATGTGCACATTGCGATTTTGCAACAAATCATAAATTCATTTTGAGAGAACATCTGCAAACACATAAGACTACCAGAGATTTCAAATGCTCTCTCTGTGATCATGCAACCTGTTGCATACATAAATAACGTAGGTACGTTGTCCTCCCTTTAAAAATTTCCTTGTATTGTTATTACTCCTCATAATTTTGATTTTCCCTGCCGTGTTGTCCGTCCTTGTACTTAGTGCGCACGCAAAAATGTTGGTGGAAGGAACAAACAAGGTGAATTTGGTCTAAAATAACAAGTCCAGTTTTAAAATCCATCTTTTAACTCATAGGACTGCCAAAGATTTGAAATGCACTCAGTGTGATTTTGCAACCAATTTCAAATCCCATTTTAAAACGCATCTTTTAACACATAAGACTGTTAAGGATTTGAAATGCAGTCAGTGTGATTATGCAACCAATTACAGGTCAAATTTCAACAAGCATCTGTTAACCCATAGTAAAACTGCCAAGTATTTAAAATGTGCACAGTGTGATTATGCAATTATTTTTAAATCCAATTTGAAAAACCATCTGCAAAGACATAATGCTTCCATTGATTTCAAATGCCCTCAGTGTGATTATGGAACCAATTACAAATCTAACTTTAAAATCCATCTTCTAACGCATAAGACTGACAAGGACTTGAAATATACACAGTGTGGTTTTGCAACCAACAACAAATTCAAAACGCACAAGGTCACCGAAGATATAAAACATAACATTGCCACCGATTTTGAATGTGCTTGGTGTGATTATGGAACCAATTACAAATATTCTTTTAAAAGGCATCTGTTGTCACACAAAACTACCAAGGAGTTACAATGTGCACACTGTGATTTCGCAACTAATTACAAAGCTTATTTCGAAAAACATTTGCGAACACACTAGATTGTTGAGGCCTTCAAGTGCTGTTTGTGATTACAAGAGCCAATAACAAATTGCCACTGATTTGGAATGAGCTTGGTAGTGATTATGGAACCAATTCCAAACACAAGCAACACTGCGCTGTTGTAATTGTTATAATTATTTAAATTATGTTTATCTCTAGATTAACGTACAATTATGCACTTTAATCTATGAGATATATGATTTAACATTTATCCTATACATTGATAGGACCTATACGTGAAGTGCCTTATAATACGCTAAACCTTTTTATTTAGTAAAAGTACTCCGATAAGGAATTCGATTACATAATCTTTAAATTTTTTGAGGACTTTTCGTCAATTTGTCTAATCTTTAATATTTATTCTTCACCTACTACTAATGTAGACGATATGTAAGATCACAGGGCATATGTTATAGAGGCATCTCGCATATATTAGGCAACACAGTATCAGTGTATAAATTGATCTCTAAAGCACACAGGCGTTGTGCCCTTAATGTTGTAGTGCCTTATGCCCGTTTGCACCAACAAATTTAAGTGGAGCTTAGCTTAAGCGTCTCTTAAAATCCATTGTCTCAATAATCGTTGCCATGTCCAAATCAAGCCTTAAATATTTTCTATGGAATTTTTTGTGATTTGTATCTTCAAACATTTCCTATGAAAAGAAAACGTCGGATAAAGGGTAACCGGGACAGAGGATGGTTTACTCCTGAGCTCTTGTCTTTAAAATTGAAAGTATCCAGTATGTACAAGTTAACCCTAAATTGTTCTAAGTATAAAGAAGAATTTAGGCAATGGAATAGGCTATATCAACAAAAATTAAAAGAAGCTAAATTGTCTCACAACAATAATATAGTTGCTAACTCTAAGAATAAGGGAAAGTCTGTGTGGACGATTATCAAAAAATTGCAAGGTAAGAATGAAATTAGCAAGGTATTTCCTGAGTTGATTGATAATGAAGGCAATAAGGTTCCAGTAAGTGTTATTTGCAACAACCTTAACGAGCATTTTGTGAAAACTTCAGATTCATTTCAGCCTAACAGTTCACACCTGGACTATATAAACAAGTATGTTACTTCATGTCAACAATCTTTCTTCTTAACTGAGGTTAATGAATACGATGTGTTGCAGGCTGTTAAAAAATTGAATAACAGTCACTCTACTAGTGATGATCATATTTCTAATTTTTTATTAAAAAAGATTATTACTACAATCATCAAACCTGTTGTCCACATTATTAATCTTTCGTTTTCAACTGGCATATTTCCGTCAGAACTAAAAAAGGCTACTGTAGTGCCACTCTTTAAAAAGGGAGATCCAAACACGTTGGGAAATTATCGACCGATTAGTTTATTATCTGCTCTTTCTAAGGTTTTAGAGCGCTCAATGAACGAGAAGTTAATCAATTTCTTTAACAAATATAAATTGTTCGCGACTAGCCAACATGCATACCTTAAAGGTCGCTCAGTAGACACAGCTTTTGTAATTTTTACTGACACCGTTTTGAGAGCTTTAGATGAAGGTCGGCTAGCAGCCGGGCTCTTCGTTGATCTTAGTAAAGCCTTTGATAACGTAAATCACGACTTGCTGCTGTCGAAACTTTATAATTATGGTATACGAGGTGTATCTATAAACTGGTATGCTTCGTATTTGTCATGTAGGTCTCAAAAGGTTGTGCATACCAAAGAATGTGTGCAAATATATTCAGATGAATCTCCTATCAACAGTGGGGTACCACAAGGTTCTATACTTGGTCCCACCTTGTTTTTAATTTTCATAAATGACCTTCATAATTATGTTCAAAAGGTTGATAACAACACCACCATTGTATCTTATGCTGACGACTCTAACTTCCTAGTTACAGGTACTACTATAGAACATATTAGACATAAACTATGTGCATTATACAAAACAATTTTAGACTGGGCAGAATTAAACGGACTTAAGGTCAATAAAGAGAAAACAGCTTTTATACTGTTTCGATCTCTACGTTCTAAAATCGGTTCCATAGAGGCACTACCGCTTAACGAGTTACTTGTCAACGCAACTGATAATTGCAAATTATTAGGTTTGTATTTTGATCAATTGTTAAATTGGTCTACACAGATCGACTTCCTTTGTTCTAAGTTATCTAAACTATGTTATGCACTCAAAGTAGCTTCATCGCATTGTAGCACAGACATACTAAAAAATATGTACTATGGATATTTTTATTCCACTCTTAAATACGGAATTATGTTCTGGGGAGGTAGTGGAATCAATCGGTTAGCCAGAATATTTTTATTACAAAAAAGAGCGATTAGAATTATATACAATGCAATGCAATGTACCGAGACAGTTGCAAACCAATTTTCAAAGAACAAGGTATGCTGACCTTGTATGGTATTTATGTGTATACAATCCTCTGCTTCGTATACTGTAATCGATGCTACTTTACAACAGACGTTGCAAATCATAAATACCCTTTACGAAACTGTTTACTTAAGGTTCAAAAACATAGTAGTGCCTTATATCAAAAAGGTGTTCTATATAAAGGTACTACTTTATTCAATGTTTTACCCTCTAACATCAAAACGATTACATCGTATCATTTATTTAAAAAAGCTGTGAGACGTTTGCTCATTGATTGTACCCCGTATTCACTAGAAGAATATGTTACTCATTGCAAGCTCTATGACTGACTTGATTAATTGGTGTGTCTCCTTTTAATCTAATATATTAAAAAAATAAAATGGATTTTAAGGGACGCTTAAGCTAAGCTCCACTTAAATTTGTCGGTGCAAACGGGCATGAAATGCATTTTACGCTGGCCGTTTATTTGTAGACCAGGCAACTGAGAGCTCTATCTGCATTCGATGCGCGCCTCAGAGTAGGTAACGTGGAACTGAAGAAGAAGAAACTATGGTACTTTGTGTAGCGTTTTCAACTGGGCACATATGCGGAATTCTTTGAGATTATTCGCAAATCTATCGCACGGTGTGCTATAAAAAAAGTGTTATGTTCACTTTATAGTTCTAAAAAATTATAATGTACCTACGTATATTAAAAAATTCTTGGGCAGTATAAAAAGTGTTTTTTTTTATAATGCAGTTTAGTTTTGTTATAAATTATTTGGCGGCACAGTTTGTAAAATTGATATTGCTACGTCTCGTAAATTTCTATCAAATGAGATTTTTTTGAGCTTTCTACAATGTTAAAAAACTCGCGCTTCACTTCCATTTTCTCTATCACCGTCGCCGTCAGCACTAAACAAGGGCATTGAACATCCTGATTGTACATATTTATCAAATGAAACTTTAAGGTAGGGCTCCGCCCTTACGTTAATTGTAAAGAAGGATGTGACCTGAAGTACAGTAGGGAAGGAACACAATATAAAATACTATATAATGGTACCTACAATTCCAATGTGTTTCAATGTAACAATTGTTGAATTGGCTAAGGAAACTTTGTAAAATATATCTGGTCTAGGAAGAACACAAAATAAGTATACATCTCACTTTTTTGCTTTTTTTTAGCTTCAAATTTGTAGCTAGTGCCTTTTGAGTCTTTCATTCATATTTTTTAAGCAAATTATCAATATACGACTCTTGATCTAGCGTAAGGATATTAGACATCAATATTTATTAATTAACACCCAACAATTGCTTTTCTTGACCATTTATATAAAATTAAAACAACTTTTTTCTCTAATAACGCCCCTTGAGTAATGATTACTCACTGCTGTTACCTGCTAACGTATACTGTTACTTTACAAAGTTAAAGTGGTCAATTTAAAGGCATTTGATAATTCTTTAATCAAGGTAAAAGACTAAAAGTTTTCTTGCTTGGCCTGTTCCAAATTTATCCTTGGACCTTGTGAATGACAATCGCCCTGTATTGAGAATCACGTGCCGGATGAATACTTGACGGCAACCTTGCAATGCAAGTGACTGACTGACAGTCGGTGAAACATAACCTATAAAGTGCTATTTTTCCTAAACTAATAGGAAATCACAATGAACAATTTGAAATTATATATCGCCACAAAAATGTACGTGCTTCGTTTATTTACTAAAAATTCATCCATTCCCATTTTGTGAAACATATGTATTGCGTCACTTTTATCAACAAACTTTGATACATACATACATTGATAATACTTTTCAGAAGCTGCACCTTTACCTAGTAATGTCCACAATAGGCAATATTGGTATAGGATTATTTGTTTTGATTATACTTTGGGTACTTACCTTACTTCTTTTCGTTTTCGCCGTTAAGATACAAAGCAATTTAGGGTGGTTTGGAATTGGTTTCAGTTCAATTGTGACAATCGTTCTAATTTGCATTCCAACAGAGCCTAAAGATCCAGCGGAATACTATCAAGAACTAGTAAGACTCGTCGTTTGCGTATTTGCAATTTTAAAAGTTTACTTTTAGGAAATTAACTATAGTGATGTGTCACGAACTTTACTAGTCTGGTTTCTAATATTTTCAGTCGTAGTTGGATTTGCGTCTTTCTTCATTTTGCATTGCATCGAAACGTCCAGGCCAAAGCGCATGAACACCTTGATGACATCATGATGTTAACACATTTGAAAAGCTCGCTTCAAGGAAATCGAAGTTTGGTCACCTTATTTAAAACTGTGACTCACGACAAGGCCAATTTGCGAAAAATATGCAGCTCGCTAAAATTGAATAAAATCATAACCATAATGAACGATGACGATTTTATGAGCAAAGTCATGAACTCTGATAATCCAGTCATCGTCAATTTTCATGCAGAGTGGTGCGAGCCTTGTCATATACTTACACCTAAGATGAAGCAACTAATTGAACCCAAAGACAACATTGATCTTGCCATTGTCGATGTTGAAAGTCATGCCGAACTAGTTCATACCTTCGAAGTGAAAGCTGTTCCTGCTGTGATAGCGGTGAAAAATGGATTGGTAGTTGATAAATTTATTGGTCTTGTTGACGCTAACATGATAGAAAGTTTAATTAGTAAATTAGATAAAAAGTCATAATCACTGTGGCGAGTCGAACCTTTGGTTATTTTGTAGTAAATGTAATCTTTATATACTTGAATTGTTTAGAATTGCTTGGTTTGGACTCGCCATTATTTTATATTACTTAAATTTCAATTTGTTAATAGTTACTGTAGTTAGGTGTAAAGTTTATATGGTAGATCAATATATGGGGTTGCCACAATGTTTTCCAGCACCGACAACATTCTTAGCCAACAATAAATTTTAAAATAAACCAGACAAGTGGACAAAATTATAACATTTTGGTCACATGTTAAATAACATTTAGTGTACTGTTGAATGCTAATTCATTAGCAATATTAGTTATGCAGTTCCTTTATAGCAGAATCTCTTAAAATGGGAAGATAAAATCACACAGAGCAATTAAACATTGCAAAAAGTGTATATACAGTCTTTCAAATTTCTTAGTGAGTTCGTAACACGGTTAAATGACTAAAATTGTGTATTTTGTCTACTGAATCCAAATCTGTAATTAAACAAGTTGTAAATCAGCATATGCATGACTATATATAAAACACATTTTTGGTAATGCAGGTCAGTATTTTATTAGCGAAGTTTAAAATTATCGATCTCAGGAGTAATTTTGGCTGCGTTAAATAATTAATTTTATTTAATTTCAATTGACCGTACGTCTTCATTTTGTAAAACAAATCACAAAGTAAATAATAAGTTTTTATACTGGTAGCGCTATCTAACGGCAAAATTATAGCACCTCTGAAACCCATATCGAAATTATTTTCTTCAATTATCGATCTCACAAGTAATCTAACTCAAAATAGACTAGTGCCTGCACATCTACACTATAGCAGAAAGCTTTTAGTGAAAATTTGAATTCTCTAGCTATTGTAGTTGTGGAGATCTCACGCGGACAGCCGGCCTGCCAGCAATAACGAATATAATAGCATATTTTTTTTAAAAATGCGCTAAAAACAAAACAACATGGCGTTTGCAGATCTTTTTAATCGGGAACACCCTTACATCATGACAACTTACTAAATTTTCTACAAACGCACTATAGTCAAAATACTTCAAATAACCAAGATTTTTCAATTATTTTCATTTCGATCAATGAAAATGGTAAAATGACTTTGTTGGTTGTAAGTTGTAAAGTATCTGACTACTAATTTTGAAGTTTATTACATGTTTCGTCTTTAATCTTATTTCCTAGAAAATATGTTTTTACCTGCCCTATCCTGAAGAAAATGAAAACGTTTTTGAACGTAGCTATCTATTGTAGGTAACTTGTACGTTATTTTTATATGTATTTCTTATTTCTAGTTTTGTTAACAACCTACTGTAATAAGTCTTAGTTCCAATTTTAAAAAAATACTATTATCACAGATAAAATTACCCATGGGTATTTTATCTGTGTTATTATGTATTTTTATCATTTTCATGGATAACTGGATCGAAATCAAAATAACTGAAAGATCTTGGTTACTTCAAGTAGGTACGAGTATTTTGGTGTTCCATATAAAACAGCAGGTCACATGTTTGTTATCTGAAAAATATGATGTTTTGTTTTTTGAATTACAGATTTGGATTCACTAGCAAATATATACCTACCTACACAACTTTGATAATTTAACCGTCTTTCTCAGCAGAAAACCTTCAGCAGTATACATATATTATCAATATAAAAGAATCAGAGAATTGAGTAGTACACTTTGGAAAATGACTTAGACTTAGATCATACATATTAACATGATCTAAGGAAAATGATGACTGTTTTAACAACAATAGACTTTAAAGCTTCTGGCAGATTACATTCTCAAAAAATATTTTAAATAAAATCATCAAAATTGACCATAATTTTGATTTTGAAAAATGTGGATTTTTAGGAAAAATGGTTTTCTATTTTACATAACATCATAGGTAGAGTAAACAATTCGAGAGTGTGATGTGACGCCGCTACAGACCTAAGCGCATTTATTCTTCAAACTTATGAACCTGAAAAATTTGAACAGTCAAAACAATGGAAGAGTCTGAAGAAATGCCATGCATAGATGTAACGAATATAAACCGATACAACGAAATATCGAAGGATCCTCAGTATTACAATAACTTTTAACGATAATTTATTTTAATGTTACAAAATACATCAAATTCATGTCTTGGCCATTGAGATAATGCTCTTAATCTTGTTTTGATCAAAATCCATGTGGTCGCCAAAAATAGATCAAATTCATGTTTTGATCATTGAGATAATGCTCTTGGTCTTTTTCCCAACGTTCTTGGTGCATAAATAACGATTTTGACATGTTTTGATCAAAATTCATGTGGTCGCCAAAAATAGATCAAATTCATGTTTTGGTCATTGAGATGATGCTCTTAGTCTTTTTCCCAACGATCTTGGTGCATAAATAACGATTTTGATTATTTTGATCAAAACCCATATGGCAATAATTTAACATTTTTGAATCACACACATGCGGTTATCAAATGTGCACGTGATGTACTCTTGCTGCATCAAGATAATGCGTTTGAAACCTTTTAAAACTCTAAATTCATGTATAAAGTGTAATTTTTGCTACATTTTGCTCTAAAACTTTCGACCTATACCACAGAGAAGAGTTATATTAAAGTATTACACATCTAAGAGTCATAGGGAATAATCTAGCGGAAGTCCCAACCCGATACATGACCTAGGGAATGAAATATGTTGATTTCTATTATATTGAGCCCGTAGTTTTTCCTGTTCCCGATTCACTCGAAGTCCTATAACTTTTGTTCCTATTGAACCAGCTTCCTGAAAATCAATAGCGTCCGTCCTTAATGTCCAAAGAACCCGTACACCAAATTTCAACTCAATCGGCCACTTTTAAAAAGAGTTAGAGCGCACACGGACGGACGGACGACAATACAAAACTATAAAGGATCTGAGGATCCTTAATAAGTACTTACTTGATGACTGATGTATCCCACAGAATGAGGAATCCTCATAACGGAATGAATTTAAACAGTTGAAAAAAACGAAGGAATAGGATCCCTGAAAAATGTCTGGAATTTAAAGGTTTGATAACTTGAGAATCTAAAAGTTAAAAATAGGAACAATCCCAAAGTAAAATTTAGGCCATGCTCTCAGGTTCCTTTTCGGCTTCCTAGTTACGATTCTAGAACAATTTGATTGCAGTCTTTATAACTTTTACATATGTGTATGGCTTATTTGTGAATATCTGACTTGGATTCTTAATTTGTGTGCTATCTTTTTCTTTTAGTCTCCCTATTTGAGTTTCAAGAATGTATGAATGTAAGTTATTGTATTTCCTCTATGTTATTCGTTATGCGGTAATTCACATATTACTACTGCAGCTCGCAGTAGGTAAAAAAAACATGAGTTTAAATAAATGGTCCCAAATCTATTTGGTCTTTTTTCTCTTTATTGTTTGAGCGTTTGTTCTGTTCCACCATGCCAGTGCTTTGGGGATTATACGCGACTATTTGTAATATGAACAAATTTATATAATACCTCTTTGATAATACCTGTTGCCTAAGTATATACTTGCGACAATTTCGTGAGTTGTCTGCGAAATTGTTGCACATTATCGGATTGAACTATTTCAGGAATAGCTATAGGCACGTGAAAATAGTGTTTGCAATTTGTTTATTATTATTTATTACAGCCTAAGTCATTTCATGTAGGTAATTGACAAAATTATCAAAACGACTTATTTGTATATATGGTACAGTGGGCTATGTATACTTTTAAAAAATCATGTCAATTCATGCGAAATAGTTGGCAACCAACATTACTCGCGTCTTCTCGAATTTTTTACGAATTTTTAAGACCATTCTCGAAACTTCCTGTTTTCAAACTGGTAAGCGCAAAATTAATTAAATACGCGTCCGACAAAGTGATTCGTGGTGACATCATTACAAAAAACCTTTCAAATCGCTCTCGTGGCTTTTGCAGGGCTTCAGTAGAAACATGTAGAGTTGGTTGCCATATTACCTATATTCCATGCATTATGCACTGACATGTTTTTTTTAGCGTAACAACGAAGTTGAGGTAACGCTTATGTGCTCGATTTTTCGTCGTCTGTCTATCTGTCTGTCTGTCTGTCCCATCGAGATCTCGGTCCCTGGGCCACTTAGAGACTAAGGATTTTCAGTAATTGTTAGCTGCTATGGTCTATATTTGCCTGTTACTCATCATTTACAGTTGTGTTACTCGGCAACTCCCACGAGCGTGTTTTGAAACATTTGTTAAGTATATATATATATATAGCTCATATTCACTTCATAATGTGAATTTACACAAGCTCGCTCACTCTCTTGTCTGAACTTTCTGATTTTGTTAACGCGTGTGGCATGAGTATTGCGTATACCGGGTGGTGCACGGTAAGTAGGAATATATAAGGATTTAACATGGGAAATTAGTTTTATGCAATGTCCTGCCCTCCTGTAGAGCTTAAAGTTGTTCAGAATTAAAAGGTGCATACTTACAAAATCTGTTTTTCATGTTTTGTATTAAGCTTTTGGTATACCCGCAAATTTAAAAATAAATTTCAACATTTCTGTTATTAGTAGCAATAGCCATGAGTTTTGTTGTTTTATGAATTGCTAGGCGAGGGAGAAAGAAGTAATGACTTTTGTCGGAATAAGTTACCAAATTACTTTTTTTTTCTATTATTTGCAATTCGGATGAGCTGCATTACATTGACACGCCATATATTTGTTAATTGATCCATTTCTATGGAACGCCGTTTTACTTTTTATTACGAAAGTTTACAATGTAACATTATAAACAACAGTTAATTTTATTTCCCGATTTATTATGTTTGTTGTTTTTATGTGAAACATTAAATATGTTTGTTTAAAAAACTTCACTTAATTGAAATGATGTATGAATTATATAGCAATGTGTATAACGAAAGTTTAACAATACAAATCAACAAACGAATACATAAACGAACAGTAATATAACTAACTAGAACTAATTCAACAAACATAAAAATTTATTCATATTAAATGTGGGATTAAAATTATGAACAAACATTTTAATTCAACAATCATATTAATTCGTGCTGCTAAAATCGGAAAGCATTATTTAAAATGATTGTTGAATTAAAATGTTACATGAATAAAAATGTTCGTTGATAATTTTAATTCGTATCTGTGATTGTGCGGAAGTTTCAGGAACTACAGTTTAGTGTATTTGGCTACGTGTATACTAGCGCCTAATTAAAATTATCAACAAACATTTTAATTCATGTAACATTTTAATTCAACAATCATATTAATTCAACAATCATTTTAAAAGATTCTTTTACTACGTCTAACAATAAAAATTTATTTGTTTGTTGAATTAAAGTGATTGTTGAAAATATTCGGCTTCAATTTTCAAATAGTCGAATTTATATGACTGATGAATTAAAATGTTTGTTGATAATTTTAATTCCACATTTAAAATGAATGAATTTTTATGTTTGTTGGACAAAATCGTTTTATTAATCGAAGTATTTCTTGCAATTCAATTTAATTGTTTGTTATTAATTGTTTGTTGAAATACAGTTTCATATACACTCATTCAATATAACAATATAATTCATTTCACATTTTTATTAAGTAACATTTTTTAAACAATCATATTTAATACGTAAGACAATAACAACAAACGTAAAAAGTAGAGGCATACGATTGACTGTTATTTAAAATGGCACATTGTAAAATTTTGGAATAAAATTGTACAAATATTTTCAGAGAACATTTTAATTCAACAATCATATGAATTCATGCTGTTAAAATCGGCAAGAATTATTTAAAGTGATTGTTGAATTAAAATGTTACATTAATTAAAATGATTGTTGATAATTTTAATTCGTATCTCTGATTGTGCGGAAGTTTCAGGAACTACAGTTTAGTCTATTTGACTACGTGTATACTAGCGCCTAATTAAAATTATCAACAAACATTTTAATTCATGTATCATCTTTATTAATCAACATTTTTTTAATCAATCTCTTAATACGTAAGATAAAAACAACAAACGAAAAATTTAGAGACATAAGATTGACTGATATTTAAAATGATACATGATAAAATGTTGGTATAAATACTAAAACGGCGTTCCATACATTTCCTTGCATGTTTCGCACAATTAAATCGCTTGCTCGACTTTTATTCGCAAACTGTAGTCACTCGACCGCTAATTATTCACATATAAACACACTAAATATTAAAACCTCGAACACGTTCCAATGAATAACTGATTATGACGGGCTTGCTGTTGAAGCGCGTTCGAGGTTTTGTTATATTATTGTGGTTTATTGGTTTTTATTTTTCTTTTTCATCATACTCCTACTTCCGCCAATGTCAAATGTAACGCCAATAAGGCACGCTTGAGATGTCCTCTCTTCTATGACAAAGTTACGCGCAATAGAAATCGTGCCTTCTGTGAGTGATAACACAACAGATGTTCCTTAATTTCCATCAACGCAATTTTCACATCTTACAATTTAAATAAACAAATTTACACGAATTATAAAATTTAAACAAGAACTTATGCAAATTAAAACAATTCTAAAATAGAAGAAAACAAATTCCGATGAAATAAACCAATTTCAAAAGTGTACATAGTAGTAGATAAGTGTACAGTTGCAGTTCGAACATTTTTCAAACTATAAATTTATATTTATACATTGTAACTAAACTATTTCACACAGCCGACTAATAGTAAATTAATTAATGTTTGCATTATTAGTTACTTTTTGGCGTGGTGTGAAGTAATTCCGATTTTTAACCAATATACCTATTATTGATAATCTCCGATAAGATAACGTCACATATAATAACAGTTATTGTGTTCTTATACCATTTGATTAACTTTTTACGATAATATTAGTGGCGTGTTCTTATACTTATTTTTTTTTTACAATTGGTAGAGATAATTTCATCCTATCTACAGGTGTTGATACTCTTTAAACACCATACCAACACGTGAGACAAAGCAACAGCAATAAACTGTGACAACATTTTAAATTGACGCGAATATTACAATCTTATCTTAGAGTATTTTCTGATAACCTATGTAAATGATAAGTCGCACATAAAAAGAATTTTTGCATTTTAATTTTTCACTTTTATCCGCGACGCCCCTTGGTCGTGGCCCCAGCGTTCAATAATGGCCCTTAATAACGCACTTTCGTCAGTTCGAAATGTAAGTATTTATATTAATAACTACTTATTATATAATAGCATATTAGCGATTTTGATTCTTGCTCCATCATAAGCGTAGTGGTTGCTGTGCGTAGGTACCTTATCTTTATGTAATAATTACATCACTGTTTTGAGTCGTATGATACTAAATTCATACGCTAATTGAAATTGCGATCTTTTGGGATGGGATTTTTAATTTCTTTTGGTTTTCCATATGTGCCTGTGCTATTGGATTTACCTTTTCTCGTAGATACAGATATGTCAGCGTTACTTTGCTATTTCAAAAGCTCAGCGGAAGACCAATTTTGTCTTTCCCCTTCCCAACATGAAAAATTTATCGAAACGCTTTGACGGAAAACTTTCCTTTCTGTTACTTTAAGGATAATTGTCCAGCCGCTCATACTTTGACTTTGATAAGAAAATAAATTCAATAATGCATCTATTTTTAGGGATCATCAGTATTAAATTTTGTAAGATCCTACTCCAAATCGGCGACGTCAACAAAACTGTTCATCGATGGCAAATTTCAAGATTCCCAAACAACACAATGGATCGACGTTTACGATCCCGCAACAAACAACGTCGTCACACGAGTTCCCCAAAGTACGAAAGCCGAAATGGACGCTGCCCTAGAATCGTCGAAAAATGCCTACAAAACCTGGAAAAATACGACAATCTTGACTAGACAGCAAATCTTATTCAAATTACAGGCGCTCATTCGTAGAGATATGAAGAAACTAGCGGCTAGTATTACCCAGGAACAAGGAAAAACTTTGGGGGATGCCGAGGGTGATGTAGTCCGAGGACTGCGTAAGTTTGCAATTTGTCGTTTTTAAATAAGTATGAGCTCAAAAATTTTTGAATTGTAATGCTCATAGACGATATTTTATCTCATACCTGTCACGCCAACTTCCGAGACGTGCTTTTTTTACATAATTAATTTTTGTACCTTCCGTAGAGGTTGTCGAGCACAGTTGTGGAGCAGCATCGCTGCTTTTGGGAGAGACTTTACAAAATATCGCCAAAGATATGGACTGCACATCCTACAAGCTGCCATTGGGAGTAACCGCCGGCATTTGTCCCTTCAACTTTCCGGCAATGATTCCCTTATGGATGTTTCCCACGGCACTCGTAACCGGAAATACGTCAATCATCAAGCCGTCCGAGAAGACACCTGGAGCGACCATGCTACTGATGGAGCTCTTAAACGAAGCGGGCTGTCCGCCCGGTGTTGTTAATGTAAGCATTCCGACTATCATCTTAAGGGCACTTAACACCAAGACTACCTTTAGGTAATCCATGGCGCACATGACGCAGTTAATTTTATTTGCGACAGTCCGGATATTCGAGCCATTAGCTTCGTCGGTTCAGACACCGCTGGTCAGTACATTTACAAGCGCGGTTGTGCAAATGGCAAACGAGTACAGTCGAACATGGGTGCGAAAAACCACGCAGTTGTGTTACCCGATGCCAATAAAGAAACGACAATTGACCAAATATGTGGCGCGGCATTTGGGGCAGCCGGTCAGAGATGTATGGCAATAAGTGTCGCTATCTTAGTTGGTGAATCGCGAAATTGGATTCCCGATATTGTAGCGAAAGCAATGAAATTGAAAGTCAATGCTGGACACGAACCAGGAACTGATGTTGGTCCAGTTATTTCAACTGCTGCGAAGCAAAGGATTTTACATTTGGTCGAGAACGGTATTAAACAGGGCGCCAAATGCGAATTGGATGGTCGAGGTGTGGTGGTTGAGAAGTATCCCAACGGAAACTTCGTAGGTCCCACTGTCCTAACAAATATTAACACAAACAACGATTGCTACAAAGAAGAATTGTTCGGTCCCGTACTAAGCATTATGACTGTCGATACCATGGACGAAGCTATAAATATTATAAACGGTAACAAGTATGGTAACGGAACTGCTATATTCACAACGAACGGGTGTCACGCCAGACAATTTGTTAACGAAATAGACGTCGGCCAAGTTGGCGTTAATGTACCAATTCCTGTTCCACTACCAATGTTTAGCTTCACGGGATCCAGAGGAAGCCACTGGGGCGACTTGCACTTCTACGGCAAACAAGGAATTAATTTCTATACACAAACTAAAACGGTAACATCAATGTGGAGAAAGGGACAATCGGTCGCGGCAAATGGATCAGCTTCAATGCCCGTACACACGTAACCAGCAAAGTTGGCATCTGATCGATCAAAAATAATTTAAACAAAAGAAATAAACAAAATTGTGACTTTTATTTTAAATTTTTTATTAATTTACGATTCATGTACCTACCTTTTATTAGCATATGGCAAAATCTGGAACAACATATATACATAGATTGAAAAAAAAAACTTCCTTCTATACCTAAGTACAGTCAGTCAGTCAGAATATACTTACCAGATAAAAAATTGTTTTTCAGAAGTTGTAAAGTTATAAATAATGTGCACTGTAATAGTGAAAATTATTACCAAATAGGTTTAGGGTCTTATGTATCCAAACGTTTATTATTGGCGACGTATTTTGTGACCTGTACCATTCAATTTTTTATTCAATGCCTGTACGAAGCATTCGCTAACCGCTGCATGTACAACATGTAGCGTAATATATTTTATTTGTTCTTGTCTTTTCGTACGCGCAAAATTCGGCATTTTATTCAATTCACTTCCCGATTATATATTACGCCCCAACACACAAAAAGAACAGCTAATTACACACAGCGTACTGTGGTAGGAAGTCCGCGCACAAATGGCATGAAAATTAAACAATATAATTTAGCGGAATCAAAATTAAAATTTAATTATAAAGGGTAAATTGATAAATTTGCAAATGATGAATTAAACCACACCCACGTGCGAAATTAGGGGAAATTGGCGGCAACCTGGGTGTCATATCGGTGGAACGGACAGACTAGAGCGCCTTAATTATAATTAAGAGTATTCTTGATGACTTAATTTTTTTAAGCAACATTTCTAATGCGTTTGGTTACATATTAAAATTGTTAAAAAATGTATTTCGCTCGATAAACAGATGAGCGAAGGTTGACCTTATGTGGGATCTTGTACTATCAGTATGAACCCCGCCAATGGGAACGCAAGCAACAAAGTATAAATTAATTAGTGGTATGTACGGAAAATCAATTGCAGGTAAAGTTACCTTTAAAATTAAACTGAGCGAAAGAAAAGATTCTTAATGCATGCGAGCACATAAAATTGCCAAAAGATCCCCTCTAAACATCGGGTTCTGATTTACCATTAATAAAATTCGGTCGTTTCATGGAGCAACCGACGGTTTTTCAGTCGACGCCCTTAGATTTACTTAAATAGGCGAGATGAAATTTCTAAATTCATATAATTTTGACTAACACCAATTTCTAAAGTCAGACAAAAGGCCTCTTATTTATGCGCGAACGAGCGACCTTGCCGGTTTTTGAATTAATATTCTGGATTACAATCGGTTATTAATGAATGAAGGGAACTACAGCCATAAAATATTAATTTCTCCCCAAGGGCGGAGCGAAAGTAAGCATAAAATTAACAATTTCCAAAAATCGTGTACTCTGGGTGTTCAAACGATGTCTTTTGATTTGCCATGTTACCAAAAAAATCTGAAAATTGGCTGCCGAAATGACATTGACAATTATACAAAAACGAATTTCTTGAAAATGTAAAAAAATGCATGTCATGTTCCACCCTAGCCCTCCCGCAAAAGAAAATAAAAATAAATTTATTAGTTTTGTTCTAAAACGTTTAGAAACTGTTCAAATGCTTCAAATTGCAGTAATACATCTCGTAATTTTAATACAAGCCCTTATTTATTTATTGTTAATCTGCCATAGAGGCTTTTTATGTCACTAATTTTATACATCCGTCAACGGCCTGTAAATGGCAAGGAAATTTGAGAAGAGGTATTTTATCCGGCACCAAATATATCATGTCCGTTAATTCTTTATGTATCATATTCTCATTGTTGAGGAAGGTTCGCTGATAACACGTTTCCAGCCAATTAAGTCAACATGGCTTCGCAATTTTATTTATTAAGTTTACGCACTTGAAAGATTCTCGCGCCCGCCTCTGTTTATCTTCTTGATTTTCGACGCTGTAATATTCTTTTTACAGGCAACTCTGGAATAAACTTACTACTGGCGCAGTCAAATGAAGCCCGACTGTTACACTTACAAAGGTAATAAGCATCTGCATTCCTAGAGCATTTATCCCACTGCTGAACGGGACCAAGAATGCCTGGCTCCCAGGATTCCCTCGGGAGTGAAGCGATCCAATCACAGACCTCGTCCAGCACCCCTGTATTCGACATGTAAAGGCGATCTTTGAAGTGCTTCTTCATGGGTCAAAAATCATGGAAATGATATCCAACTGACACTATTCTCACCATACACACCAGCTATTCTGCGTTGAATTTCAATCGGCACCTCTTCAACTGTCATAAAAGGCACAACACCTCGCTTTTCTTCTTCTTCCCTAGCAGTCACTACGGAAAACACATGCCAGCCGTGTACCGGACTACGGGCAATCTCTATTTTTAATTTGTCTCAACTTTTAATCCCCTCCCCTAGTTCGATTCGACATTTTTGAAGACAGCACTTAAATTGTGGGGTATACTTTCAGATTGGCCCAGTATACACATTAAATTGTTTCTCCGAAGTAATAAACCGCGTATAACGCGGATCTAGAAAACCGACAGGGCAGTGCGACCCCACGTGGTCATTGGATTTGACCCATTTTCAACGAAGTGGCCAATTATCCGTCCATATATACCGGGTGGTCATATAAATCAGGTAGCGGTGTGTTAAATAAATTCCGGTATTAAAACTTAGTGCTCCCGTTACAGTAAGACTTAATCGTGTCACCCGGTTCTAACCGACTGCTACCGAGATTCAAACGAGCCGCGAAACGTCCGTCTTTTCGACTCAAAAAATGATTTTATTCGTAGTTTTTTCCCAGAGTTGCAAACTGTTGTGATTGCAGTGTCGAATCGGGGCACCCTAGGTCCTAGGATCATACCTAAGTAGGCATAATAAATTGACGGAGACGTGTGAAACACATTCGCAAGACCTTAAGAATATTAACGATATATTTAAGACGAAAGCGAATCATTTTTGATTACAAAAATTAGAACTACTATCTAAGTATCACAACTCTTTACTTTCTGTGAATACGGATTGTTGAAGTAATTTATTTTCTATCTTGATGAAGCTCGCAACTCTTTGTTTAATTAATACAAACCATTTAATGAACAACCACTAATTAGACGATTTTCTAACTAATTATTTGCACTACACCGTATTGCAAGTAAAGTTGTAATCTGCGCATTTCTCGCAAAATTCTTACTAAAAAGAAGAAGAATGCACACCTACCATAAGTGACCCAATACACGCGATTATCTAGAAAAGTATGCCACAATCTACAGATTACCTAATTAACTTTTTATTCGTATGCGAATCGAAGTTGTTGATACCATTAAGGGTTGCGCCCCCTCCACCTCGAATTTTTCAATCGAAACCTGCTAACGGACCGTTCTTGTACAAGATACCCATACTTCCGCTTTAGTAACACACATTCACAATCAAGATTGTTACAAGAGTGAAAACATCTAGAGATAAACAACGGAGTTAAAATATCTACATGTGCCCGAATTTCAAACGAAAAGCCACCCTTGAAGAAGTTAACGGTTGTATAATTTAAGTTAGTTGTGATGTGCCTTTTGGATTTGCAAATCGATCCTCACGACCGCATTCTGCAATGAGGTATGTATTAAACATTTTATTTGGTCCATACATATAAATTTATACATACAACGTACCCTCACTTATTTGCGGTTGTCCCTTTTTGTCTCTTCGCCGCAAAATTGATTTAATCCGCTTTTTATATAAGGTTTGGTACGTTTTTTTTTGCATCCATGAACTAGTTGTGTGGAATCTTAAAATTTAGCGGTACTGTACCAAGTTCGTGTTCCGATTGAACACACAAAAATAATTAGGAGCGAAAAATTTCTCAATAAAAATGTTTTTTAACATATGGTATACTCGTGGTAACGAGGTTGCGATAAGATAGATAGCATTGTGACTGTAAAATCCAGTTTTTTATGCGACCTGATGGGTGCGTTTTTTTTAATGGAAAAAGTCGCAGACTTCTTTACGATCGAATAAAACGACGAAGAAATCGATTAATGTGATCATAAGGCGATGATGGCTTTTGAGTCGCGACAACCATTTCATGCATTTTTGCTTTCTATGATGAATGTATACAATTGCGACATGTAAAGAATAGCTAATTCGTGGCATGCTCCAGATCTCCTTAATAATTTTAGTCATGTTTAGAATTTGAACGTATCTGACACTTGATATGTGGCTTATTTAACTATGTGTGTACCTATTTAATCTATGGTAATTTGTTAATTTTGTGTCACTGCAATAATTTAAATTTAGGTACCGTTAATGATAGTATTATATACATGTGCAAGTTCGGACATTTACTAAGAGAACTTGTTCACCATTAACCTAAAATGCATGAAAACGTGAATGTGTTACATTCCTAATAAATTAAGTCACAAGTTAGCGGACAAAAACCTAATTGATGTAATCATTGTCCATTGAAGGTGTTCAGCAAACTATTACTGCAGACAACGAACCAAACCAAACAGAGATTATTACCTAAGTACTTATAATATAACGTTAAACACTCAGGTTTTTATATTAAAATCGGTCTCTAAGCGTTTTGATGACCGTAGAGTTCCAGTTCCTGAAGATAAATCAAATGAAAGACCCAGTTGAGATGTGTGCTGGTTTTGAACTGGAAACTGCAAAATCGAAAAAAATTAATATGTAAATCACTAATCGCGACCATGACCGCGTACTCTTAGAGTGCAAGTTCATGCTGTAAAACTAACAAGCTAATTACAAGCCTAAGGATTTCGTTCCTTTTGTGTACCTACTGATTAAACGTATTACCTCCAGAGGCTCTACTGCCCAATGTACATTATTTGTAGTGGTAGGTTTGTCTGCAAAACCACGTCTATTTAGATAGCTAGGGGGGAGTGTAATGGAATGTTTATCTTAGTTATAGCATTCACCCTCGCTTCCCCAGCTACCACCACTTTCCATAGCCATTTAAGAACGAATTGCGTTTACAATATGCCAGCACATATTAGCGTATTTATATTTCTCGAATAAAGAAGCTACAAATACCAAAGAACGCTTATGAAAGTTCATCGACATCACAAGTGCGAACTTGTCCATTA